TTACCTATGTATCTATCGGTCTTTCTTATCTGAGGGGGGGGGGGGGGGGGGCCAAGGTGGCACGTGACGGGGGTGGGGGTGTGCACAAAACGAATACGGAATAAGAGGGAACCAGTCTATAACCCGAAAAGTGTTGCCTTTGATGTTCAGACGAACTGCCAAATTGCTCCAAACTGACCGATTCTTGGTAAATATGTCATATGTTAATTCCCGCCCGTTTGATGTGTTGTCGTCAGTCTCATCGGTGTGACCGAGGGTTAATCTGATTCCTGTAACACAGATCCCATCCTCTTCTCCTAAGAGATGATATAGTTTCAGGGGCAGATCTAGCTTTTCGCTAAGGGGGTGGGGGGGGGTGACCCAATGACGATGTGGATACTGTGTGGGTCTGGACGTCATAATATGGCGTTTTTCTATGCAAATCACATTTTCACTTGGCAGCCCAGGGGAGGGGGGGGGGGGGAGTTACCCCCCCCCCCTGTAAATCCGCCACTGAGTTTAGACCTGCACTGACACTCCTTTTTTTAAAAACTTTCTTTCACACCTTGCAGGTAATTCTATTGTGTCCACGTATCCTTAGGGTCGTTAGACGTACGGTGCTAGCGTCCTCGTGCAGCCTCTCCTTGACAACCAGGTAAATTAATATTTCAAACTGGAATGTTCATTTGAGCAGGTCGACCAGCTAAGTTAGCTCCCTATATTATGTCCAATATCAGTGATAATGAATCAAAACCTTTACTGATGATCATAGTTGAGGGTTCGATGAGACTGATTCGGTCAACGATATATTAAATCAGTACGCTAGCAGTGGGGCTTTGTTGTCTATGGACCTGCTGGCTTACATGTTACAGGGGTGGATCCAGGAATTTTTTCCCGGGGGGGGGGGCACAAATCGCAACGACTCGGCCAGCCGCTGAATAAGCGGGGGGGGGGGGGGGGGTAAGAGTTTTTTTTTTTTTTTTTTTTTGCTCCCGAATATTTGAAAATCGCGCCGGTCGCAAGTGGGGGGGAGTGCGCACTAATTTTTTTTTTTTTTTTTTTTTTTTTTTGGGGGGGGGGGGGGGGTCGAGGGGCAACGTCCCTGTTTTTCAGTACATTTTTGGCGAATTTGAGGCTGATTTCAACATTTTTTTTTGGCCGGGGGGGGGGGCACGTGCCCCTTATGTCCCCCTGGATCCGCCACTGTGTTATATGTAGTAAATAAAATTAATGTCAGAACAGATTATTTAAAGCTATATGTTGTTTCAGTCATGAGAAAGTGCATAAAGGAATCCTGAAACCAGAGTTAAAGGGGGGGGGGGAGGGGCGGCATTTTGACAAGATTTGATTTAGGACCTAAATGAGCTGGAACCTATCATATATTTAAATCAAACTAATTAATGCATTTTTTAAATACTTTTCCTCATAGATTGGTGGCAAGAACCAGGATGGCTGGGTAAAAGAGCCAATGGCATTTGAGCATTTTTCTTCTTCAACAAGTTGACTTTATCCTATATAGTACACTGTTATAGTCAGATTGTTTAGTGCCTTTTGTCCTTAGTATGTAGTTTTAATTACTGTATATACTGGTAAATTATGAATAATTAATGTGTAAGTCGTCTCATTGACCTTTTAATTGCATAGTCTTGTTCTATTATTGCCCATCAAAATGATTGACTATTCATCATTCATTTGTCCAATTGTGACTTTTTCCTGTACACTGTTATAGAGAGTCAGATCGTTTTATAGTGCATTTTGTCCTTGGTAGTTTTAATTACTCTGTTTATGAATAAGATGTGTGAGTCGTCTCGATCATTGATCATTGATCCTTACGGTCATAGAAGTTTTGTTATCATATTATTGCCCATCAAAATTAACTGGCGTTAGAAGGACGACGAAGTCCTAGCAATCGTGTAATCAGAACATTTGAATAACAATGTTGGGAAATGTACATGCATGTATCCATATATTTCTACTATTTTAGGCTTGTTTCCGTATTCAATGATTTTATTCTCAAAATGCCTGTGGCAAAATATGATGAGATACATGGCACATGTAGTTTGCGATTTTGTGTCCCAGACAAACTGGAACTATATACCATTTTTCTTTCACTTTTATAATTAGGATCATAGGAATACATGTATTTGTGAAGGAATCCAAATCCATATAATAATTCCTTGGCCATCTTGACATTTCTCAAGCTTAATTTGTTTTAACATCACTTGGTAGACTCTGTGAAAAGCCTGTTGGTGTATTCTATCATGAAATGGCACTGCTTATAGTTGGAGGCAGAATATTACAAGTACATTGTAATGGAAATCTTAGAAGATTTGTCAAGACCATGCCATCATTTATTTTACATACTTTGTACTTCCTGTACATGCAATAAAGCTTAGCTACTCATAAAAAGCCTGTACTACGTCAAATCTTGTTTTGAAATGTAACTCGGCAGAGTTAATTGTATGGTCTAAAGATACTCTTTGATCTCCAACCACTGTTTAACCTATCAGCTGAATGCTAGCAACACCACATGAATGTTAACACATCGCATGCGGGAAGGGGGTTGTTCCTTTATTTTACGTTTATAGGGAGTGGTAATTCTGTAGTGGAAAGATTAAAAAGTCAAATTGAAAATCGTTTGCACAACATGTTAAAGTTACATTGTTAACAGTAACACAATCCTTGTATGTAATGAGAGATTAAAAAAGAATTTGTGTATGACACACAGAAGGCATTATCAAGTCCCTGATTGTATGCTCGATTTGTTTTCAGAGGATCATATCGGAAACAACCCAAACAAGAACTGTATCAGGGCCCCGTTTCGTAATCAATAGCAAGTCAAAATATAAGCTACTAAATTCGTGGCATCTGATTGGCTGACAGCTAATATATCAATGTTAGCCTTGTTATTGATAACAAGTTTTATAAAACGGGGCTCAGATGTTGTTGAAATAGGATAATAGGCAGAGGCAGTGAAGGGGAAAGAATACTATATGCAAGAGAGGACTGAGAGAAAAGAAGGTGAGAGAAAAGTACTAGGATAAGAGAGAATATGGGCCAGATATGGAGACAATGTGAAGACCTGAAGGAGAGAGAATTATGATGGGAGGGAAGAAAGAAAGAGAGCAAGAAGAAATGAGATGGAGAGAGGATGAGTAAAATGAGAGTGATAGTTGGTAGAAAGAGAGTAAGAGGAAAAAAGAGAATAAATGGAAGGAAAGGGGATAAGAAAGGGAGAAAGAAGATAGAAAAAAGGAATGAGTGGAAAGAGGAATGAAGGAAAGAATTCAGGGAACCAGGAAGTGAATAACAGGCCAGAGAGAAGATGAGAGAAGAAAAAAAAAACAGCTAAATGCAAAGGAGAAACAGAGGGGTTGAAAGGATTGAAAGAAGAAAAAATTACATGTGCAGGAATGTAAAAACAATAATTTAAAGTAGCTTGTTTATAAAATGGACTTAAGTGTTAATACTGTATTTGTTACATAAGATTTCATGCAAGGCATCCACTTGCGCAAGTTTAAATGTAGTTTATGACATGCTATGACTTATTATCAGTTATCAAATAATACTTGCACAACTAAAACATTTCACGTGCTACAATTACAGCAAAATTTGTCCATTCGTAGCATTGTTTTGTTTTTAAACTAGGCAAAGCAGAGCTTTACCGTGTTAGGGCAATATATATATATATATATATGTATTATTTTTCTTTATGAATTGCTTTTATATCTAAAGTAAATTGTTTTAAAATGGTACTAGTAAAAGACATTCTGTGCAGTATAATCAATGGACACCATACGTTGTAAATAAAAGTGAAAAAGTGGATGCCTCGGTGATAATACTTCAGAGCAAGTTTACAATCCTGGGCCCCATTTCCCAAAACTTGTCATCAGTGACAAATGACAGTTTTTGTTAAAAGCTAGTGAAATCCCTGCTTCTCATTGGTTATCAGCAGATTTGTTAATGATTTTTGTCGTTTGTCATTGAAATAAAGGCTTTGTGAAAACGGGTCCCTGCACTACCTTGAAAGCTGACACACTAAACAAAGACATAAGGAAACTGCATTTTTTATTCAGGTATAAATATTTATTGAACAATTCAAACTCACTGCCTCATAATCTATTGCCATAAATTGCAATTAAAACATTGCAAACATAACCAAGAAGCAAAATAAGATTGTTGGAAAAAAAGTTAAGGTATACATGATTATCATGTTTTCTCCTTATCACTGACATACAGGTGTCAATTCAAAGTCAAAGTCATATCAATTCTCGCTATTGCCAATACGCTCAATAAGCCAGGATGTAAGCCTCTTGGACATAATTAAGAGCCACTTCCAAGACTAACATACTTCTGGTGAATAGTGGAGTACACATATTACGCATATGACCACCACAAAGTCGCTCTCAAATGGTTGTTTCAACAAATACTTCCGTCTTAAATATAAATATCATAAACTGAGCATATATTAATTTCAAGTGCATGTTCAAAAGCTTAGCATTTGAATGGTTTTGACAAACTTGAATAGCCAAAGGTAAGCCCAATTGTTTTTCATCTCTTTACATGTATTTTCATCAATCAAACTTGTTATCTATAAAAAAGTATATGTACAACAGGTTAATATAATTTATCTCATTAACTAAAAGATGCAAAATAGAACAAAATTATGGGGACCTGTACCACGGTAGTAGATGAGGAAGGAGGGGGAGGGGACACAACTGGCCTACCCCCCTCCCCCTCTTTGATAAGAAACCCACTTTGCACACTTGAGTGCATAACTGAACCTAAAAAAAGGCCCCCTGGATGATGTTTGTCTTCGAAATTATGACCCCCCCCCCCCCCCCTTCTTTTTTCCATATATTCCTTAAATCCACTCCTGATCCAGCAAGTGTGAAGATCGAGCTTCTGGTAAACCAGGGGGCGTTTCACATAGCCTTTTTTCAATGACAAATGACAAAAATCGGTGACAAATCTGATGATGACCAATCAGAAGCAAGGATTTCACTAGCTTTTAACAAAAACTGTCATTTGTCACTGATGAAAAGTTTTGTGAAACACCCCCCAGGTATTGTTTAAACTGTCATTTAATTATTTACGAAGAGGATGTATTCTCATCTCCTCTCGAAGCTCGTCGATGGACGTCTCCCAGTGCCTCTCAAAATAGATGTTGAGAAGCAGCTTGGATTGAGGAGCCATCTTGAAGACTTCCGGAATGTAGTACTGGATGAGATCTCTGCGATCGCTGAGAAATGTAAATATCATACGACAGTGGATTAGATTACAGGAAAATGATAAGGAAAATAGTGAGGTGAGAGATAGATATAAGCAACAACAAAAATCAGATAAATGTGAATGAAAAGGAAATGCAAATTACCATACAATTACCTAGATTCACTAGACCTCAACCTCTTTAAAGGTATAGACCAGTTCTGGTCATGCGATTGCATTGTGAAAGAAACGTTGTGGAATCGATCAGAAAAGGTTGATCATCTAGCATATAAGTATTGGTGTGTACTGCAAGGTTCTGGAATCATCAAAATGATAAGAAATTTGGCCCAGTCTTGGTAAAGTTACAAGCACTGTACACAGAAAGATTAGTCACATGATTGGTAATAAGAGCTTCCATTTCTTTTTTTGAGAGGGGGGCGTTTCCAAAACTGGTCTATACCTTTAATCATATGTAAATTTTGACCTAAATTTGGTGGGCAATGTGGTCATTAAGAGAATAACATTTTAAGAATTTGGAAAACAAAGGCCATTTGTCTTTCCTTGGTCAACGAATTCGCTGAACATCGTCCTATCTTTTTAAAATAAATGCTCAAAAGTATTAAATCATAAAAGAGTTTCATTTTTTTTTCTTCTCTTTATCCCTTCAGCAAATACCAGACCAAAATTGCATGTTTTTTTTGTTTAAAATACAAATATTGCCTTTTCTCTTTTTGTTTTCTTCCATTTTTTTGCTATTCTTTGTTTATCTTGCTATCCATAACACTTTATCAAATTTATATAATAGTCCATATGCACAAGGTACAGAGTTTAAACCTCAAATGTCCTTTGGCAAGACATAAATCTACATTTGCCACACTCGACCCAGGCATAGTAAGTGGGTATTAGGTAGGATTTATTAAAGAGCGCGGCCACAGGTAATCATATCCAAAGTCTTTTGGAAATGCATAGAGATGTTATATCATATTGTGGTATCCAATATACAAGAACAGGTATCATTATGGGAGTGTCTTGGTCGAGTGGTTTAAGGCACTCGACTGGAGATGCGAAGGTTGAGGGTTCGAATCCTGACACGGCACTAATATCCTTTGGCAAGATATTAACCTGCACTTGCTACTCTCCCCCCAAGTGTTAAAATGGGTACCCGGTAGGATGCGACCAGCATTGTTGGTCAAACAGTTTTTGAGCGTCAAGTCATGCCTGGCTAGAATGCTCCTCAGGGAGTGGAGATTGTGCACACAGTGTGTGCGGGCAAGCACTGAATCCAATGACCAGGGTAATAGTATATCTGTAAAGCACTTAAAGGTAAAGACCAGTATTGGAAACGCCCAAATTTCAAAAAAACGAAATGGAAGCTGTTATTACCAATCATGTGAAAGAATATGTTTTGAATAATACATGATAACAATTTTGCCGGGAAACCGCCTACTAATTGATACATTTGGTAAATTAGTTTATATATCATGATGTGAAAGATAAAAATGCACGTGTCGTGCATGTGTGCGTAGTCCCATTCAGTGGCGTAGACAGATTCGTACACCTGGGGGGGATGACTCAGGGGCGGATCTAGCTTTTTGCTAAGGGGGGGGGGGTTGACCAAAATAACGACGATGCGGAGCATTGTCCACGAGCCGCGAAGCGGCGAGCCGATTCCGATTTTTTTTTTTGGGGTGTTTATTTGAACCCCGTAAGTGATGTTTTCCTGGCATCTATTAACACAATGGAGACCATAAAAAGCAGTGCATGATAACGTCTTTTTAAATCAAGTAACAGTTAAATACACAGTTATATCCAGAGTTATCATGTGTTTGGTTGAGTTACCAGATGAGTTGAATATCTTCTCAAGGGTTTAAACCCCCTAAACCCCCCCCCCCCCCCCCCCCCCCCCCCCCCCCCCCCCCCCCCGTAGATCCGCGGCTGTTTAATCTTGTGGTTATCTTGTGGTTTCCAAACCACAAGATAACCACAAAATACTTGTAAGATTTTCTTTTTTTTACCGTCTGAATTGGCTTTCACCGTGTGAATGCGGCTAATAACAATAAACACAATTACAATAATGATGAGGAGGATTATTATCATCATCATAATTATTATTATTATTAATATTATAATTGTTATCATTATTATTATTACTATTATTATCATCATTATGACTTATTAAGTAAGCAAATATCATTCCCAAGAACCTGGGGGGGGGGGATGATTGTACATGCCATCCCCCCCCCCCCCCCACCTTGTGAGGTGGGGGGATGAATCCCCCTCATCCCCCCCCCCCCGTTGTCTACGCCCCTGGTCCCATTACATCTTTCTGTGTACAGTACTTGTAACTTTATGAAGACTGGGACAAATTTCTTATTATTTTGATGATTCCAAAACTAACCCTGTAAACGATCATCGGATCGGACGCCGATACCGATCCGATCAGGGGTGATCGGCGATTCCGATCCGATTGCCGATCAATTAAAATGATCAGAAAAAAATCGACAGAATCTTTTTTTTTTTCTTTTCTTTATGACGAAAATTTTCAAGTTTTTGGCTATCAAATGCTCAAAAAAAATTCATGGCTGGGATTATTTTGTCATTTGGAGTTGTTGTAGACCATGTTTGTTGATATGTAGTGCCTTTTCATGACTTTGAAATTAATAATATTGGTCTAAGACCAGAGGCAAAACATGCGGGCCGCCATCTTGGATTATAATGTAGGTATTTTTAATTTTTTTTAATGACGAAAATTTTCAAGTTTTTGGCTATCAAATGCTTTAAAAAAAAACATAGCTGGAATTATTTTGTCATTTGGAGTTGTTGAAGACCATGTTTGTTGATATTTAGTGCCTTTTCATGACTTTGAAATTAATAATATTGGTCTAAGAGCAGAGCCAAAACATGCGGGCCGTCGTCTTGGATTATAATGCATACCTACATCTATGCTAGATGATCAACCTTTTCTGATCGATTTCACAACGTTTCTTTCACAATGCAATCGCATGACCGTAACTGGTATTTATCTTTAAAGACGTCCGAGATGTATTAAGCGCTATATAAAAACTTAATATTATTATTACTATTAGTCACCTTGCAGATAGCCTGACTGGTCCAAATATGGCGCCCAAGGCACACATGGGTAGTCTAGTCTGGATGACTTCAAACCATTTGATGACAACCTCCCCCATGAAGTTGGTTGGCATATCTAGGAGTGTGTGGTAGAAGTCATGCACCTCCCTGTAGCGCTGGAGCACGTAGGCGAGGTCTGGGTCATCCACAAAGCGTACAGGGTCTCTAGTGTCGGCTGATATTTTCTGAACAATGGTAATAATGACAAGATATTCATGACCTAAGGAATAGGATACATGAACGAAATCTAAATGAAATACTAATAGAATATTAGTATGACCTTTCTAGTTTTAACTACCGGTAAATACAAATCAAAGCATGAAGCTACAATATGCCTGAACTATCTATTAAAGGTAGCCTATAGACCAGTTTTGGAAACGCCCCCTCTCAAAAAATGAAATGGAAGCTCTTATTACCAATCATGTGAAAGAATATGTTTTGACTAATACGTGATGATACAAATTTTGCCGGGAAATCGCCTACTAATTGATATATTTGGTAAATTATCATATCGATCCGGCCGGGATAGATATCGCAAATGCACTTCAACATTGAACATTTGGGCATATATTTCTGCTTTTTTGAGAATTTAGGTTGAAGTATTGCCATCTTAACCTCTGAAGGCAATATATAAACAATATTGAATGGATATTTTGCACCCAAAACCCTTGAACCGCAATTTTACCAATACCGGTCTATTTCTTTAAATGAGTTATATACAGTTGCATATCATTTTCTTTTCAAAGTTTTAGCTACATTATACAAATCGCCCATTGATGGTGGTGGTTATTTTACCTGACTGCTAAGAAAGCACAAATGCTTGTAAGTAAGCAACCAGATGGCTGACGGCTTTAGGTCCTCTCCGAGGGACCTGGTAATGAGGATTAATGCCTTACCAAAGGGCACTAGCGCATCGACTTGGTTTCGAACCCGGGTCACCGGATTACGAGACCACTGCTCTACTGACTGAGCTATCGCGCCTCCAAATGAAATGCATTTGAAAATTGTAATTTTGTAAAACAAAATCTAACTTCAACTACCTAACTCCCAAAATCAGCCAAACTTTAAAGAGAAATCAAATATAATAAAATTGGTGTTGAGCCCTGATTACAATAATGTTCTCAATGTGATAACTACTGAAATAACAAATTTGAGCAGAGATTACATACATTTTTTTTCATGAAATCATGATACAACTTCCCAAAGGTATCATCAGGCAGACTTGCAAGGTACTTCATATCCACTGTATCACTGTTGATTCGAGGCCTCTCCCTGTACAGAACATGAAAACAAATATATGTAAAATAAAACCTGTATAATTATATAAAGACCGCTTTAAAGCCTATCTGCACTGGTTTGGCCAGGAGGAATTAAACCTTCCTGCATGGTCACTGGCAAGTGGTTATCTCATCAAATCAGCTCTCAATTAACATAAGAAAAAGGGGACCATGGGGGATCAACGGGTACCGCTTAGGCATTGTTGGCTGTATAGAGGGGGCAAGTAGCTACAAGGAGTGCAGTCCCACTTTAATACAGGTGAGAAAAAATGTGGTCTTTAAAGGCATGTGGGTTTTTTAATGACCAATTCATCTATTGCATGTTTCAACGAGAAGTCATGGTTTTGTTTAAAAGGAAACTTGAACAAATATATAGACAGGTGGTCACTCAAGTAGGTATTCCCATTTAACATCAACCAAAAATATGTCTCTAAGATTTACTACAGAAGTACAGATACAATTTTTGTTTTATATTCCAAGGATACATTTGATAATTTTCTTGCAGCTCCATTCCCTCTTCAAGATACATGCATGTTGAAGGAAAGTATTGATACATACGATAAATCATATTACTGGCACCAAATAATGAACGATTTTGTAAACAGTGAATTAATCATTCCCTAGCTGTCATTAATCCTAAGCAATTTTCGGTTATTAAAATAGAACGGACTGGATTATCACTTAGTACTGTGATCATCTAAAATTGTATCATACATAACTGAATACCATTCCTGGACAACTACCCCCCCCCCCCCCCCCCAGTTGTAGTCTGCTGGAGGGTTGTAGTCCAGGAGACTTTAAATCATCAAATACAATACAAGTTGTACTCTCTGTCCTAAAGTATGCAATGATTATATTTTGCGGTGATTCTTTTCCATATATATAATTTACATAGTTATCAGACTTACTCTAATATTTGTCTTCCAACAGGGTCTTCTTTCATGAGTCTGTGGAGTCTAGGTAGGGCTACAGAACCAGTTGTTTCTCCTAAAACAGCTACCATATCTTTAGATAAGTATTTAAAAATTGATCATTAAGAGGTAAAGGAGTTGATTCAATTTCAGGGCTGGGAAATCATATAAAGATTATTTCATATGTCTCTCCTACATAAACCATTGAGGGTTCACAAAATTCATATGTAACTTCATGTACATTCTACTATCATTGTAGTCTACTATCAATATCAAAGATTAACTTTTATTATTGTTTTTTTCTTATGCATTTAGTAGTAAAATCATGAAATTGAACTACAGTACACGCCGAAAATCTCCGCAACACGATTTACACGATTCGACTGCTCGCGGGAATCGTGTAACCATTAATTTTTACACGATTCGTTTTTTGCCAATGAAGCGAAATTTGAATCGTGTAAACGTGTAATCGTGTAAAATTACACGATTCCTCAATTCAGGTCGAATCGTGTAATCGTGTAATCTGCCCGCCGAAAATCTCCGCAACACGATTACACGATTCAAAATTTACACGATTCGATTGCTCGCTGGAATTGTGTTACAATTTATTTTCAGTGGTGATGGTGAGCAGGTTAAGGACGTCTAGTTCAGTAAAAGCAAGAAGTTACTTCTTGGTTGAACGAGGACAACGTGGACGATACGAGGGGATAGCGAAGATTACGCTTTCTTTCTCTTGTATATATTTTTAATTGCAGTGTCTTGTCTCTAGTTTTATTATAGAATGTTTGAAAGTTAAAAAAATCAGTCCACTTCCCGAAAAGCACTCTCGGATTTAATCCTCGGTGAGAAAAAAGCGATGAACGACGAAGGAAGGGGGGAATTTTGTTATTCCTAAGTTGTAAATAAGTAAAAATGATTACAAAATGTAAAGGAGGGCTAACATAATTAAGTATGTTGTGATACTCTTACATTACAAGGCTTTACCAATTAGAATTACGGTTCACTAGCTCATTCGTTACTATGAATATCGTTATACTTTTTTTTATTCAATCATTATCCATTTTACAAACCTGGTTTGTAAAAACGCGTCATATGACGCACGAAAACCAAGGTTTGTCGACAAACCTCCTTTGTGAATTTGGGCCTTAGACTTTGATCACTTATTGCTTTTTTAGCGTTCCTCATTTTCGTAAATTACCTTTTAGAACATTGCATTATTCAGCTATATGTATAAAGAGCTACGGTCAAGGCTTAAGGGCACACTTCCTGTCACATACAAAAGAAGCTTACTCTGAATGTGGCCTGCCATTGACCCTCGCCGGGGACAAAGGCCGTTGCTCTAGCTACAGGCAGAGATCCTTACATAATACCTATTGTTCAGGGGGTTCCCCTTGAACATAGGATCCCCCTGAACAATAGGTATTACATGTACGTAAGTATGTTAGCCACTGGCTACAGAGTGTAGGGAACAGTTGCAAGCCGAGAATGAATAGAATAAGTGAATGGCCAACTGTCTTTGAGTTACGTTTAGCTAGCGGCACAGTGTCCCCCCCCCCCCCCCACTTTTTCAAGTTCCCCCAAAGTGCCCCTTTGTATGTAGGAAAAGTACCTATTTTACTTTGACAAGTGTCCCTATTAATTTGTAAAAGTGCCCCTTCCCCTTTTCAACTCTGATAAGTGCTCCTTTTCTTTTGACACACACCCCTTTTCCTTCGACGAGTTCCTATTTTCCTTTACAATAAGTGTCCATTTTCCATTCTCATTAGTGTCCTTTTAATCTCTAGTAAGTATCCCTCTATAAGTACAAGAAGTGCCCCTCTTCACTTTTGATAAATGCCCCCATCAACTCCGATAAATGCCCCTATTAAAATCTGATCGGTGCCCCTTTTCTTTCAACTAAAGCTTTTTTTATCTCTCTCTCTCTCACTCTCTCTCTTTCTTTCAATATCTTTCCATTCCCCCATATCTTTCTCACCTCTCTTTCCCTCATTATGTTCCCCTCTTACCTTATTTATTTGTCTCTTTTCCTCTCCGTTTCATAGCCTTCTCATTTCTGTTAATTTTACTAGGTTTCGCCCTTCTGTTTTTTTATCACTCTATTTCACTCTTTCTTTTCTTCCGGTCAACTTTTTAGTTTTCCCTTTTTTCTCTCTTTTTTTCTGTTTATCTTTATCGTGCCTTTCAACCCTCATTTTCCTTTTATATGTTCCCTCCTCCTCGTAGCTATCTTTTTTCCTTTACTATTTCATCTATCATGTCTTCCTGTTTCTGACGTTTTCCTACCTTGTCTCACGGATTAGTATACGATACATGTTAGTGGAAAGTGCTGAGGTTTATACACTAATATAAAGTACAGTAATTAACTGATGTACACTGAAGGTAAGTTGTGTATAAAGCAATTGGTGTCATCAGGATACGAGTCGAATCATCCGACCAATGCACTTAACTATTTACACGATTACACGATTCAGAGCGACATTCTTCAATCGTGTAAATTTACACGATTACACAGTTACACGATTCAGGTGAATCGTGTAAACCGTGTAATCCTAAAAATAAATCGTGTAATCGTGTTGCGGAGATTTTCGGCGTGTACTGTATGTTCATGATATAGGAATAACATTTCTAAGGGGCTATTTTTGATAAATTATGACAGCTCAATCTTATAAAAAAGAAGTGTATTTACTGTATCGTTTTTAAAAACAGGTGTGTTGTATCCGCCATTCATAACTTGTAAGTTCTAACCCAAACCATTCATTCTGTACCTCTCTCTCTAGTCTCTCTCCCTTGCTCTCTCGCTTCCTCTTTTCCCCTCTCCCATTCTCTCTCTCTCTCTCTCTCTCAAAAGTAATAATAATATTAATAAACCCCTTGACCAATAGTAGGTTTACAACTAACCATTATAAAGCCTGTAGATTCATTTTTAGAAATTCAAGCAGATGTTTCCTAAGATTAGTAAGAATTATATCCAAGTTGGTAAACATTTGGCCATCCTTCACATTGCTATGTTCACACTCACCATGTCTGTATGGGTCATAGAGAGACATGAATGCAGAGCCCGCAGTCAGTAGCATCTTCTGTATTGGGGTAGTAGGAGTGTGGTGTTCATACAGTAAGCCATCAACGTTTGGAGCGCTGCCCTGACCATGACTGCTGTCTGTTGGGTTCCATGTGTAAACGTGAACACAAGTTATATAGCTCAAGTCCAAATGGTATATGTATTGATTGTCAGTGAGGATATACAGACTGAATATTTATGCCCCAATGCATCATTTATAATATAATGGGAGTCTCCCAAATCGGTCATGTGCCTCTACTACTACTACTAGATCTACTAGCTGCCCCTCCCTGCAAACAACATATGCACACAAACTTTCAAATCACCAGTGACACAATAAGGGCTAATAAGGCATCTTAAATTTAACTTTAATTTAATAACATTTCTAGTTGATGTAGTTAACAATAACAATAACATCTTGATGTCAAAGTTTTGAAATGCTTGACTTTTGATTAAAGGGATCCAGTAACTTTGTCTCAGATTCTGAAATAAAATTCTGGATTTAGCTAATGATGCAATGATAATTATAAACCTTTTGGTCAGTCAGGAACCCCATGACTTTTACAAGTCTGATTATCAAGATATTTATGATTGGAATTACAAATTTTGAAAACCGTTAGCCTGACGGTTTTCATAACACTACAGTCTATTGGGGAAAACGAGTATGGTAAAACCGGTCACTCAAAGATTTTTTACTTTTTTAAGGCACTTCTTGATCATTTTGAAGCACAATTTTTTTTAGGGCTTCAATATTACACCATATCACAGACACTGATAACACGTAGGGCCGTGTATCTCAGATAAAACGATCCCTTTAACATTCATTTAGTGAAGGCTGAACTGAAGCCATATTAGACCTATGTTAATTAATTAATTATTGATCATAAAGTACAACAACACTTTGTAACTGTAAGAGGGATGTACTCCAATGGAAGAAGAAGAAGTTACTAGACTACATTATCTCTCACTCGGCCTCCGAGTCTGATTCTGAAACAAATTAGATTGATTCTTTGGTCCACTGGAAATCTGGTAAAATAATATTTATGATTATAAAACTGTCAAACTCTTCATCCAGCATGTCCGTCTAAATTATCAGTAAATACACTACAACTTACAGACTATAGTTTGGTACAGAGACACTAACCATGCTCATAGTCACACAGTAAAAGTTTAAACCGAGCTACCTTTTTGCTGATTTTGGTGTAAATTTCGCAAGATGCTCCAACTGCAATTGACATTTTTCCTCCGCCACCTTGATAAACTGCACCTACGCAGTGTAGTATTACATATTTTCAAAGCCATTTATGCTTAGATGAGACCACGAAGTACTTATTATTAGTGAAAATGTAAATGGGCTTCAGACTAGGAGGAGTAGGAGGAACAGGATCATCGACCGACGTCCGTCTGTTTTGTTTTTAATTCTTCTAAAAAAGTTGAACAAACTGAAGTTATCGATTTATACTGTGCTGATTTTTTAACCATGATTACGCAATATTTCCATGGGCCTTTGCAACTCGGAATGTAATTCAATATTTCTGTACCAAATGTCATTGACTGTGTGTAGAACCCACCCCAAAATAAAATTAGATCATTAATAGATAATTCATGAAAAATTGAGATAATTTGCAATTATTTTATATGCACTTTAGAAATATGAATTTAATTTCTTGCTCAATTTGGTTTGAAAGATACCATAGCCATGCATAATTCCAGCGTGGTATACGGCACGATAAAATAATGGTCTGCATATTCAGCGTATGCGTAACTCTTCAAGTTTTTGAAGAAAAATGGCAATATTCATCACGACCCCACGTAAAAGACATGTTTGTGATGAATTTACAGAACCTCAGCGCTTGGTGACACCGGGAGCGACAATCACAGCTGATTCCGACTTCATGAGGTGATCTACTGAAATATAAGACAAGAAAGAAGACGAACGAACGTCAACGCGTTCGTAGTGCCATAACTCCAGCGAGCTCCGACGCCTTAGCTTCGGCGGCTGAGCTCCCTGGAGTTAGTGGTACCGGTATAATATATAGCCTGTGGTGCGGTGTGCATGTTGATTTTGTGCATGTGAGTGTGCATGTGATGTGGGGAGGGGGTGTAAGATATGTGGTGTAGAGAATGTTAGACTTCTTTAGTAAGTTTTAGATAGGAGTATCTATTATAAATATTTCCATTATAATTATAGATCTAGATCTAGATCTAGATCGTTGTGACGGACCTGCTGACTGTAGATCTACTGACTGTGTGTTGAGCTTATTATGATCGATACCGACGGAGGACTGGGGGGGGGGGGGGGGATGGGAGGGGGAAAGAGGAAATGCTACTTTCTTTGTGATAGATAGGTGGCTGTGGTAGTGACAGTGTGGGTGCATTGGATCTAATTAAAGGAGGGTGGAGAGGAAAAACATTACAATCAATGTAATTCAACAAATTTAGAATATGCCAGTTAATAACACTTCATAAACAAGATTCAATTCAATTAATGATTTGAAAACACCACTGACACTAAAAAACAATCATTTATACTAGCCTCCACGAGCGACTCGAAGCAAGAATGTGAAGGCGATTTCGGTCTAAGGGCTGTGACGTAAGAGGAGGGAAGACACGATGCCATCATAATATATTATGCAGCGATGGAGGTGCTGCACAAATAGCCTTTGCCTTTTTTAAGAATACTTCCACCTGTGTCATGGAGTGCACTGCTTGTGCATAAATGAATAATAATAACATAACTTCCATGAGCACGTATCCGGTATTCTGTCTCCGTATATTTCACAATTCGTGCTGCAATGACCTGCTCATGCTCAGACTGCAACTATGAACTGGCTTTTTAGTGGCGGGTCTTCCCTCTTACACCACACAAGTCCTGGCTGTAAAAACAGAGTTGCACAGTGGCCAAACTTTAGAGTTGTAAATCGGTCACTTCAAACAAAGATTACTTGGCAGGATGACAATATTTGGCTTTATCATACTTACTTTATTCAATATAAGACTCTCTTCTTTATATACATGTACATGCAAAATTTATCCAAATCTGACAACATTGTTTTTCTTCTCCACCCTCCTTTAAGTATACAATGTTGGGCCCTCCTGCCTTTTTTCCATTGTTCTTATATCTTGGCTTTGTTTGAAAGTATGAATTTGTCAACTAAATTTGTTTTGATAGATCTGTTGCCAGTCAATGTAGAGATATTTTTCCTTAGCCACTTATTTTGTCATAAACCACTGGCCCAGCTAGTGGCTATTATAATTAACAGCGCAAATGTCAGGAGACACTTTTGTGATTGGCGGCAGCTAACCTTACATCTTTGTTCTATTCTCACTTCCAGAGGTCATGGAACTTACATGGAAGAAGATGAGCTGATCGCATCAGTTGCAGGAGTAGTGGAGAAAGTCAACAAACTCATTAGTGTCAGGCCACTCAAAACAAGGTTTGTAGTTCACTCATTCATATATTTAATTTGTATTTTAAAAAATTGTTTGCAAATATACATCATTGGAAAGTAATCATCAAATGTAGAAGGCAAACCAAAACTATAATACAGGTGTATTAGAAAATTTGGAGAAAAAAACAACTAAATGTGTTCCTCTTTCCTAAGGTAATATTTTGTTATAAAACTTATAATGCAATTAGTTTTCTAAATGAAAACAAAGGAAGTGACCAAATTGCATGGAGAGATGTGTCAAAACCTGCTATAAACGATATAGAAAATTATAGTGCTTTCAGTTTCAACAAGGTTTACACATTTTGAAGAACCGATATCATCTACTCAGATTGGTTCGTAAAATTATCACTGTTCAGGAATTCAAACAATGTTTCTGAATTATTTGTTGTTTAATCCCTCTACAAAGTTAATATTCTCATCATTTTGTCAGTATTGCAACCTCTGAATATAAGCTTTGTATAACTATCACTGTTTTTGTCAATTATAGGTTGAAATGAATTGATTTTATAGTGGTATGTTGATAAATTGAGTTTTTTTTTGGTATGAGATTTTATGTGGTTTTCCTGCCTCGATCATTATTCTGTGCCTGTTCATTGTAGTAATAGTACATTGTGCACAAACCATAAGGCTTAAATCTTGGGAAGATGTTGTTATTGTTTACTTTTTTTTCATTTCTTAACAGATATAACGGAGAAGTCGGTGATGTCATTGTTGGAAGAATACAAGAAGTGAGTATGCATTCAGGATTGATGGAAGGATGCATATACTAGAGTTGGATTAAGCCAGATTTAAAATCAAATTGTTATGTTATTCAAATATTTAGAAATGTCCAACGCCAAGTAGTGTAATGAAGAATTGATTATTGATAATTGTCTTTGTGCAGCATATGCTGTGGTATGAGTAAAAACACACTGCCGTGCTGGGTTATGTAAAGCACCATGATGTATGCATTGACAAGGTGGATGTAAACTCTAGTCTCAATGCCATTTTAAGGTTATCTACTTCAACCTGTCATTTTATGTATTGTTTCCATCCTTTCAGATTCTAAGATTGCTTCATTAATGTCATGCATTGGGGAAAACCCTGCCTGTAATGTGTATGGGAACTTGCTTTCTTAACTTCTTAACTTGTTTTTCCAAACTTCTAAAGTTGTTTTTCTAAACTTCTAAACTTGTTTTTCTTAAGTTCTCGGACAGAAGAGATGGAAGGTGGACGCATTATATGAATGGAATCAATCATTTCAGATTTTAAGATTGTTTCATCAATGTCTTGCAAAAACTGCCTGTATGTGAACTTGTTTTCTAAACTTCTAAACTTGTTTTCCAAACTTCTAAACTTGTTTTCTTAACTTCTTGCATACTATCAATCAATCAAACTCCTGTAGGTCGGACAGAAGAGATGGAAGGTGGATGTCAACTCTCGTCTCAATGCCATTCTGATGCTATCCGCTGTCAACCTTCCTGGAGGGGAGCTAAGGAAGAGATCGGCTGAAGATGAGCTCAAGATGAGACAGTATCTCACTGAGGGAGATCTCATCAGTGTATCCTTAGATCATCATTTACTGAAAAAACAAGGAGGGGGGGGGGGGATCCAGAAACCTTTGCCCTGTGCATTGACATTTGCTCTGGTCAGGCTTCATTTCATCAAAGATAAAGGGTTAGGGCTTCAACTGTGTATCTGTTTAATTTAGGTTTTGATTTAGGGTAAGTATATTAAGGTAAACTGTTGGGTCTGATTCAAGATTTGCTTTGAATTACCCCTTACATGGGGTCAGAAGTGAGCCTAGCTAGCTGAATTATCTAAATTATCCAGAGTTTATTGTCTTTTTTAAATGTTTTATAACATCCTACATGTATGTGTATCTTAAACCTGAAATCAAAGTGGTATGCCCCCTTGGATATACATGCAAGGCTATAAACCTTCTTTTTGTACCACTTCTGCATTGCCCACATTTTTTCAGGTAACAGGGGTTTGCGTAGAGTATGGAAATGTTAGGCAATTATATGCATGTTATCATATTTGGTGCAACTGTTGTTAAGATGACATGCTGCATTTTGTACTGTGAAATGACGATAGTTGATATGATACCCCTATTGAAACGATTTGAAGAAGTGTGATTCCTTGACTGTGAGCTAACAGGCTGAGGTCCAGTCGGTGTTCTCTGACGGTGCTCTCTCACTACACACAAGGAGTCTCAAGTATGGAAAGGTATGTTGCAAATAATTAAATAATAATAGTTCAGTGGTAGAGCAGTGGTCTTGTAACCGGGAGGTTCCGGGTTTGAAACCAAGTCAATGTGCTCATGCCCTTTGATAGGACATTAATCCTCATTACCAAGTTCCTCAGAGTGGCTGTAAAGCGGTTGGTCCCCTGGTTGCTTACTTCCAAGCATGTACATGTTTTATTAGCAGTCAGGTAAAAGGAAAAAAAACAATGTACTTCAATTCCTCCCATATACAGCTTCCTATAAGTGTAGTCAATCTACATGTAGCAGTTGCATTGTATGTCTATGTTTTCAAATGTACAAATTTATATCATGTAACTAATAATCAATGGATAGATTGCATTCAGATCATTGAGCATTAGTATTTTAAATTGAACTAATAGATAATGACTGCAAAATCAAGAAAAATACACTGCACATTTCTTTAGATTTGTTTTTGGCTGTTATAATAATGCACATTTTTTTGAAATTATAAAAAAACTTAAGTAAATGCAGCAAATTTGTATGGAATGTCAACATGATGTCTAGGAATCGGTATACATGTATTATGTTCAGAGCAGTATTCGCCTAAAACACTCATGTCTCCCCTCTCTGTGGTATTCTCAGCTGGGGCAGGGCATCATGGTCAGAGTGTCGCCCTCTCTCATCAAGCGACGAAAAACCCACTTCCACAACCTGACGTGTGGAGCTTCCGTCATCTTGGGTAACAATGGGTACGTGTGGATCACCAGAACACCAACAGAAGAAGAGGAGGCACCGGATGGAGGGTTTGTCCAGAATCTGCAGGTGAGTTCTGTCCTTTGATGTCCTCCAGGGGGCTGTTTCACAAAACTTGTCATCAGTGACAAATGACAGTTTTTGTTGTAAGCTACTGAAATCCTTGCTTCTGATTGGTTATCAGCAGATTTGTCACTGATTTTTGTCATTTGTCATTGAAAAAAGGCTTTGTGAAACGGGTCCCTGGTCAGCATAGTCTTGCTCAACGAGTCTTCTTTGCTGATATGACAATGATCCAACATAAACTAGGGTTATAGTGTAGGCTATGATTGGCATTAATTTTTGATTTTCGATTGGACTTGGGGTTGATGAGTACTTCGTTTTATCCAGGATGGAGTTTAGGAGTTTCACTAGAGAACAAAATACTTAGAGGGCAATCATCACTGAAACATGTGTCATACAATTATTGAATTATTGTTGTGTTGTTGCTTACAAGGAAATGAAGTAAAATGCCAATCAATTTATCCACATCTGCGTTTTATGTAGGAAAAATGAGTAATACAGTTAATTTTCTTTCCTCACAAAAAGCAAAACTGTAATAGTTTCTAGTCCATTTCTAGTATTTGTTATTACATCAACGTACCCATCTTCTAAACCATCAAAGCTGACACACAAGAGGAATCAATTTTGAATGGATGCACAGCATCTGGGACAATAAATATTGGTCTCCCATCTATTCGACAAATTCTTCTCAGCAAATCTATACTCCTTATCATGCCCTTAGAATATCCACCTTTATTTTATAAGGCTTAAAAGTGGTACAATAAATCAGCGTATTCAATATTTTTAGTGCAGTACCCGGATGACTGACCAATATTGTTTTTGTATTGCTCAGTCATCCAGGAACTTCAACTATTGATATCGATATCATATCGACATCATATGATATCATATCAATATTATATATCATACGATAACTTCACGATTTACATTTATTTGTAACCTTGTATGTAAATGTGAAAGTTCACTTCCAAATTTATTTAGACCTATGCGAAGATTATTTGTAATTTTGTATACAATGTTATAAATTATGTACAATTTTCTTTATGAGAGAAGAGAATAAAAACCTATGAAAAAAAAATGAAAGAAAAAACGAAAATAAAGCCATATTTACCAAGGTAAGTCAAATTTTGTTATTTCGCTAGTCAGAATAATATAGATCATAATAATAATATTTTATGGCTTTGTTATTGTGTGATACAAGAATATATTGCTCTTGCTATGACAATATTGGACTCTTCTCCGACTCGTTTAATATTGTCATAGCTCGAGCAATATATTCTTGTATCACACTCAAAGCCATCCAATATACTGTGGCTAATCCGTTTCTCTCGTCTTTCAGCCTGTCTCCGATGAGGATCGTAGGGTGTTGGCAAGGTTACGGAACTGCATCTTAGGTCTAGCTGATCACAGGATGATGCTCTATGATACCAGTGTCATCTATACCTATGCTGCCTCAGAAGACTATCCAGTAAGTTCTCATGTTGCATGCATCCTGTCATCATTTTTTTTCTTTTTCAAAGTATATATTAAAACAACTCTCATACATAATAATAATAGTACATAGTTATAATGAAAATAATATCATGTTCATATAAACATAGAATATATAATAAAATATAGTGTGATAATAGTTAACTCATCAGCTAAAATTAGTTAACAAAATATCTGCCATTTCTTATTATGAAGATCAAGACGATTTTTTTAAAAAGCAATTTTAAGTTCCATATTTTCTAAATGTTTGAGAGCTTGTTGAAAAGAAGGAAATAAATCAAGTCTGAAATCAAAGGTAATTTTGTGGTGGAAAGTATGTGACAAAGAATGAAATCATTTCCTGATACTAGATGTTGCATGCTAGTAAGGCATAATTGTTAAATCTGTAAAAAGGTAGGTTTTATATCTATAATCTTCTGCCAACCAAGCAATAATATTAAATAGGAGTGCAGGCTGTTTGGCAGTTGAAAGATGAATTTGATAGAAATCGAAGTGAATGTGATCATTTTCTTTCTTAGTTTAATACTGATATTCAAAAGTCCCCAGTGAGTATGTGTTACAACATACGATTTGTTTTTGTTCGTTCACTCAGAATCAGTTGGATTGCAATCTTCCATATGAAAATTGAAGGTTTTTTGTGTGTTTGGTATGATGATACCGCACAAGTATTCGTTTTCATTTTACAACCTTCAGAATTTCCCCTGTGATCATCTTTTTTTATATTTTAAACTTCAGGTTGCTGATCTTCTTAACCCTGATATCATGAAGGATGTCATACTGAAGGTGAGACAGCAACTGAATCAAGAAGCAACGTAAAGTACATTCCTTCCAAAACATTTTAGGGTCAGACGCAAACTTGAAAGCGATACTGTCGGCAGTCTCCAGGGGCAATGCGTCCTCATTCGCTTACCCCGGACTTGGTGGAATTAATGTACGTACAAATCTCGATACCGCCCGCAGCAGAATTTTGATGACCGATGAGATGATCACTGGAGATTGCCTTGTAGACCGGGAGAACGTTCAGTGAGGGAGATTTATGATGATGATGAGCTTTCCTTGTGAGTCCTTACAAACTGGAGTGTGTGTGCATTACATCGGACCTGTTGGTAAAGTGAAGTCCACTCTCTGTGATGTATAACAACAGTTAGGTAAACACCCAAATGGTGTCAAGTTCTCCATTAGATCCCATGATTATGTGTCTTTAATAGTGCCTTGACATCTCTGTTTTGTTACTGGAGAGCGTTCGGGTGAGGGTGATTTATGATGATGATGATGAGCTTTCCTCGCGAGTCCTTACTTACTGGAGTGCGTGTGCATTACATCAGACCTGTCGGTAAAAGTGAAGTCCACTCTCTGTGATATATAACAACTGTTAGCAGGTAAACACCCAAATGGTGTCAAATTCTCCATGAGATCCCATGATAATGTGTCTTTGATAGTGCTTTGACGTCTCTGTTTTGTACCACAACAGAGTGGATGATACAGGAGATAGTCTGGTGCATTTTATCCTGTCTTAATGTCTAGGCCTGTCTTCATCACCTTGAGATTGCCAAATATCCCGCTATTTTGACAATCCCGATTGGAAATTATCCAGTTAATTTGCGTCTTTATCAGCCCAAAGTTGCAATTTCCAGGATATTTGGTCGAGATAATCATCCCAAGATATCTTGGGCTAGTTTGCAAAATATCCCGCTATTTGCCCCGTGCGTCTTCACCAGCCCTGAAGACTCGCACTATGTGCGAACGCTGAGCAAAATATCTTAAGCTAATTTCTTGAGCTCGGGCTGATGAAGACGCGATTTGTAACTTCGGGATTATTTTCCAAATCAGAAATAGCGGGCTATTTGGCAATCTCGAGCTGATGAAGACATACCTTCTGAGGTGAAAGTAAATGAAGCATAATTATCTGGATGCTTTAAAGGTACTATGTCCCGTTTGCAGCCAACCTCAAATGCTGTAGAACTTTGCAGGAATTATGAATATGTCATGTATGTCCTATCTGTGAAATTTAAACGTTAGCAGTGTCCTCATATTCAAATTATGCAAGGAAACCCGTTTACTTGCTAGACTTCACTGTCAGACACTATTGAATGACTGACTGGCTTTTTTTCTTCTTTGGTAATAACATACATGAAAAGAGTTGTAAAGGGTACATGAGCATTTGTCTACATCAATAACCCACTTCTTGTGATGGCCAAGATTAAACAGATTGAATCTTTGCGCAGCATAAAACGTATGACCATTCGGTACAATTGTCTGAAAATCAAGACAATTACTTTTGGGCTCTATAGCCCTAAAGTCGATTTGACAACTAATAGTCGTTATTTTCCCACTTGAAGACATTTTCAAGCCCCACCTTTTTTAGGGAAGTTCTAAATTAGTATTATCTTTCAAATGCAGTTGGAATTTAACTTTTTCATATTTTGGGCTTGCAAATGGGACATAGTACCTTTAATGAGCTGCTTTGCTACAGGCCGTGAACAAGTGATTGTAATATGCTTGAGTGGTGATGAGTTGAACAGCTGTACTTTACCAACAGCCATGAAGATATTGAAATTAATCTTGAGCTGTGTAACGGGTCACCATTTTGAGAGGAAATGACTCGGTGTAATTCTGAATTGTTCATCATCAGTAGTGAAGACCAGCCAGATACATTTACAAAACATGGCAGATATTACACCTCACATTTGCATACCGCTACTGTGAAACTATGCATGTAGCCCGAAGTACTGTCTCAATAGGCTATTTTTTTAATGTAATCAAATTTTAATAATGCACACATCTTTGTTCAGTACCTCGTTACAAATTATTTCATTCGCCTGTTACAAATAATTGTATTTCAATAGTCAGAATGTGACTTGCATGTATGTTCCGTGATGTAACGAAAGACAAGCCATACTATTAGTCCTAGCTAGTATCAATCAATGTATGCAATTCGCATTCTAACTACTGAATTTTTTTTGTTTTTTGTAACAGGTGATTGAAACAATTTGTATTTTGTAACATGACACTTGACAAAGATTTATGCAATAAATTTGATTATATTACGAAAATGGTCTATATTCTCATCTTCCTTTGCCCAGTACTTGGCTGTAATAGATTTTTTTCTTCCAAAAAGCATTCAGCATTTGGATATCATTTACCGGTAATCTTGAATATTCATACATTTTTACTGTTTAATTCCTTTTTGTCGCTGCATTCCTTTTGTTTTTCTAACTATTTCCAGAAATCAATCAAGATTACTTTGAAATGTGAAATTTGCTGTATAAAGAATGTGCATACCCTATGAATGATCTATTTTACGCAATTTATTAAATGTAATCATAAAGAGGCCGATATAGAATTTTTTTTGGTAATTGTGGTATAGGGTACATTTTTTTTTATCTATCTGGAGATGAAGAGGCTAATTCATGCCAAGTAATTGCTTCCCTTTTGTTAACAAAATATGAAACTGGATATTTCCAATAAAAGCCATTATGTACATTATATTACATAGCAATTGTACTTTTTGTTTTCCTTTACTTTCTTGTTGGGGGGGGGGGGGGTTGAGGTGTATGTTTATTTGTCTTTTTTATGTTGTTTAAAACTCCTTACATGGGCCAAATTATTCTGGAATTTTTAGATAAGAGCAAACTTGGGAGAGTTTCCCCCAAAGTGGATGTATGGGTTAGATTTAGGAGAGAGTAAGGGGTACGAGTAGCTATGACTGAGATGAGGGGGAGTGAAGATAGATTGGAAAGAAGCATGGATAGAGAGGGGAGAGATTTTTGAAGAAATTAATGTGTATGATAATGAAAGAAAGATTAAGACTTATTTTATTTATTCATGTTGCGTTAGCAAGGTAAGCACATTTCAAATCCCCCCTGCTCCCTCCCCCTTTCTATCTCTCAATATTTGTTCATGAACTCTCTCTCTCACTTTTACTGTCACAATCTCTGTCTCTCTTTAGCTCGGTACTTTCTCTTTTTCTCTGTTATCTACACAATCTCCATCTCTCTGTGTAATCGGTACTTTCTCTTTCCCTCTCTCTCACTTTTACTCCGTCACAAGCCCTCTCTCTTTATCTCCTACTCTCTCTCTTTTACTGTCTTAATCTCTGTCTCTCATTCACCTGTACTCTCTTTCTCTCTGTCTTTTGCATGTATCACTCTTGGTCCAGTAAAAAAAACCTCACTGCTGATGCATAGTGTAGGCAGCATTGGGGCAAGTTAGAGAGAACAAGATAAGAGCAAAAAAATATTAGCCCCACTTAATCTTCCCAGAGACATTTAAAATGACTGGGTACTTGCTTCAGATATTAAAATAAGAAAAAATGAAAATTAATGTTGATACATAAACAAGGAGATCAATTGCAGAGGTATTCATTTGTAACATTTCATATTCTCAAGTATGAATTTATTCCCAGACATAGAAAATGTTCATATTGTGCAACACATGAAACAAGAAAACTTCCAAGAAAACCATAGTAAAAATATCACAAGTACATTGTGTTTACACAATATGATAACAAGAGAAACACAAATATGCCATCAAATTTAAACATCTCTATTTTAACTATAACATAACTTAAGAAGACAAAGACTTTTCTCTTACTATTCTATAGACTCTACTTAAAAGATATGGCATGGATGAACAGGAAAGACTGGCCCGATTACCACTGCATGCACAATTTGAAGAAACAATATTAATCAAAATAAATGACAATTATTATAATTGGTCTTTGGACGATACACAAGTACACTAATTTTAATGTATCACTTGTTTTTACTACTGTACCTTTCCCCGCCCCTTTCCCTTGGAATAAATTAATTTAGGCACAAATATAACATGAAGATTATAGAAGTGAAATAGAGAAAATAGTGACACAAAAGACGAAGGAATCAAGGTTGCTCAGCAGGACTGCTCTCTAAATGGTTAGGAGATTATTTTCCATTACACTTGTAGATTGGAGAAGATGACAAAAAAAAAATCACCAATAAAATGGCAAAAATGCCCCTCTTTTCCCCTATTTGATACTTTTCGACTAAAGTATTTTATAGTACAGTATTTATAACAAATTTTAAAGCAAGTGCACCTATTTGCTGTAACTGTACTTGCATAATTGTGCTCCAAATATACACATTTCTCTTTTCATGAACATATCTTGATCATGTTTTCAAATATGTGGAAGAAGATTTAGAAAACTGGTGCTGTTTACAACGCAACAAAGGATCACACAATGATCATTACTCAATGGGAATTGGAAGTTTAAGCCACACAAATCTTTAATTAATACTCCTTTTCCCAATCCTTTAATAATAAAGGTAAATAATTTGACAGGTCACAAAGAAAAAAATCTCACATGGCTTTACACTGCATTTGTTCTATGACATAGCAATAAAATACAAATGAATGTGCATACTGTATGTGGAGAAAACATGAAGTGAACAGCAAATCAGAAAATTTTGAATATTATGATTTGGTCTTTGGGAGAAAATATAAAGCGAAGTGTAACGCCATGTGAGAAATGATACCAAAACAGAAAATACATCAATTTTCTAAATTGATATCATTACAGAGGCAACAGAATTCCTAAGTCCTTGAATTCTAAATTTGTCGTTGGCAATTCTTTTGTCTCTGGAAGGGAAAGCTGATAGTCCCCAATACAACGATTTGTAATGTCACTCCGGCAACAGTTCATTAGATGGTACTAGCTGTCGCAACGTCAGTCATTTTCAATTCTATAACTCGTCGTGATCTTCCTCATATTCTTCATCGCCTTCCTCTTCTCCACCTGGTGGGGGAGCCCCTCCTGCACCTTCGTATAATTTACTAACAATAGGTTGAACAATAGCTTCAAGCTCCTTTTTATGCTCTTGGTAGTCTTCGGTTTCTGCATCGGGGTTGGCATCGAGCCATTCAATCTGCTCATCAACCGCGCTCATAATGGTTTCCTTTTCGTCTTCCGATAATTTACCGCCAAGCTTTTCCTCGTCGTTGACCTGGTTCTTAAGCGAGTATGAGTAGCTCTCGAGGTCATTCCTTGCCTCGACCTTCTCCTTCATCAACTTATCATCCTCTGCGAATCTCTCGGCTTCGTTCACCATCCTCTCGATGTCCTCCGGCGTAAGGCGGTTCTGATCGTTGGTAATGGTGATCTTTTCTTTGTTGCCTGTGCCCTTGTCTTCAGCGCTGACCCTCAGGATGCCGTTGACGTCGATCTCGAAGGTGACCTCGATCTGTGGGACGCCACGAGGTGCTGGTGGGATGCCGTTCAAATCGAACTTTCCAAGAAGATGGTTGTCCTTTGTCATTGATCTTTCACCTAAATGGAGAAACAAAGCATGGGATTAGAAATTTTAGAATAATGAGTTAGCAAACCTTTTGATGGAAAGACATGCCATTTTCTCAGAGTATCAGAGCTTAATTTGTTTATCACTGGATTCGTGCAGAACAGAAATTTAAAAAAAGTTGTGCTTCTTACTATTAAAATCTTGGTTCATTAAAGAATAACTACATCTCTAAATTGTATTGAATGATAAGACACAAAATACTATTAGTACAATTAAACCCAATTCCCAGTACACATGAAGCTCATGTGATGCACAGCTCAAGTGATGCACAAAGCTTGTCATGTATCAACTTAATTCTTCAGGATTATCAGTGAAGGCAAGGACGTGTCTGACAGTACAGGGACCCGTTTCACAAAGCCTTTTTTCAATGACAAATGACAACAATCAGTGAAAAATCTGCTGATAACCAATCAGAAGCAAGGATTTTAGTAGCTTATAACAAAAACTGTCATTTGTCACCGATGACAAGCTCTGTGAAACACCCCCCAGATGTCAGAATGCTAGCATCACGTATTCCAAAGCCAGGATGAAGCAGACTAATCACTCTTATCCATTATCCAGAAGAAAAAAAACATTAAACCAAACTCACCTTCAAAGACTTGGATGGTTACGGTTGGCTGGTTGTCTGCAGCTGTGGAGAAGATCTGTGATTTCTTGGTGGGTACGACGGTGTTCCTTCCAATGAGCTTGGTCATGACGCCTCCGACAGTCTCGATACCCATGGTCAGGGGGTTGACATCAAGAAGAACAAGGTCACCTTCAGAGGAAGAAAACAAAAATCACAACAGGGTTAGATCACTGGGTAATAATGGGTAATTGAGAAAGATCTTCATACCAAGGGTAACCCTCTCTAAAGCAAATGGTAATATTTTTGTGAAATTAGCCAATATACATTGCACAAAACTGAATTTTATTCTCTATCATTCACAATCTTTTTCAAAGCCACTTAAATTTAAAAAAAAAATAAAGTTTCATTTACAGATTTTTAGATACACACATTGATCCAACTATGATCTCGATAACAAATGAAGACAAATTGACGGGGGTCAATTATCTTTGATGATTGAAATGTGTTAGAGAATCCTTGGAAGACCTACAAATGTACTTGTCTCCGTCTCTCTGCTAAGTTTATATATATCTAGAGACTGGTTTCATGCTAAAGGCCCCACTTAAGTTTTAAACTATCTATCAATTGTGTAACTGATATGAACTATAGGACCTTTGATGAGGCCTTTGACAACCCAAAAATCTTGAAAGCTACGGTCGGCTTAAAAAAAAAAAAAAATAATGTAATAAAGCATTCAAAACAGACATATCAGCCCAAAGAGGGAGTTTTTTTTAAGTTAGAAAAAAAAGAAAGGAAAAAAGATTTCCGACTGACCAACCCATGTTTTGGCACCTAAAGGCAATGCAACATTTTTCGTTTTAAGGCCTGATTGGAAAGTATCTTAAGAAGACTTACTTGTCTCTGCCTCTCCGCTGAGAACACCCCCTTGGACGGCAGCACCATAGGCAACGGCCTCATCGGGGTTGATTCCACGGGACGGTTCCTTCTTGTTGAAGAAGTCCTTGACGAGCTGCTGGATCTTAGGGATACGGGTGGAACCACCGACGAGAACGATCTCGTCGAGCTCCTCCTTCTTGATGCCGGCGTCATCCATGACACGCTGCACAGGCTTCATGGTGGAACGGAAAAGATCCTGGAAAGGAAAAAACAAAAGAAACAAATGTATGATTAGTCAGTCCACTGTATGAATGGCAATAAATTAACATGCATCTTATTCATGATGCCACTTAACCTTACAGAATAAAACATGAAAGCTGGACTTTTACCTTTTTTGACTGATATGAAGAATAAAATATCAGGGTAAATATGTCATGTGGAAGCGCCTAACATTCATTTAAGGACCGTCTGTACTAGTTCGGCCAGAAGGGATTACACCACCCAGCGAGGTTGCTGACAGGTGGCTATCTCATCAACTCAGCTCTCAATTTACATAGGAAAAAGAGGATCATGGGGGACCAACAGGCACCGATTGAGGAAGTTTTCTACATAGAGGTAACAAGAAGCTACAAGTAGTACAGTGGGGCTTTAAAAAAAAAATACCCTCTTTCATACTTCTTGTAGTAGACAATTAGAGGCAATTACGTGTGAGGATTCAAATTCTTTGTTCTAGGTTATTCACAAATACATCCTGCATTGAAAAGAAAAACTAGATGGAATTCGACTGCGCGCAGTCGAAAATGATGCCTCCGTCATAGAGCAATTTTACAAACCGAAACGGAAGAAATTTTTCAAATTCAAGTTCAATTGTAATCCATTAACATGTTCTCAGAATATCGTGATTACAAGCAATTTCTCATATACATATATGACCCTTTGATCTTTGACCTCATGACCCTAAAATCTACTCAGTTCATTGGCTCTGCAAGATTTCCTGAGTTAAATAGTAATCCATCTGTCAGTTCTAATGAGAATGCGTCCACAAGCTATTTTTGCATACATAATGAGCCCATGACCTTTGATCTTATGAACCATTCATTGGCTCTGCAAGATACATAAATGATCTAAGTTTGGCAGGAATCCATCAATCGGTTCTTGAGATAAGGCGATCACGAGCTGTTTTTGCATACACAATGTGCGCTGTGACCTTTGACCTCGTGACCCCAAAATCTAATCAGTTCATTGGCTTTGCAAGATACATACATGACCAAAGTTTGGCAGGAATCCATCAATCGGTTGTTCAGATAACGCGATCACAAGCTGTTTTTGCATACATAATGAGCCCTGTGACCTTTGACCTTTGACCTCGTGACCCCAAAATCTAATCAGTTCATCAGCTCTGCAAGATACTTACATGACCAAAGTTTGGCAGGAATCCATCAATCGGTTGTTCAGATAACGCGATCACAAGCTGTTTTTGCATACATAATGAGCCCTGTGACCTTTGACCTTTGACCTCGTGACCCAAAATGTAATCAGATTGTTTTCCTATAGTGATACACACTATCACTAAGTTTGAAGTTTAAATCTCCAGTGGTTCTTGAGATATCATGATAACAATCTCAATGTATGGAATTTCATAAGTGGACCTCTGTGACCCTTGACCTTTGACATACGTCCTCCAAAATCTAATCAGATCGTCTTCCTATGGTGATACATACTATCCTTAAGTTTGAAGTTTAAATCTCAAATGGTTCTTGAGATATCGCGCTAACAAACTCAATACAAGGAATTTCATGAGTTGACCTCTGTGACCTGTGACCTTTGACCTACGTACTCCAAAATCTAATCAGATCGTCTTCCTATGGTGATAAATACTATTCCCGAGTCTTAAGTTTAAATCTTAAATGGTTCTTGAGATATTGTGATAACGGTCAAACGGGACGGACGGACGGACGTACGGACGGACGGACGTACGGACGTACGGACGTACGGACGGACAACCCGAAAACATGATGCCTCCGGCACCACCTTCGGTGGCGGAGGCATAAAAATAATCAAGCAAATTTTACTTTGGTGTGCAGTGCTTACCATGTTCAATTCCTCAAATCGGGCACGAGTGAGAGTCTCTGAGAAGTCTTCGCCATCAAAGAAGGATTCAATCTCGATACGGGTCTGATGCTGCGAGCTGAGCGCCCTCTTGGCCTTCTCCACCTCACGACGAAGCTTCTGTACGGCCCTGTTGTCCTTCCTCACATCCTTGCCCTTCTTCTTCTTGTAAAGCTTGATGAAATGTTCCATCACACGCTGGTCAAAGTCTTCACCACCTGTGGTCCAAGAAAGAAAAAAACAAACATGTTGTTTTAATTCTTTAAAGATAAAGTTGAGTTCTGGTCATGCGATTGCATTGTGAAAGAAACGTTGCAGAATCGAACAGAAAAGGTTGATCATCTAGCATATAAGTATTGGTGTGTACTGCAAGGTTCTGGAATCATCAAAATGATAAGAAATTTGGCCCAGTCTTGGTAAAGTTACAAGCACTGTACACAGAAAGATGTATATGGGACTACACAAACATGTGGCATAAAAATCTTTAAGTCCTTATTCAATCCTGATGAACATATTGTATCTTTCTATGTCTGATTGAATGATGATGCATGAGCTCTAAAATCACAAGTTTACTACAATACCTACTCAATGATTTTCTCTAGAGAATGCTTTAGCCATTATTAACATAGGCATCTTAAAAAGCCCTTATGTAAATGGTATAATGACATGTAGATATCCAAGATTAAGTTTCATACCGCATTTCAACGAGCAAACAATTTCATTGTCTGTTTGGACTCTTAGGAGCATTAACTCTTTGTTGAAGTATATGATATTATAGTAACACCTTTCTAGCTCCGAATACAGTCAAACCTGCTTTAGTGACCACCTGTCCACAAAGGCCACATTTTTTGTTACCCTTGAAAATGGTTTCTCATTGAAACATGTATTAAAGGAACCTGTCTACAAAGACCACCTGTCTACAAAGGCCCCTTTTTGCGTTACCCTTGGGCGGAGCGTTGCAGACAGGTTTGACTGTAGATGGTATAAACATCATCAAATTGTACCCTTGTATGTGCAGGGAAGTTACACACAATATATCACAATGGGCACACTCTTACCAAGATGGGTATCTCCGTTGGTCGAGATGACTTCAAATACTCCATTATCGATGGTCAGGAGAGAAACGTCAAAGGTACCACCGCCAAGATCGAAAACAAGAATGTTCTTTTCTCCTTCTTTCTTGTCCATACCATAAGCAATGGCGGCAGCAGTACTGTAAGAAAGAAAGAAAGAACCAATTAATAACACATATTTTTCGGCATAATCACTAGTCAGGAATTGTTGTCCCCACAGCACAATAATCTAATCCATGTCTATTTCTGCACTTTCATATCTATTCTTAATTTTTGTATATAAGCATTTTATTCAGTTATTTATCCCTGGAAAATTACATAATCCAAAGGCTTGAAAAGATGATCTGTGCATACATGTAGTCAGAAGTGTGTTTACTCTGTTCGGAGCCAGAACCCAGAAGGTCACCTCTGTATCAACTTATATGAGTTAATAATGCCCTTCCGGATCTATACAAACAGTATGTTCTATTCTTATGGGGCGTCGCAAGAAAATTGCGATTGATTGCAGGTTGCAAAATTTGCAACTGATATTTGCAATCGATTGCAACTCAACTTTAATGCAACACCCCACTAGTCTCTTGAATTTCCTAGGATTCTGTTCTGTTGCAAACTTGCAATTAATCGCAAGACTTGCGCTTGATTTTGGGGATTTGCAATTGATTGCAACTTTCTTGCAGCACCCCTAAGTCTGTTCTAGTTCCTGGGTTTGAAAAAAAATTAAAATACTTACGGTTCGTTGATGATCCTCATGACGTTGAGACCAGCAATGACACCGGCATCCTTGGTGGCCTGGCGCTGAGCATCGTTGAAGTAAGCAGGGACAGTCACAACGGCATGGGTTACCTTCTTACCCAAGTAAGCCTCGGCAGTTTCCTGTAAATGAATCGGAACAATGTTAGGCTTATGCAAAGTGAGGCTTATGCAAAGATATTTTTAGAATTTACATCCACCAACATAAGCATCTTTGTTTAGTTATGATAGAAGCCCCTTACAATGTTTATTCAAATTCTATATCATGCGCTGGGACCTGTTTTTTAAATGGCTTGTAGATTACAAAGATGTAGATCCTAATCAAGTACCAAAATCCAGCTCTACCATTATTAACATGAGAGATACATGTCGGGTTCCATTTCATAATAACATGTGGTCTTTCGAACACTTTGCACTCAGCAGATCATGGATGGACAGTTTTACTCATTTTCCTACATGCCTTGGACTGAAATCATAGAAGCATTCTAAACTTAAAGTCTTTCCTTACCTTCATCTTGACGAGTACCATAGCGCTGATCTCCTCGGCAGCAAAGATCTTGGAATCTGCACCGACGTTGACACGTACATGGGGCTTGCTGTTCTTGTTCTCAACCTGAAACATCAATCCAAACGTGAAAAGAATATTGTTTTAACATGACTGTGGACTGTTGCATCAAATTCTCTCAAGCTTTAGAGTACAATTTCTTAACTGAATATTGTCTTGGAGAATAACAGGATAATAAATGGGTAACAGTGGGATTTGAATTGGTGCTATATCTAAGTTTGTAACTCCAACACATATCAAACAAACCACAATTGTAGTTGAAGCATTGAAGCAAATGCCATAAATCTTTCAATACTGATAGACAGATAAACCCCCCCCCCCCCTAAAAAAAAAAAAAGAGTACCGGTAGTGATATTCTGCCTAATTAAAGTTTTTTTTTGATGAGTAAAAATTCCTGAGAGCCATCTTCTCAATATTCTTAAGAAAATAGAATCAGCAGTATTACACACCTTGAAAGGGAAATACTTGAGATCGTGCTTGACGGCTGGATCATCCCAAGTCCTTCCGATCAACCTCTTGGCATCAAAGACAGTGTTCTCTGGGTTGCTCGTCAGCTGGTTCTTGGCAGCATCACCGATAAGACGCTCACCGTCGCTGGTGAAAGCGACGTACGAGGGCGTGATTCGGTTTCCTTGGTCATTGGCGATGATCTCTACGCGACCATTCTTGAACACACCCACACTGTTCATCAGAAATGATGAGGAAAAAAAAGTGTTTGAAATGTTCATTAACTTTGAGAAGAGTATTAAAAAGAGATAGTAATATAGATCTAGGGTCTAGAATCTAGACATCTAAAATTGACTTTAAATTTAAAAAATCACTTTGATACTTTGAACTGGTTAATCTACCATTTGAATTTCATTGGTACAAAGCAAATTAATGCTAGTTGCTACATTAATGATTTCTTTACTTTTCATAGTTTGTCATCTGTTCAACAAAAAATTGACAAGTCTCAGTAGTACTACTACTAGTTGTAAGAAGATGGTTCATGAAATGCAGTCTTTCTTTTTGTGTCCACTAATTCTTACCAAGAGTAGGTTGTGCCCAAGTCAATTCCAATGACAGTTCCAATATCCTTCTTGGTATCTTCCTCGTCTTCAGCAGCAAAGGTGAGAGACGCAGAGAGCGCCACCAAGCACATACACAAAAGAAGCTTCCTCATTGTGATTGTCTTTCTTCTGTAAAATGAAAGAGAAAACATTCAAACTTAGCAAGTTAGGCTGGAATTGAATCTTAAATCAGGGAGGTGAGACTTTAAATGGAGATTCCGTCTCGAAAGAATTTCCCGAGGGAAAGATATTCAAGATTAACTTGGCTTAACAACAAGTAATTTAACCCTCTTCAGCCATCAAATCTATCAACAGCCGCCCTTATCAGACCACAGATGCCCTCTGGCGATCCAAATGTTACGAAGTGTTACGCAACGCGGCCTGCTTCCCTAAGCTCTCCAAACACTTGGTCGTAAAAAAAAGGCTTTGAAGCCATGCGAGTCACCGAGAAAATGACGTCATACTCATTGAAGATGTATATAGCTATAACAGACAAAAATACAAAATCGACAACTTATGGCACAAGGCAACCTTCTATTGGTTATCAAATGCTTTCGCTGTGCTCGGATAACTCTTCTGAAGACGTAGCCATCTGAACCAGCGAAATCGACCAAGGAAATCGCGAGTTAGAGTGAATGCAAGTTTCTCATCATCATCACGTTCTCTTCTAATTATTGACATTTTCCGAAAGTTTCCGAAATTTTTACATAGCTAGGAAGGTAGTCCATAAGTTTATCTCTTAAAATAACTAAATGAAACTGTGTTGTATATTTGCGCATTTGGTTTAATGAGGGTTAGAAGTTGTCAATTCATCACCACTTTTCACCCCGAGTACGGGCCGGCGACGCGAAAGCCGCCGTGCTCGCTGGGCTGTACATGCTGGATGTTGTTGGTGGAAACACACATAGCTGCATTACTACCCTGGCCGTGTATTCAAAGTTGTGCTATTGATTCTCAACATTTCAAACACCACTGTACAAAACTCAACTGATTTCATTCAAAGGCAGTACTATAGTGACGATTGATGACACCTAAAGAGCATTAAAATACAATTTGTTTAACTTTCTGATGTTAGAAAGAATAATTTCAAAATTAAAATTGTGAGTCTACTGTCAAACTTGCCGATCAACCGCATCGGGATGATTATGTGCATTTGTACTGTATGTTGTGAGTGTATTGACTATTCATGTATTCAAATGCTGCCTATTTACATGGAGCGGCCTACGCATTCACGATGAAACCATTTAACCGTACATTCTGGTTCGCTGCAACGAATAAGATTTTCCGTTGATGGTATTTCACACTTGCAATTGGTCTCCAAGTTCCCATACACCAGGCTCAAGAATCAAATCTTCCTCAAAGTCAGTCAGAAAGTCTAAATCGTCGCCTACCAAATACTCTTCCCTACTGTACGCCGCCATTTTTGTCGATAGCAGCCGATGTGTATTTCCAACAATGCATTTCGCGAGCCCTATGTCACTCAGTTTCGGGAGTGAGATTTACGAGCTGTGCGGTCCGGGTGGGGGATTAAGGGGATTATAATAGGGGGAAAAAAGACTGTCGGTGCAACGGACTGCTTCAAAGGGCCCTCTTAGATGCGGAATCCATTTAACTCACATGCCCTGCTTAAATCAATCTTATCTGCCAGACAATTAAGTACAAAATTTGATTACATTAATTATTCAATTATTAAATGCATTGTCTACCAGTCAATGATCAACACGATTAACATGTAGAATCTACCAGTGAAATTGTTGGTCCCAGCCAAATTGGGGGGATGCCTGATCATTCTAACTGTTAGGGATGGTAAGTCGTGCAACTTGATTGAAAGTCAGAATGGACACACCCACCTTCATACTTATCCACCTAAATCACTAGTAAAAGTCTTTATGAAACATGACAACATGCAAACAATATAGACCTTTTACTTGTAGTAAAGATATTTTACTCCGCTCGATTCATCAATTTTCCTGTTTCAAGATTCTCTCATCATTATGTTCATTTAAAATCACACTCTCATATTCTCAATTCAAGTTCAAGCAAGAACACCAGCGCACTGCAGCAGCAGAAGTTCTGAAGCAAAATCAAAATTGTCGTTGCACAGCCGCATATTGAATGATTACAATATAAAAATTGATGTACACTTACATTTCTCAGGTTTAAAAAACGATGAATTATTGAACCAATTGAACAAAATTCCTTCAAACTCAGATATTCACAGAATTTAACAGGCACATACGATCAGCTGATTGAACGTCGAGTGAATGATGTGTGTAGAATATAATGCGGGTATCTAAGCGGTGTACACGTGTGTAAAATGAATAGAACGATGCCTGTTACAGGATCTACGTTCATTTTTACGTGTGCGTAGCTGATCGTGGCCAACGCTGATTGGTCAATAACCGGCAACATGGCTCGCTGTCATTGGTCGATCATAGTGACACGTAAACTTAGTAAATATTGATGTCATATACCGCGAACTGACTCGACTACACTTCCTGAAATTTCATCAGAAATCAATACACAAAGTTAAGGAGATAATTACTCTACCTTTAGGAAACCTAACGTGTCCTTCCATAATCTGACGTGGCATTCTCATCCTCTGCCTATCTCGGGGGGAAACTAATACAGGGGAAATTTAGGGGAATTCACCTATCATTATCGAACCATCATCTTGACTGAATTTCATTATAGAGTCAACACGTTTCATCATACTTGTTATGAATGAACGTTGTGAGGCCCTATACTTCACTAAATAGTTTATAACAACCTATTGCATAACGTTTTCTGTTCCTTCTTTTTGTATGACAGATCTAAATAAACAGTAAAGAATATTAGATTGACCAACTGTTTTCTATTAAATATTTTTTAATAATAATAATAATCATGATTGTGTAAAAACAATTATGCGAGTATAGGCCTATTATACGCCACGCCAGTAAAATGCGGGGATAACTGTCTTGTTCCAGCATAATGGCATAGGCAGCAGAATTATAACTAGTGACTTAAATACTCAGTATGAGGAATTGAGGTTATGTAACAAGGAGTAGGACCTATATAAACTATTTCGTTTTTGTTTTTAAGATTTTTTTTTATTTCTTCATTTTCAAGTTAACACATGACAAGATATGATATGATGATATGGCAAGATAAGATAGAATGATAAAAACAATCATAATCGTTATGATTATGTGAACTCAGGCGCGGATCCAGGGGGGGGGGGCCGAGCGGGCCTTGCCCCCCCCCCCCCCCTGCAAAAAAAAAAAAAAAGAGAGAGAAGAAAGAAAAAGAAGGGAAAGAGAAAGAAGAGAGAAAGGGAAAGAAAGAAGAGGAAGAAGAAAAGAAAAGGGGGAAGAAGGAGATTGGGGAAGGCGAAAGGGCCTTGCCTCCCAGGCTGCCCCCCCCCAATCAAAAAAATAAGAGAGAAGGAAGGAAAGGGAAAGAAAAAAGGAAAAGAGGAGATACTGGCGTACTAATAGGGGGACTTGGGGGAAATCAAATTCAAACGTGGTTTATTTCTAATTCCACAACGGTGGATTACAAATAATGCTGAAATGACATAATTTCCGAGATTTTTCCTCACTTTTTAGTTGATTCCTACTTGTCAGGGCCCGAGGTACGGCGGGGATCGGGAGCCCCGAGCCCCCTACTTTTTTGAAAAAGTATATTAAAGAGAAATAAAATAGAATGAGAGCAAGGAAGAAAGAATAGTTAACTGCCAGTGTTAAAAAAATAATGAGGCATCAAAATATGCTCATCTGACCGTGATTAATGCCTAAAACCCCTAAGCTTCCAGGGGCTCTGCCCCCTGGATTTCACCTAGGGCCCTACGGCGGGCCCTTAGATGCTCATCTGACGGTAATTTAATGCCTAAAACCCCTGATATTTTGGGGCTCCGCCCCCTGGACCCCACGCCAAATAGTGACGTGCCAGTCTCACAAAATAATAAGGTATACAAAAAAATGCTCATCTGACCTTAATTAAACGTCTAAAACCCCTGAGCTTCCGGGGCCGGCTCCGCCGCCTCGACCCCCCCCCCCCCCCAGGGGCCCTAAGACGGCCCCTGATTCAGACAAGGATTAAGAGTATAGAGAACGATACAACGCATCGTCTTCTTTCTCTAATAACGTCAAAGCTTCGCGCAGGAGGGGAGGGGGGGGGGGGGACTGAATTCAGACAAGGATTAAGAATCGAGAACGGTACAACGAATCGTCTTCTTTCTCTCATAATCTTATGAAACGTCAAAGCTTCCGCGCTTCGCACGGGAGGGGGGAACCTAAATTCAGACGAGGATAAAGAGTCGAGAACTCGACAACGAATCGTCTTCTTTCTCTAATAATTTAATAAATCGTAAAATTTTCCGCGCTTCGCGCGGGAGGGGGAAAATTAAATTCAGACGAGAATTATTTTCGAAAACGGTACAACGAATCGTCTTTTTTCTCTAATAATTTAATGAAACGTCAAAGCTTCCGCGTTTCGCGGAGGAGGGAGGGGGAAAATCGCCCCTCCCTGCACCGACCCCCCCCCCCCGCATTACGTCACTGTTGGTCATCATTACGTACCAATATTTGGCTCGCAAAATTTCAAATTTGGGCCCCCCCCCCCCCCCCACCTAAGAAATCCTGGATCCGCGCCTGTGTGAACTTCATCAAAATAATAGTTTAATCGATTTCCAGATACACTATTGCCCATACAGTTGGTACGGTTCACCTCTTTTCAATAACTATTCTTATTACAGTTATTGTGACAAATACACTGATATCTAGCATACGGATTTCAGGTGATCAATCACTTATTTGATCAAAACAAAGTTCTGAAAAGTTATTCATCATTATCTATATCAATCGCCACAAACATTTCATGCATGAGAGGTAAAAAAAAAAAAAAAGTCCTTCTAATGATGGACCATGAACACGGTATTTACTAATTATATTGTACAAACTTCCGAGCCGCCCTTTACAAGTTCAATATATGCCTATTGCGGAGATGGCATATTCGAAGGTTACCTTTGATTTACTACAGTGGAAACAGTGGCGGATCCAGGGGGACGGGGGGGGGGGGGCGGGGTCCTCCCCTAGGAAAAAAATAGTTCAATGCACGTTAATTTTACCTTTTTTTGAAGACGGGTCCCCTCCCCTGCATGGTGCTCGGGGGAGGGGGAGGGGTGCGATTTGCAAATTTTCGGGGCCCCCCAAAACAATTATTGCTCCTTACCCCGCCCCCGCTTATTATTCACCGGCTGGCTGAGTATTTCCTGAAAATTGAACCCAAAAAAAGTGCCTCTTACCCCCCCCCCCCCCCCCCCCCGCTTATTCACGGGGCTGGCTATTTCGCCGCTCAATATTTTCTCACGAATCGGGCCCCCTCCCCTGCCGCCGGCTATCCGCCCCTGAGTGGAAATACAATATAATAAGATACTTCACAATTAGTTTGTGAAGCCTGTACGTTTGTTTCTTGAACTATATAGCTTCATGTTACTTTAAATGTTTCGATGATGATTTGACCTTCCGTTTCGACTCTTTTTAGTTCAATAAATTCTTCTTTTGAACTTACTTGTAAAATAATCCGAAAATTGGCGATTTTAATTCACCTAATTGATTGATATGATTTGCAGAAATTATACAGTACCCGCATTATTTGACTCTCTAAATTTTTCGCCTGACTTCGATCGCAGGATTCCTTTTATTTCGTCGGTGACAGTCAGTATACTTACTGGTGGCAGATACCGCGCATGCATGCATGAGCACCCGTTTTTATATGATTATAAAGTTTTCTAATCTTATATGGTAATGGTATAACCCTGTTATCTTGAAACAAGCGAAGTTCATCAGGAATGAGGTTTGCGGGAGGAGGCGCTTTTATTTTTATGATCTGTCTGATTTTTCCCGAAAAAATAATTTGCTTTTAATAGATGCAGAAAAACGTGAAAAACAGAGCAAAGAAAGTTTGAGTAAAATAGAATAACTAATTAGGAAGTTATTAATTTTTGAAAGAGTATTAACAACTATGGAACTTAGAGAATCATTACACAAATTGCAAGTTTGGTTATCAGTTTGTGACGTCAGTGCCTCGCTACAGTGCTTTACCGGTATATATTTTTATTCCATCAATTTCCCTTTCAAAGGATAACCCCCCAAAAACTTAATTTCCCCATACCTTTGCCCACTTTATATGATTTGTATAGTCTTTTATGAACTTTGAAGAATTGATACTATTTCTGAATATTGTATATCGAGTTTTACATATACAGATAGTTTATCAAAATTCACATTTTGATTAATTTAACTTGAAATATTACTTTATATTAGTGCATTCACACAAAAGCATATCAGGCCTACTTTCAATATAACTTGGATGCTGGTGTTAGGAAATAAGACTTTCAATTTAGGGGGAAAATTCGAGATGTATATTATAAAGAAAACAATTAGTGGATAGTGAGGCAATGACGTCACAGTCTCATGAGTGAGTTGCCAATTTGTCTTGTGATTTTCAAAGTTTTCATGTCATTTAAAATTCATAACTTTCTTGTTAGTAATCTGATTTTTCTCAAACTTTTTTGATTGGTTTGTCTGATTTTTCTGCTTCTATCGAAAGTGAGTAATTCTTAAAGTGGACTTGCCCTTTCATGGGAGCATGAGTTCAGTAAACACGCCAGCTCTCCCATTATTGTCGGAGGGGCGATTGAGCAGCTATTTAATTTCGTCATCATGATTCTATTTTCCCCGGGTAATATGAGGTCGGGAATTTTTTTAAACTTTTGGTCCTAAAAGCAGAAACAATAATCTGTCTATATACTAGTGGATAAGCGCCATCTACGTTGAAATCATGAAATCTCGAACGCGCGCCATATTTTTGCGAGCACAGCCATTTTCCTCGTGGTGAAGCTAGGTGAGTGACGTGTAAGCAGCAACCTCCTCGTTTTTTGTTCATGAAACATTTTGATCTGAAATTTCTATCTAACAGATTCATTTCTGAAAGCTTAAATCAACTGAAATATTTAATTGACTCATCAATAAGCTGTTCGTATTGTAGGGGAATGGTTAGTTGACATTTATGAGAGATAAAAGGAGATTTTCTGAGCCAGTGCAGAACCGCATGCGCTGTGACTGTGAATGTGCGTGTGAGAAGAGTATGACTGCCTACAAGTGCATGTCGAGATCGAGGGCGAGGCCAGATAGATGGCGAGAAACTGTTCTGCATTTGTCATTGTTCTAGTTTGCACGGGAATTCTAATTTTGAATGTTTAGGTTTTATGGATGATTGTTGCCTCTTGCTGCTGGTAGTGCTGATGAAGACAACTTATTTATTGAGTGAAGTTCTTTTAAGTTAGTGTGTGCTTGGCCTTGGTGAACTTGATTGTTGACCATGTGGGTTTGGCCCCTGGGCTGGCTGAAGGTTGTGTCACTGTCTCGGACTGACATCCTTGTCAAGTTATGTTTTGTGCTTGGTTGTCTGTGGGCATGCTTTGTGAGTGTAGTTCAATAATATCTCTTGGGAGTCATGAGGTTGATAATTTTTTTGTGAAATTGGTGCACATGATCATGACATGGCATTTTGGGGTGTGCAAGACTCTTGGGCGTGGCCCTTGACTTGTCTCAAGTTGTCTGCAGTAGGGGCGCTGGTCTGAAAATTAAGATGGTCCGCATAAACGCGGATCTTCCTAAACGCTAGAAGACAGATTCGTTCCAAAAAATAATTTTCGCTGATTCTTATTTCTGATCCGCCAAGACAGACAACCCTTAAATGTGGGCGGTGAAATGGGGGTATTTTATTACGTGGAATTGAGTGCCCCCCAGAAAATTCCGCAAAAGTGTGGATATTAATTTATTTAGAAATTGATTTGTCCGCATTTACAAGGATATCCTCGTTATTGCCGAGGATGTTTATCCTTGGACCAGCGCCCTCTACTGTTGATAAGGTTGATATTTGTTTGTGAAATGGGTGCACATGGCATGCTTGCTGGGGTGTGTACGGAAGAGGCACATTGTTGGCTAGAGACTTTCCAAAGGACAGCAAGGTCATTTTCCTTGGCCTACCAAACTTTCCCTCTCTAGAGGCTATTGCATTTATGTGTGGTTCTGAAAACAAAAGTAGATGGTGAATTTGTGAAATAAATTGTCTGAAGGGGTTTATTTATTATTTGAGCTGAGGTAATACCTTTGCAAAAAATATAAATAAGGAAAATTGATTTTCTCAAATGAAAGGCCCTCTCCTAGTGCTGTAGCCCGGAAGGCTTACCGGGTTCCAACCCGCCGGGTTGAGCATTTCGGGCCGGACCAGTTCCGGGCCGAACTGTAGCCAGAATTAGATCAACTCGGTAACAAAAACCCGGCAGTAAAAAAAGAGTTTTTAAATAGCTCATTGTTCGTTATCTACTTATCTTTCATCACCATAAAACCTGTCAAAAGTAACTGTAAACAAAATTTATACAGCATGATGGCTCGATCTTGTACATAATGTTGACCTGTCTTTGCAATAGACACAGCACACATAGATTTTGTGTTGTGTGTTCAAGTGTGTATATGTATCTCCCTAGCCCTGGCCCTGCCTGCAAGTGATGTGACTGATCAGCTTACTGTACTGACCAATCAGAAAGTTTCCCCCGAGTGGGCGGAGAGTGAAACCAGCATAAATTAAAGTTCAGTGATTGCTGGCACAGTAGAACAGACGATTCATAAATTATGAAGTTTGTTGACCTAGCTGATAGACGAGTGAATGGCAAATTTACATAATGTGTATGAGAGTGTGTATGTGAAAATTTGTTATGCCTGAGGTGGAGGCTGAGCTGAGATGAAGGCGGCAGAGAGTTAAATTAAAGAGTAATTCCATCACCAAAATACTTCCTGACAAGGGATTCAATTAGCAAACAAGATAATTATTGGGGTCCATTCTCTCTCTTATTCTCTCTCTGCCTTAATTCTCAACCAAAATTGAACAAAAAGATTTAGCCCAGATTAGAAGAAAAAAGAAGAAAAAAATGATAAGATTGTGAAATGTTGATAGTCTTTAGAGATGAGAAGGAAAAGGTTATCTTCATCATCATTCTTCCTTCCATCTTTATCTTTTTTCAATTCTATTTATTCATCTTCCGAATGTGTTATAAACCTCCCCCCCCCCCCTCAAATCAATTTGATCTTCTTTCTTTAAAAAAAAAAAAAAAGTACAGAATTATTTACGTAATGTAGTTTTTCTCCCGTTTCCTTTTCTTTCTTAAGTTTCTTTCATTGTGTCTCTCGATCCCCCCAAAAATTCATTCACATCTGATATATCTCTTTCACTATCATGTCACAGAAATTTAGAATACAAAACATTCCCTGTCAAAGATTAATGCATGCCAGACAGCTTGGGCCCAGCTGGGTGTAACATTACACCGCGGTTTCTTTGAACAGGGTTCAAAGGTTCAAAGGTTCAACAAGCAGCCTTTGTCCTGCTGTGCGCAAATTCCAAAATATATGCAAATATCAATAAAGCTATATCATGTGCCTTACATTGTGATTATTGTTTTTAATTGGCAGACAAACTGGCCAATCATAGTAGAGCATGTTGTATGGGCACTCTGACAGGAAAATGAGCTATTTTTAGGATGCCTACATACATGTACATGTAGCTAGCGTTATGCTTCATCTTTTTAGGGAGTGGATTAAGGGTGATAATTTATGCTGACCTGGGACTTATATCTGGACTCACAGACAGCATGATAAACAAAATGAAGCGATGTGCCCTCCATTCAGGACAAGGTCGGTAGATCACACAAGATGTGTTTGTAGTAGCTTTCAAATAGAATCTAGTCAATATTATTTCAGTCCAACTCTCACCGGGTTACCGGACCTTTCCGGGTCCCGTTAAGAAATTTGGAAAATTGCCGGGTCGGGCCGGGTCCGGGTTTTGGGTTCCGAGCTACAGCACTACCCTCTCCCTAATAGGCAGCAATTTACACAAAATGTTGATGATAGTCTTTCACATTGATTCGAGGCAGTCTCCCGAATAGTCTCCTGTATTGGCCATGTGCCTCTAGTGTACTGGTAAGGGGATGGCCTTTCCACTCCAGTTCAGTGATGAAGAAAGCTAGCAAAATATTCAAATTAAATTAAAAGTAATAAAATGGTAGTACATGTATGTAGTTGCATTCTTCCAGAATCTCGGGTAACGGGGGAAGTCTGTAGCCAACTAGCCATGCATGTACATGTAGATATGAATATAATGAATTTTTGCAACTCTCTGACTTACAGAGTACCGAAGCTGTGGCATCATCAAAATCTATTTTTAGAATTTCTCAATTTTGTTTTTAATTTCAAAAAGAACATCAAAAAAATAATGTCCAAATGTTGAAAGCCCATTGAATATGTTGAGTATTGGCTGAGATATGACCATCTGAATAAAAAGATTTCCTGTGGGAGCTCAGCGTTATTTTGCTCTGGTTCGTAATGTAATATGAACCAGAGCAAAATCCACTCGAATTTGTATAGGAAATCTATTTATTCACATGGTCATATCTCGGCCAATACTTGACATTTCCCATTGGTTTTTGAAATTTGGATATTATTTTTGATGCTCTTTCGGAAAAAAAAAGGAGAAAAAAAAAGAAAAAAAATAGATATTTTGATGACGTCACACTTCACCACTCTATAGCTTTAGATCATTTCAATTTGAGGCAATTGTTTTGAACTAAAACATTTGTAAGTATGTGAAATGAATTCTAGATCCCTTTTCATTGTGGAAGGTGGCAAACCAAGATTTTTCATGACACATGTAAAATAGGAAATATTTAATGTTTCCCCAATTTACATTTAGAAATGTAAACGATCAGATGAGTTGATGCAAGTGATGACAATTGTGCACAAGATTCATGAAAAGTAATGAGTGTATCTAAAAAAGTTGATATCTGATGCATCGGCTCAAACTCCATTGCACTTTGATGGAGCAACATGCTTTGATCCTCATGGTTGCTCAATTAAAAGTCAATTCTAATCGATGATTTCTCTCCTCTCCCTCTCTTTCCAATTAACCACAGCTCCGCAGTTTTGCTTTGAATGTGATCCACTATACCAGGCAACACGTCCTGTATAACATAGGTAAGTAATCAAGTAACAAACAAATTATGAGAGGGGTGGCCTATTCATCTCTGGAAAGCTCTGAAATTGCTCTTGAAACTTATGAAAAAATACCTTGTTATTGAACAGAGAACATTAGATATACATTTCCACACCTCTGCTTAATCTTCATGTAATAGGGGAAAAAACAACTGTGAACATAACTTAACTACATGATGTGATAAATCACATGATTCATGATATTGTGAAATGAAATTGGGCATCTTCTGGTTACATTTGTCTAGAGTTACTTCTGGCATTTTCAAAATGAAAATAAAGTTGTACATAAATCTATCCAAAAGTGCAATAAAAGTGGACATGGAAAGTCAAATAAGCTGCTAATTCAAATTTAGTTTGAAATAAGATGTGTATTTCCTAAGTGCATTTTTAAAGAAGAAATGGGACTTTTTTTTTTGGGGGGGGGGGGTAGGATAAGGTTTTTCAAATAAATAAGATATGTGACACAAGTGATGACAAATCTGATAGGGACAACTGATATAATCGTGATTATCAACTCAGTTCAAAAGAAGACTGATGTGTCACACAATCACTGCTCTGATGGTGTCACACAATATTTTATTTGAGGTATTTACTTAATCTATATATTTGTTTATTGCAGACACCATGGCTGGAAGAGATGATACATGGCATGTAACAAGGTATGCTTACCGGTAAACATTAAAGTATCAATTAATGCTCTGCAAATTCGGAAAATAAAACATTGTGTATGTTATGCTGCACAGAATATTTGGAATGTGTGTGGTTGATTGATCAAAAAATCGAATCCTGCGCCATTTTGATGTTCACAATCAAAATCACTAGAGAACATTGCCAATGTTCATGCCATTTATACTAATTTAATGAAATTGAGCCTTTACAAACTGATACAATTTTTTTTACTGACTTGCGACGTACATGTAGATTGGATATGATGAATCATGTATCCGCGCTTCGACTGATGGTCATTGGCCAGTGTTGAGACTTTGCATGCATAGTTGACTGATCCAATAAATTATAATGAGCTCCTTTATGAATGAAACCCATCCATTTTTATTTAAACCCCTCTTGCAATTTATGTTATGATTCATTTGCTTTGATGAAATTGGAAACAATATTCTATGAAGAATTGACAGACATTGCAAATGTATTTTTTGGAGGATATTATAGTTCCAGATCAACATTATTGTTTTATTGAAATACATGTCGGACGCATAGGAGGCAACATGTTACTTATATGTAATGGTATATGGTATGAATTTAATTATTATGAGGATCTTTTTCTCCCTTTTTGTTACCCAGATTGAAGATGCTCTTTCTTCAAAGACTTGTGCTGAACAAGGTGAGAACCTTTGCATTCTTGAAAAATGTTATCTGAATTCATTTAATTGCTTTCCTGCATAACTATGTAGTAATTGGGCTTCTATATTTCGGTTCTCTAAAATCGAAACTTGAGAGTTGAGACCTGTGTACTTCGGCAAACAAATACATGGCAGTGTAAAGTAAAATGGTTATTTACCTCAGGCTCACATGGGTATTATTTTTGTGTTGCTTCCATGAAAGTGCAAAAGTGGTCAGTATTTATGCCATGATATAAAGTTTGATTGAATTACTACTTCATCAATGTCTTGATCTCAGAATGACCGTTACAAACAATAAGCATGTTCTATTTTCAAATTAATACAATAAAGTAGTGTGCACTTCTTCCAACAACAAAAACAGCAATATGCAAGAGTTTCTGACTTTACAGTAACCCCCATTTATCTTGATATGAAAGTGGCCTATTTTCTGGACAGCGACACAAATGATGATAAGTTAACTATGAGATAATCTGTGATTATTCAATAAGTTAACAATGGATCGATAGGACTGATGTGTCACACAATCACTGTTGCGTCATGGCAACAGTCTGAATTGAAATATTGACTTAATCAATATATTATTTGTTCATTGCAGATACCTTGACCTGGAAGAGACGATGTACCGTGTACATGGCATGCAACAAGGTATGCTTACTGGTCGGTACATGTCACTGTGAACATTACGGACAAAGAAAGCAGTCAAAATGTACAGTTCCTCAGGTAGACAAAGGAACATCCCTTCACTGCTATGTAAAAATGTGTAGAACAGGTGAATATGCATGTGACTCCTGTTCTACACATTTTAACATAATGGCAGTGAAGGAATGTTCCTTTGTCTACCTGAGGAACTGTATATTTTGTCCATATTGGCCATATTTTTGTTCATATTCATAGTGTGTATTGAAAGTATTAACGAGTGCTCTGAAAATTCTGAAAAGAAGATTGTAAATGTAATGTTGCACAGAATATTTAGAGTTTGCTTTATTAATTTTAGAGCTGCCGTAAGATTTTCAATTCCCCCTTCCCCTAATATAGAGTGAAGCCAGTATTTTCTTGACAGTGACACATGTGATGATAAGTTAACTCTGAGATAATCAGTGATTATTCAATAAGTTAACAATGGATCGATAGGACTGATGTGTCACTCGAGAGCTAATTCCAGGCTAATTAATTCGTCCAAAGCGTGAATCAACCTTGTTGGAACTTGTTTGAAAATCTTATTAGTTTGCAACCTCTTCTAGAGCACATGTCTGACTAAATATCAATTTTTTTAAAAAAAAAGTAGAAGATTTGTGGTCTTGATTATGATCATGCTACCAGAATACAAGGTAACCTGTGGTACAACAAATGCCCTTGTACTTGCCCTAATGTGCTTTGTCTTAATCACTTAATTATTCATTTGATGTCCATCCTTTGCAGATACCATAGAAGAAAGACTTGAAGAATACCAATGAAGAAAGACTTGAAGAATATTGCACAAGGTAAGCTTACAATATAACCTTGTGTGATGGAGAAATGTATATATTTTTTTCTGTTTTGTCTGAAAGGACTTGCAGCTCGGGCATCATGTTACCTTTTACTGTGGTAATGTATGTGTTTCAGTGTTGCAGACAGTAAACTGGTTACCGGGGATAAAAACGCTTGCTTCTGTCATGGAAGTTGGCACTGTTCCTGACGACCTACAAACTAAATAAATAAGAGTTGTGAATGAATGCCTTTTTTTTCCTACAAGTTAAAAGTATTGAATAATGCCGTTTTGTGTAATATATAAATGTACTTTTTTCTGCTTCTGGATATTGATCAATACAATACTTGTGTTAATATATTTTTTCGCCTTTTTCATCTCTAGTTGTGTCATCCTATATATCATAACAAATGTAAGAATATTCTTAGCTCAAAAATATAAACTCTTTGTGTAAACGGAGTAATATATTGGACACTAAGTAACCAAATGCCTTTGAACTCCCCCTAATCTGCTTTGTCTTGATCTAGACACCACCTAATCATCAATATAATGTTTGCTCTTTACAGATACCATGGCAGAGATACTTGCAGGTCATTGAACGAGGTAAGCTTCATTGGATAACTCGTCAGGATTTGTCTGTTTATATATTTTAGAGTTAAATTGCAGCTCGGGCATCATGTTACCTGTTACTGTGGTAATGTATGTGTTTCAGTGTTGCAGACAGTAAACTGGTTTTCGGAATACAAACGCTTGCTTCTGTCATGGGAGTTGGCAATGTTCCTTCTACCTACAAACACAATACACCGGAATTGTGAATGCATGCCTCTTAGTGTGAAGAATTATAACATTCATTGTGTAAGAGTATGAGAAGTTATATGTTGTAAAAGACAATATTAAGATTTCATATTGATCACTATATTACTATCATTATTTTTTTCAACTTTTTCAGTTCTAGTTGTGCCATTGTCTCATTTCTCAATCATAACACATTGATGCATATTATTGAATTAGAAAAGAAGAAAAAAGCTATTTGTGAACTGAAAAATAATCACTAATTGCATTTCTTGTATTCATCATTTACCTCATAGTCAAGTGAAGAAAGACCAACTTAGAAGTGCTTGGCTGGAAGAAAACTTCTCAGAATGGATCTTTTGATAAAGGTATGTACAACTTTGAATAACTATCTTGGATTTGCAGTGTTATTTGCTTTCCCATGTTGCATTTCATTGACGGCATGTATTTTGAAGTAACTGGGCTTTGCAGTGAACATGCATGCCTTGCAGATCCAATTTTAGAAGCCATATATTTCATGAAGTGTAACCACAGAGTTACAAATCACTGCCTTGTCTTGCCAATCATAATCCTGTCTGGTAATTTTTCATCCCGTCGCACAACGAGCTTGATCTCACAATTGGGCAATAAATTTCACAAAATTAATTTATTTTACGATGTAATTTGGATATGATGAACCATGTTCCGCGCTTCGACTGATGGTCATTGGCCAGTGTTGAGAATGTGCATGCATAGTCGACTGATCCAATAACTCAAAGATGCTTTCTAAGCATTTAAATGCCAATACTCGTACCATTTAAATTTCATGACTTTAAATCTTATTTGATATAATGCATATTTGTATACTTATCCATTCTATTTTTCACATAATGTCCTCAAATTGATTATCATTTGTTAAACTTAGTAATCAGGATTCAAATGATAACATTTCTGAGTAGTGACTTCAGGCTCTCCAGTCTAGTACCTCTCAAATTAAATCTTTTTCACTTTATTACAGGCAAGATGGAAATCCAATACTGACCACCCATGATGATGAAATGGATATCTACCAGCTTGACAGGTAATTATGCTATGTGTAGATAACAACAAAAGACCAAAAGTGAATGGTGTTGAAATCAACCTTTAAATTTCATCATGTAGAGATGTCGTGGTCTAGTGGATATGTCACTGGACTGTGGATCACATGGTTCATGTTTGTTTTAGTCCCGCCGCGGCACTAATGTCCTTTAGGGAGACATTGATCTACATTTGCCACTCATGGTTACCCAATAAGGAGAAATTCCTTGAAACCTTTAGCGCCTTATTTTGGCAGCTTCAGCCAGGGTAAAAATTAAGAGCAATAGAGTATATTCACATAGTAGTTGCACTATATAAATATACCTATTAAAAAATTCTGGATTTGAATATATATTCTGTGACACAGATGATGACAAATCTGATAGGGACAAATGATAATCTGTGATTACCAACTCAGCTCAAAAGAGGACTGATGTGTCACTAGCTAATTGGTTCATGCTGTAAGGATGATGTGGCATTACACCATTGAAACTGTTGACCTTGTTAACCCCTTTGTCCTTCTCTGTAATTTACAGTTGCTGGTAGGGAGTCGACGGTCAAAGATAAGCAGGTATGTTTAGTTTAGTTTTGTTCTGTTTTCATTGTGATAAATAGCAAAGATGATGACTGACATTGGCAGAAAGAAGATGAATCTAATTTTATCTGCATTAATTTGTCAATTGTGCAGTTGAGTTATAGAGTTCTAGAAATTCACCAAATTGTACTAATAAAATATTATGATTTGCTTTCTTAAATTTGAAGGAAAGGGATTCTACTCACTGAAAATTTGTAGTTGATGGAACTTTGTTATTTCTGTGATAGGTGCTTCATGACTGTTATTAAGAATGCTGTGGAGTTCAGTAAATAGGAGTTTAGAGAATATAGATAAATATTTCTGTCATTATTTTCTTCACAATTTAATGAAATAATTTGTCTAACTCCAAGTATATATGTGTATGTACTTCTCTAAAATGTGAAGTAATCCTTGAAGTATGCAATGATGATTTTAAGCCAAGATAGGGACTCTGAGATCATCCAATGACGAGTGTCTATATGACCACGGCTACTGATGCATACCAGACAAGTCTTTGGATTATGTTTCGTTTGTTCCGTATCAAACACCCCATTTGATTTTGAATCAGTTACATCTTGCTGCCGAATGACTGTTGCCCATATTGAAGTTGAAATGCGGGTTGAATCTATAAAATGAGAATATTCTTGATTTCAGTTTAATATTCAGTGGAAATGTGCTTTTTTTTCTCTCCATTTTCTTTGGAACTGTTCATCTTTCAACAGCCATTGTTTTGGATCAAGAGTTGCTGCTGGAGACTGAAGGTATGTTATAGTTTCAATATGTGGCAGGTTAAGTTGGATTAGAAATAAATTTTAAATAAAACCATTGGTCGAGAGTATGAAGTGCTTAACCCTATCTTAACTGGGCTATTTCAGACCAGGTTTTTACTGGGGGGGGGGGTCAATTTGACCCCCCCCTAAGATCTCGGCCGTTTCACCGCCGATCGCCGCGAAAATTTGCATGCATGTCAAGTGAAGTGTAAAGAATACTATGGTAATTTCAAATTTTTGAAAAATTCACTCATTTGCATATTTATGCTAATTTATGCAAATAAGGTCATATAATTCACATTTCTGCCCATAAATCATAGATTATTCATATGTAAGTATTCTTTTTCACTACATATATTTATTAGACCATTTGGAATAATAATACAACACAAAAAATTGGAAGAGCCAGGTTATTCCTTATGTTATCTCTTGTTTTGATAATTTCTTATGTATTTCATTGTTTTTTTAACTTATGTATTTTATTGTTTTTGTTGTTTTATTTCATTTATAACTACAATTAAACTATTTTGACCCCAAAACAAACATCTAAACTTTAAACAAGACTCAATAACCAATGTTTTATCTATTTTTAGGAAAAATGACTTTTACATATGTTTTGTACACAAATCATGAAAATGAGCGATTTTCGGGCTGACATGCAAAGACAAAAGGTCACGTGACCTTGTAACCTTAGGTCCGATTTTCGAAAAAATTGTTTTAAAAGATGCGTAAGACTCGAAAGTAAAAAGTCGTGAAAGGAAAATTTTATATTTGCCGCGGTTTCGGAGTAGTCGCGAAATTTCTACAGGGGGGGGTCAAATTGACCCCCCCCCCAGTTAACATAGGGTTAATGTGATGAAACAGCTCATAGTTCTTATAATATTCCGATCTTCAACTGACCCAAGTAATTGTCAGTAACAAAAGGGCTCTCCTGTGCTTTGGATTTGCTCAACATGAAGGAACTACATTATATGTCTGTAGAAATGCGTTGCCTCTGCAAAGTTACAAAAAGAAATTTGAAATTCCATCGAACAAACTATCCAACAAAACTCCTATACAGTCGCCTCGACACTATTTTGTGGAGTTTTCATGTTTTGCATTCTTCATAAAGACCACATTGACAGTGGTTGACGAGTTGATATCAATCGAATACAAGTGTATCAATGATGACAATATTTGCTACTCTCGACTGTTGAAGAGTGACGACACACAAATCACCAAGATCCCTGAGCTACACTTGTTTATTAAAGAACTCATCCACAGTGGTTCAAACTGAAGAAATTGACAGTTGTTCCAATGTACTCTATTCCGTTTTGTTTCTGCTGTTTATTTCAGATTTCTCCACTTCCCGAGTCTGAGTGATTGATGACCTCGTCCTTGCAACAATGTAAGCAACATTCCGATTCTAATTTCTGCATATAAGACGTTGTAATAAGCTATGAACTATATAAGTTTAACTGCCAAACAGAAGTTGAGCCGGTTACTTTGTAGGAGATAAATTTGATTTTTACAAGAATCGACACTATCGTGAATTAATTTTGAAAGAGAGTCAGCATAGCCTGGCTCTTAAGATTGGGTTCAGTGTATCAATGATGACAATATTTGCTACTCTCGACTGTTACAGAGTGACGACACACAAATCACCAAGATCCCTGAGGTACACTGTAACCCAATGTGACAACATCCTTGTGAAGTTGACTTTATCACGAAACCCTACAAACCACCCATTCTCTCTCCTAGTCTCTGGTGGTGCATGACAGTTTTCAAAGACAAATTTGTTCCAAATAAAGTAATTTCTAAGGTCTCATGACATGCCTACTGGTGAAATCTGGACTATTACAGCAGGAAAAATATATCTTAGGGAAGTATCTGTATTTTAGCAATAGCCTCATATTAGGAGAATCCACCTCTTATTTGCCAATTATTTTTCATGTTTCATCTTCAAATTTTCATTTGTTTTAATTCCCCTTTTCAGATAGTCCACAATCATAACTGAAGGCAGATCTCGACTTTGTATTGATCAAGGTAAGTTTGATTTTATATATCTTATTCATTAAAAAAGAAAGTATGGTGTTTCTGAAATGTTTAATTGTCAAAGAATTTCCATATTTACTAGAATTCAAAATGCACCAAGGTGTGTATTGACAGCCAGCAAAGTATGATTATGAAATGTTTTGTTTGATTATATTCATAGCTGATGCTATAAATGGTGCATAAATAAATGTATTGTTTCACAGTTATTGTGTGGTAGATGATAGGACAGTAGAGTAATCTACCAGCTCATTATCATGTGCTGTACTTTGTGTAAATTGTTTTAATTTGTCTGAAAGTCTTGAAATGATGAGCCTGCATAATTATGGTTAATGAATCAATCATGATTACATACCCACTGTAGCGACTAGGGCGGACTGATCTAGACTTTCCTTCTAACCTCGCGTTTTCATTAGTGTCAACAGAACTACTACATGTATGTGATGTGCTTGACTTTCTTATCCTTTTTTTGCACTCTTTATAGGCTATCTGAATGAAGCAGAGGAGTTTGCAAACCAAGATCTGTATCCAGTTCAAGGTGAATATTATATACTTTTCGGTGTGATATTGAATATTTGATATGTGTAAATTTTATTTGCAAAATGTCTGTAAAATGATGAGCCTGCATAATTATGGTTACTGAATCAATCATGATTACTAACTCACTGTAGCGACTAGGGCGGACTGATTGCAGACATATTAATCATTCATTTTTTTGTCTAAAAGTTGAAATAATATGAATACTTAAAATATGTCTCTGCTATGTGTTACTTTCCAGACTCTGGTTGGTGGAATTTGCATACCACGAGCTGCATCCAGAACAAGGTAAATATATATATTTTTTTAAAGTGGGATGGACATTTCGTGTATGTCATATAAAACTTTTGGAAAAGAAAGTGTGATGTTGAAATATTTGATATGTGTAAATGGTAGTGGAAACTGTCTGTAAAATGATGAGCCTGCATAATTATGGTTACTGAATCAATCATGATTACTAACTCACTGTAGCGACTAGGGCGGACTGATTGCAGACATATTAATTGAGGTATTTGGTCAAAAAGTTGATAAAGACCAACCAAGGGAGACAAAAAAAGTGGTCGATATAGCATGGTGGTCTTGATGTACAGGTTCCTTCACTTCATGTTTCTATGAGAAACCATTCTCAAGGGAAACCAAACATGTGGTCTTTGTAGAGAGGTGGTCACTAAAGCAGGTTTGACTGTACTTACAAAACGTCTCTGCTTTTTGTTTTCCTTCTTCCAGACTTGACTTGATGATGTGAGCTTGTGAAGACCTGCATCCAGTTCCAGGTGAGCATTTTATATTTTCTTCTTGATAGAAGTGATCTTTAAAAAATTTAGCATAATTCAAAGGAGATGAGAAACAATTTGCTAAAGTACTTGCTTTATGGAATTATGTTACTGGTAAGCAAAATGTCTGTAAAATGATGAGCCTGCATAATTATGGTTACTGAATCAATCATGATTACTAACTCACTGTAGCGACTAGGGCGGACTGATTGCAGACATGTTAATCAAGGTCTTTGTCTAAAAATTGAAAAAAATCTACATATTGGTCTACTTATCACATGCCTTTTCCTCCATATGTTTTCTTCCAGATTTGACTTGATGCTGTGACCTTGTAAAGAGCTGCCTGCAACCAGTTTTAGGTGAGAATTTGATATTTTTCTTGATAGAAGTGACCTTCAACAAAAAATGTCTTAAACAGAATTCAAAGGAGATGACAAAATTGAGAAACAATTTATGCTCAAGTACTTGCTTCATGGAATTATGTTGAGCAAAATGTCTGTAAAATGATGAGCCTGCATAATTATGGTTACTGAATCAATCATGATTACTAACTCACTGTAGCGACTAGGGCGGACTGATTACAGACATACATGGTCATGATTCTCTTCACATCTTATTTCATGGTCTCTTGATAATTTCTAAACCCCTTCTATGTAATCTTTCATACAGGTATGCACATTTGGACACTTCTTGCAAGGAAAGGTAAGCTTTTTGACAGTTACTTCTCTTTAATATGAATGTTAGAAGCTTGATTTGTTAGATTTTTAGGAATTTTAATCTCTAAATATCGGCCTATCAGCCTATGTGAAAGAATGGGGATCTTGATATGTTCTTACACCCTTCTCATAGGGCTTTATGGGCAGCATCTTATGGAAAGGTTGCTGATGCTCTAGACATTTTCTAAGTCTTTTTATTCACCTGTCAATTTCTTTCTTTATTTTAAATGGCTGCTTGTTTTCCACAAAATCATCATAACTGGGCATTGTGAGTGAAGTGATGATGATAGCATAGTTCAGCTGAACATCATTGATGACACCTTTATGAGTATCATGTCTTTCGCTCCTAGCTGATGCTTCACTCGCAAACGTTCATATTCATGTTTAAAAAAAAAGTATTGATGCGTCTTTTCAATTTATAGTTCGTGCCTGAAAAGACTAGAATATACAATGCTTCGATGGATTTCATGTTGATTGACTACACATACCCTCTTGAATCTTGTTCAGAAATAATAGAATGCTTTTTTTCCTTTCCATTTTCAGGCCAGTTTCCCCATCCATTTTCAGGCCAGTTTCCACAATGGTGTATTGTATGAAGCTTCAACAAAGAAGATTGGGAAAAGGTAAGCCGTAATTCATCGCAATTAGGACAAGATTATTGTACAAGAAAGATTTCTTCACTACTGTAATGGATGATAATTGCACATGAATTAACAATAACTGGACACGTTCCGAGTGAAGTGATGATGATAGCATAGTTCAGCTGAATATCATTGATGACATCTTTATGAGTATCATGTCTTTCGCTCCTAGCTGATGCTTCACTTAGTAATTATTGACTTCTTATGATGTTCAAATTTTAATGGGGACTTGTACACAAAAGCCGTAATGTCAATACATTTTTTTTATTTTTAAGAAATGTAAATTAAAGTGTAGATTTTTTTTCTTCATTTTTTACATTATCTCAAGTTTCCTAGTGTTCTGAATGCTATCAATTCCGTCACCAATGCCGTCATGTTTTTCCTTGCCCATTTCAGGCCAGATCCCCTGCTGACGTAGAGTCTCGTCAAAGTAGAACAGGTAAGTCACTTTCATGCAAGTGTTGGTGAATGTTATTATGTAAATTAGTTCACTAGTTCTTATTCTTGTCTTGTAACGAGTTTTTCGAGACATCCCGATCTCGAGTCATCCCTCCAGTTAATTGCAAAGTTTGAAGTCACTCATTTTCTTTTGCCTTCGTTGATTCTAGTTAAATCGATTGATTTTGATCAGTCTCAATTCTTGAAAAGTGGGTCACATGTTTGCACATTCCTAGTGCCAGTAATTTAATAGTGGAGGAGCTTAAGAACTTGGTCCTCTAAGAATTTATTCATTTCTGTGAGTTGTATGTGATGATTTAATCATTCTCAGGGACGTAATTCTGATTTCTGATGTGAGAATGTACTGATACACTCCAGATAACTTTGGCCTTCCTTAGTCTATGAATATGTTGTATCAATTAGATCATTGCTAATAATTTTATTTATGCATTCATGTTGAGACTTTATCAAATTTCAACACATGTACAAGACTTGAAGAGCCCCAACTGAATATTTAAATTGTCAGTTTCAATGAGACAAAGTTGTAATCCATGTGCATTTGGTGTTTATGATCCACAGGAAATGGAGCCAACAATGCTTGATCGAGGAAGGCGACCTAAATGCCCAATCGAGTGTCAACAGTTTCCTCATCTCTTGTACACATTCCATGATGTCTCTGCAACAGGAGTGAGTCTGTCTTTGATCCAGTGACAGCATGATGTGATGGTCATCAACAGCAGAAACATTGTAAGTTCTTAACAAACCTAGCTTGAGCAGATGTAAGCTGTGAAGAATGAAACTGATTTGCACTGTGAAAGTTCAGACACTACAATATTTGGATATACTTTGATATTATGACAAGAAAAGAATAATGAATTGTAACTTCAATCTATAGGTTAATGGTTTAAGTTATTATTAACAACATTTTAGGTGGATTTTTTGGATGGCCATGTTCAAGGGATGATGGTGTGATCCACACTTCAATTCAATGAAGAAGGCAATATGATGCCTACTGTATTAGCTCTATCTGATGAACGTGGGCTATCTGTGTATACACAGGCTTCTGAATCAGTGAACTTGGTACAGGCATTACATATCTTGTACACTGCTTTCAAAGACTAGTCTGCAATTTGTTATTGATGTGTCCTTATGGCTAAATATAGCCCTTCTAAAAATCTTATGAGCATGACCGTAGTGCATAATGCATTAACTACATGTGTGTTTTTGTTTGTTTATATAGGTTGATGGCGAGTCTTGTTCGGCACAGAGGACAAGGCATAGGAGTGAAGGTAAGCAATTTTGCAGTCATACATGCTGGAGGCATTTTGTAATCAGGTTGTGCGTACGTCCCGTTCTTGTGAACCTATTATCTCTTTTTTGTCCAATCAATATTTTTCATAAATTTGTGAGGACTCGTTTCTGTGATGATACCTACACTGCCAGTTCTGCTTCTGATTGTGTACTGAAGAGACTAAACTTTGTGTTACTATCTGAGAAACGAGTAACGGGTGAACAGAAAGAGAAAATAAAATCTGTTTCATCTCTGTTTCACTACTGGCGTCATGTACACTTCAGGATACTAATACTACATGTGCCATTTTAGATTATGTTCTCTGTAATTGTTGTACGGGGGACCGTAGATGAGTCCCTTTTTTCTAGTTTTATTGGCTAGTCAAGAAACATTGCAAATGAAAAGACGCTTGTATTTCTTAATGATTGTGTTTTGTCACACAGGAAGAGCCTTATTTCCCTTTGAAGGAAGGATCCTCTTTGCTTGTCGGCTAAGGACACAGAACGAGTGAGAAAAAGTGTGAGGTAAGTCTTCGCCATATGGGGCTTATGATCTATTTGAGGGCCAGCTCCTTCCATTCATGTATGCTCACCTGGCGTTATTTACTATTATGTTATAACATTCTTTGGATCGATAACATATTAATGAGAAACCTGATTTGCATACGCCCCTCAAAAAAATTTGGTTGCCATTTTTAGAACTCATTGAACATATATTTGAGAGGACTCAATTCTGTGATGATACCTACACTGCCAGTCTTGCTTCTGATTGAGTACTGAAGAGACTAACCTTTGTGTTGCTATCTGAGAAACCTGTTTCATCTCTGTTCCACTATTCGTGTCATGTACACTTCAGGATATATCTGATTTAAAGTATGTGCCATTCTAGATAACATTCTCTAATCGTTGTAAGGGGACCATAGACTTATCTTTTATTTGTATTGGCTAGTCAAGAATTATTGCAGATAAAAAGAAGCTTGTATTTCTTAATGATTCTATTGCTTTATTTACAACTTACATTGTCACACAGGAAGAGCCAATTTCCCTTTGAAGGAAGGATTCCCTTTCCTTTGTCAGCCGAGGACACAGAACGTGGATCTTAACCTCCTGCAACCTAGAACAAGTGCGAGGTAAGTCTTCACCATATTGGGCTTATTATGTAGTGCGTTAGGTTATCAAGAAAATGGTGCCCATGTCGTGCTGAGAAGCTGTACATTATTCTTGCTTTATTCCTCTCAGTCTTTCGTACACTTTGGTTGGGAATATTTTAGATTAATGGGCAATGATATAATAAATCTCTCAGAATAAGTTATTTCTTGGGGTGATATTTTCTTTCATTCCTGCTTTTGATTGTATTGTGCAATTATGTTGCATCATGCTAGAGCCCTGCACCTAATTGTTCTTTGTGGGTGCAGGGTGTATTCTTGATGCCATAGCAAAGTTCCTTGATTCTTTCAAAGGCCTCGTCCTGAATATTGTGTATAAGGCCTCGAGAGTCTTGGCAACAGATATTGTCATTTTCATGTGTTTTGTTAAAAACAAGTGGTTTAAGATCTCGTAACGGAATAATTATTGTCAAGTGGTGGTCTTTCATATCTGTTGATGATAGCAACATGTTTGTTTTTTGTTTTTGTTTGTAAAAATGAGTTAATCTCTGAAAACAAGTCATGGGGGAAAAAAGTTTGACTTGCATTTGCATTAGGTTTTTAGGCCTCCGCAACAAAGTGAACAATACGAGAAAATGAATCGATCAAAGATCCCTCGTCACGATATGATCATTCCATGGAGGATCTAAATAACTGAATAATATTTTATTATTTGCACCACTCAAGGTAGAGGTGTTGACAATTCTTAACAATTCATTTGCTTCCGATTGCAGGACTTTGACATTGATGTTGGTTTCACCGTTACTCATGTCATGGTCAAGAACATCAGTTGAGGTCAACTTTGGCCAGAAGGTAGGAAAAAGCAGCCCAGATAACTTATTTTTGTGCAATCAATTCTTTAAAAAAAAAAGTAATTTGAGAGGACTCGTTTCTGTGATGATACCTACACTGCCAGTTCTGCTTCTGATTGTGTACTGAAGAGACTAAACTTTGTGTTGCTATCTGAGAAACGGGTAACAAGTGAACAATAAGAGAAAATAAATCTGTTAAAGATCCATCTAGTCTAACCACAATATGATAATTCCATACAGGATCTAACTTACTGTGAATAAAATTGATTATTTTGACCAATCAATGTAGATGAGTTCACAATTCTCAACAATTAATTTGCTTCTGATTGCAGGACTTTGAAGGAGAGAAGCCAACCATCTCGTACACCAAGAAAAGCACCAACCGTGGTGTTGCTTTCACAATTGGGAAGAACTAAATGGTCAAGCCCTGTTCCCTCATTCAGGGTCAAGAACATCTGTTGAGGACAACTTTGACCAGAAGGTAGGAAAAAGCAGCCCAGATAAATTATTTTTGCCATCAATTCCTTAAAAATTGAAAATATATTTGAGAGAACTCGTTTCTGTGATGATACCTACACTGCCAGTTCTGCTTCTGATTGTGTACTGAAGAGACTAAACTTTGTGTTGCTATCTGAGAAACGGGTAACAAGTGAACAATAAGAGAAAATAAATCTGTTTCATCTCTGTTCCAATTCTGGTGTCATTTAAACTTCAGGATACTTCATGTGCCATTTTAGATTATGTTCTCTGTAATTGTTGTACGTGGGACCAGTCTCTTCTTTTAGATTATTATTGGCTAGTCAAGAGAGCTTGTATTTCTCAATGATTCTATTGCTTTATTTCCAACTTAAGTCCTACAGGTGGAGCCATATTTCCCTTTGAAGTAAGGATTCTCTTTCCTTTGTCAGCTGAGGACACAGAACGTGGATCTAAACCTCCTTCCACCAAGAAGAAGTGTGAGGTAAGTTGTCGCCACATGGGGCCTATGATCTATCCGAGGGCCAGCTTTTTCCATTCTTTTTTCGCATCATTTGACTGCGGGCAGTTGGAAGAAGATCATCTTGTTCCAAATGGAATACTTTACAATGCTTTCTATGTATCTGAGAAATTGTGCTTATATATCAGACAAGGTTTGGGGTGGGTGCTGTATGGTACGTAGTAATCCGTCAATCTGTAATTTAAAGACCAAGGATTTGCACCATACTCAAAATACTTCATAGAAACAACTTCACATTTGAAGATGGAGGAAATGAGACTAAAGTATATCATTGTCATGTCGTATTGCGATGATCTTACTTGGCAGTAGAGCAGTGATGAAAGAATCGAATGCCCCAGTATGAGATACAAGGTGATTTTTTTCGTTCTACCCTCTTATAGACTTCTGAGCTCTACCAGTCCATTTCCTAATGCAAAGATTCCTTCTACTTCTAAATCTATAGATTTGATGTTGGGGGAAAGAATTAATTTTGTACCAGTCAATCCTAACATCTTCGGTTGTAATAGATTTTCTCTTGTGTCTTTTCGTATTAGGTTCTTCATGGAACTGAACCTGCTGATTTTAACGTCAGAAAGTCCAGTCCTGCATGTGAAAACAAAGGTGAATATCATATGGCTTTTTTTGTCCACATCCTTTTAAAAGTAGCCCTTCTCTGTTGGGTACTTAACAAAGTAATCTTACTCGTTAGTTTCATGTGGATGATCTTGTTACATATAGCATAGAACAAAGATAGGCTGCTTTACAAAGTGCTCTAACCCATTTCTAACTTGATTCTATTATGAGCATGTTCCTCATAAGCTCACTGTTATCGTCAATTTTTACTCGTGGAAGTATTTTTCTAATGTCTGGTTCCCAAAAGTTTCTCACAGTTAGCGTATGTAAATAAGGTAGGAAAGCAAATAAATGATGATATTCCAACTTCAGGTCCGTGTTTCTGATTACCCGTGATAATAATGAAGTTCTGATCTTTGCTTTACCTCCACTTTTATCTTTTACAATAGATCTTAGGCGTGTAAACCATTAAGAATGATTCTTTCTTGTAAAAAAAATTCATGAGAATGATTGAATACAATATCTATTTTCTTCCTCTTTCAGCTGGAGATACCCTGCCACCGATTTTCTCCACCTACATCCATCATTACAAGTAAGTGTAAACACAAACAGCAACTTGAGTAACTAATGTAAATAGAGAGGAGCAGAGAAATGATGATACTCCAACTTCGGTCCGTGTTTCTGATCAACCCTGATAAGAATGAAGTTCTGATCTTTGCTCATGCCACTCCTTTTATAGCCTGGCAGTTTCATTATCGCATAGCTGCCAAAAATCTTACTTTAGAGGAACGATACATATGTCCCTGCCTTTAAACTAGTGTTTGTGCCCTATTTTGCTTATGTTTTCTGAAAACGTCTAAATAAAGGCATTTTGAAAACATGTTCATAATTTTGGCTTTGGAGACGCTTATTTTTACTGTGGAAGGTTGGCAGATATGTGATTGTTCACTCACTCTAATATATCTCGTTCATTATGGTACATACAATATTGCTCATTACTTGCATGTGTAATATCTGTTGGTTATTAAATTTGAGCTGACAATGTAGAATATGGCATAGAATAAATGATTTGGTTGCGACAAGAATGTGTAATTGCTTTGCACGTTTTTCTTCTGTGTATTTTCATAAGATATTTATCATCATTTTCCTTTACACTTTCAGATAACAGCTTGGTCGTTCTGTGTTGAAGGCTTTCACCTTTTGTCCTGTGATCACTTATATGCTTCACATCTAATTCAGGTAAGTGAATTGCATCGAGCCACATCTGGAATCTTAATTAAGACTTGTCAAACATCTTTCCAAATTGATTTCATTCAAAGTAATTAAAATATTAATTGTTGATTGTTGGCGTAAAAAGAAAGCTAGGTTCTACAAAGGAAATAAAAGTATTAGGCGAGTTACGTGATGATTGTGAGAAGTTATTCTAGAATTTGAAGTCTGTATAAGAAATTTTTCATTCGCAGAGCAGTGATGATAGTATCGAATGCTCCCATATGAATCAAAGGTGATTATTTTCGTTTACCCTCTTAAGTATAAACTGAGCTCTGCTGTTGAAAATCTAAATCTCATTTGACATTTTCTGCCTTGGATATATTATTACTTAACACGATTCTTGTCATTCTCCTTGCCCTTATCCTTCTAGTGATCTGTGACACTGATACCTTGCCAAGTCTTGTCGCCCAATGTGGATCACCAAGAGGGATCCTCTGAAGACCATGGTAAATATCAAATTTTCTTTTTACCCACATTTTCTTTTTTTCCTACAAGGAAAACATGGTATATTTGTAGGCCTGTGATGCATCGCAGGGTTGCAAAAACAACATATCCTCTCCCTTGCATGTGGTACTACATGTACTTTGTGACTGCTTATTGAGGGTCTTTGGGATTCACATGGCTTGGTTGTAAGACACTTGCTTTTGCAAGACTTGCTCCACATCAACAATGTCTCAGACTTGCTACATGTTAAACTTCAGCCCTGGACCAAACACTATACCCCGCCCTATCCCTTGCCCAAGACCTAACGCCAAATCTCTACCCTAATTTTATACCTTTGATTAAATAACCTCTGAGCAACTGTTGTATCCCTCACAGTCTGAATTTATTGAGTTTTCCACATGTAACCTTTGACCTATGATGTTATTTCGAGTGATCCACCTGATCATTTGTTGATGAATACTCTTAAATCTCTGAGGTCAGTCTAGTCAAACTATATGTTAAACTTATAGCAACTTGTACCAATGATTGAAATAAATTGAATTCTCATTTCATATGCATTTAGGTGATTTGAAGTAATCATAGACGGTCAAATACAATTTTAGAACCATTCCATCATTCTGACTCGTTCATTACAGGTGATATGCAGTTCATGGTCTGCGGAGCTTATGTCTGCATGGAAGCAAGACATGTTAAACGAGGTAAATATATTGAGCAGTTGTAATTCTTATGCATGATCTTGTTTTCCCTGGCTTGCGAGTGATGACTTTTACAATTGGGAATCTCTCTGATATAATCATGAAGATAAACATTGTCGGCATAATATGCTGTCCTGACACAAGCCAAGTGGAAAGTATGAGTAGTGCTGTTATCAAACATTCAAGTTTGAAAGGTTACAGCCCTCGAATTGCCCATAGAGGCCACACAGCATTTGGTTGAGATGCTTGCTTACTGATTAAAATGCCCCTCTTAAAATGACAAAAGCTTATGATCAGTTCAACACAAAAACTGAAGATATTTGAGGCCTGATGTGAAGATTTGATAGTTTTTTCCCCCCTTCACATACCCATCCCCATATTAAATCATAAGTATTAATAAAATGATAGTATAGTTTATCTAATGTATTGAATTCAGGAGCATTTCTCGTCTTGTTTGAACCCACAGATCTTGCATGGACTTTATATCTATCTGGTGAATGGCTTTTGACATTTAGGTAAGTTCCCTCGATTCAATTTGAATTTAAATGTAACGTGATTGGGTAATGCAACTTGTATAGCAATAAATGCTTTAAAATTACCAGAGTTTTTCTCCGTTCTACTTCTAAGATTTATTTTTACGTGTTAGAACCTTCAGGCAACTGCCCTGCCAAGGGGGGGCCCTGTATATAATGTTGACCTGCCCACGATTTGTTCAAACATTCTAGTATCTGTTGCGCAAGCTTGCTCAAAAGTCAGGCAATGGTGTTATATTTCCATGTAAAATACAAACGGATTTCTTGCTACCACCAAAGATTTGTTTGTTAAAATGTAGATTATCAGTTATATATATAGGATGAGACATTTGTTATGTAGTATATGAAGTAAAGATATCTTGGGGACTATTTTAAAGTGGAATGGTATTTCAATGATGATTCTGATTCTGCCAAATGAAAGCCACAAGATGGCCTTTTTGATTCCAACAATCCCGTTTCGCGACTTCACTGAGGAATACCATTACCATTACACGATGTGATCATATGTCTTGAATGATGATGGTGGAATGATGTAGTCATCAGGGCCCTGTGTTGCGATTGATTCATATCAATCAAGAATTAATCGCAACTGTACTAAAGAGATGGGAGTTGTGATTAATTTAAAGATGCAATGGATTCCAATCAATCACATCTCTTTATAAGATGGCCAAGGTTATTCAAACTTTCATTTTTTTCTTGTATGTTTTTTTTAATTGCAGGAAACCCAGCAAGTTTGAGGTTTTGGAGCTCATGGTCTTAAGGGACTCGAATCAGACAAGGTATGGATATGTTTGCTTTTTTCCTTATTCCTAACTGAAGCAAATTTTGTTCATTAAAAAAAAAATATATAATGGAATTATAAAAAAAAAGATTTGTAATTGTTAAATATAAATATCAGGGGACAAGTGGTGTGGTATATTCCAATGAGGATTCTGATTCTGCCAAATGAAAGCCACAAGATGGCCTTTGTGATTCCAACAATCCCGTTTCGCGACTTCACTGAGGAATACCATTATTACTACACGATATGATCATATGACTTGAATGATGATGGAACAATGTAGTCATCAGGGCTGTGTATTATTAAGAGTTGCAAACTTTGCGATCGAGTCATATCAATTGAAACTCAAAATTAATTGCAACGGTGCACTAAAGAGATGGGAGTTATGATTTATTTCAAGTTTTAATGAGGGGGCCAAGTTTGTTCAAACATTAATTCTTTTCTTCTACTTTTTTTTAATCACAGGAAAGCCAGCAAGTTTGAGGTTTTGGGAGCTCATGGATCTGGAGGAACTCTAATCAGACAAGGTATGGACATGCTCTCCTCTTCCCGTATTTATTACTGAATCAAATTTGTAGTACATAATAAAGCTTAAGCCTATTCTGGAAACAATTTTGAGGTGTAATCCAGTCTAGACACATGGTAGATGATTAATCATGAATTTCATTTATCTTGCATGAAAAACAACTTTTTGAGATGTATCCAGTGGGTAGATAATTAATTAATACAAAATATGATTTCTGGGTCTACATTACCGTATGTATTGAGTGATTGTTATGAGCTGTTATGAGAACATGATGATTGTTGTTATCCTCTTGAACTCTCTATCTGAAAGCACGCCAGTGCATGGATGAGATTCTTCAATCTGATACTTGTAACAACTCCATTAATTCCTGCCTGGAATAGGTCTTCAGGTACTTACAGCTAAAGTACTCAAAATAGCCTGGGCTAGATAAAGTTATAAGAAAAATAATCTTAAAGCATGGTTGTAGTTCATGCAGTAGGTCTTTTATTCTGCTTACTTGCAAGCTGTGATCAGAAGATGGGAATGGCCGTCTTCAAGAAAAGGTGTTTGTTTCTCACTGTTTTCTGTATTTTTCTAATCTTTCATTGCTGCAGGGTTTGGAATGATTCCATCTGGATACTTCATCGTCAATCAACGGATCATCTTTAGAAGATTGCGGAAATCTTAAAACTCAGTTTTAGAGCGGCTGCTGTACACTCCTTAGACTAGGAAGCAGAAACTTCACATAATTCCTTTATTACTAGAAATCATTGAAACACAAAGATAACTAGATTTGAATTTGTCATTGCTGATGAATTAGGTGATCCACAGCAGATCGATCTCGTCTGAATGACTAAGAAACGATCGCCAGACGGCATCTCATGAATGAACAAAATTGTTCACTCAGATTCCTCCGAACATGAGGTACTCTCTAGATTACCTAGTTATATGAAAATTGAATATTTATATTTGTAAAGACAAAATGATAAAAAATAAATTTCAGAAAGTGAAATCTTCCAGTTGTGAATTCATGTTCATTTATGTCATTTTAAGCTTGTGAATGTACTGAAAGTCTTGAAAGTGGGGGAAAAGGACGAAAAGTAGAACAAAGAGTGAATGAAAGAAAGTGTTTTGCTTGTACTTTTGGGGTTCACAAGGAATCAAGTTTCGGTTATCTTGGAGCCCTGGCCAATTCTGTTTAACCCTATTTTAACTGGGCTATTTCAGACCAGGTTTTTACTGGGGGGGGGGGTCAATTTGACCCCCCCCCCTAAGATCTCGGCCGTTTCACCGCCGATCGCCGCGAAAATTTGCACGCATGTCAATTGAAGTGTATAGAATACTATGGTAATTTCAATTTTTTGAAAAATTCACTAATTTGCATATTTATGGTAATTTATGCAAGTACAGTCATAAAAATCACATTTTTACCCATAAATCATATATTATTCATATTTAAGCATTCTTTTTCACTACATATATTCATTAGACCATTATGAATAATAATACGACAACAAAATTTGGAAGAGCCAGCTTATTCCTTATGTTATCCCTTGTTTTGATAATTTCTTATGTATTTCTTTGTTTTTTAACTTATGTATTTCATTGTTTTTGTTTTTTTATTTCATTTCTTACTACAATTCAACTATAATGACTCCCAAAACAACCACCTAAACTTTAAACAAGACCCAATAACCCATGTTTGATCTGTTTTTAGGAAAAATGACTTTTACATATGTTTTGTACACAAATCACGAAAATGAGCGATTTTCGGGCTGACATGCAAAGACAAAAGGTCATGTGACCTTGTAACCGTAGGTCCGATTTTCGAAAAAATTGTTTTAAAAGATGCGTAAGACTCGAAAGTAAAAAGTCATGAAAGGAAAATTTTATATCTGCCGCGGTTTCGGAGTAGTCGCGAAATTTCTACAGGGGGGGGGGGGGTCAAATTGACCCCCCCCCCCCCAGTTAACATAGGGTTAAAATAACTTTATATTTCCCCATGTACATGTATATCTAAAGGTATACTGATTTTATTATGAATTCAGAACTGAAGGGGAAAAAATGAAATGAAAAAGGAAGTGAAAGAAGAGTGATCAAAATCAGAAAACAATATGAAGAGCGAACTATAATGGATAAGTTGAGAGAAGGAAGGTGAGAAATAGTAAATAATTACGAGTGAATGAGAAAGGTTTAAAAAAAAAAAGTGAGAAAGAATGACTGGCGAGGAGTCGTCAAATGAATATCAAAAGTGACGATAGAAGAGCATGAGGGAAAAGGTGAGAAATTATGTGAAAGAGAATTTCAGTGATTGAACAAAAAAGATAAAAGGATGAGCACATGACAACCACTTGATGTAAGATTGGTGGGCAAGGAATACAGTGTAAGGAACTACATCTGCAGTCAGTTTGACTTCTTAGTGTGTCCATCAACTTTCATCTTCACTCTTTCACTATACATGTGTATGTATGTGGTAAACTTGTCCTTACTACAATACTTCTATCCATCTCCTCCGATTCTCATACTTTGATTCTTTTACTCTTTTACTCTTCCTTCTCCAGTCTCCACTTACTATAATTCTTCATCTTTAATTCCTTTCTTTTATCCACCTGACATTGCGTACTTCTCCGATACCAAATTTGCATCTGAATATGTCTTGCTCTCAATTGTCCCCCCCCCCCCCCTCTTTCTCTCTCTCTCCCTCTAAAAACAAATTAAAACTAGATGGAACTTCGACTGCACGCAGTCGAAAATGATGCCTCTGCCATAGAGCGATTTCACAAACCAAAACAGAAGCAATTTTTCAAACTTAAGTTTAATTGTAATCCATTAACAGGTTCTTAGAATATCAAGATTACAATCTACTTTTCATATACATGCATGACCCTTTTATCTTTGACCTCACGACCCGAACATCTAATCAGTTCATTGGCTTTGCAAGATACAAACATGTCTTAGTTTGATGATAATTTGTCCATTGGTTCTAATGTGATCACGAGCTATTTATGCATACATAATGAGCCCCGCCACTTTTGACCTCGTGACCCCTAAATCTAATCAATTCATTGGCCCTGCAAGATAAATACATGACCTAAGTTTGACAGGAGTCTATCAATCGCTTCTTGAGATCACGAGAACGGGACGTACAACCCGAAAACATAATGCCTCTGGCTACTTAGTAATGGAGGCATAAAAACATAACAGTTAAGTTAGATGTTTCTTTATTATTTCTTGATTATTGTGTGTCATAACTAAGTGCCTTCTTTCCCATATATTTCCAGCTCGAGTCGCATAACAATTTATTTTAAAATACACATGTGAAAAGAATACAAATACATGTATACTGTATTTTGATTTCCTTTGAATGACGTCAGACTTTGGAAGTACCAATCATCTCTTCAATTAGAGGAAAGCATGTTCATGTATTTTTGTTTCCTTTGAATGAATGCAGACTTTGGAAGTAAAAATTATCTCTTCAGTTGACAAAATATTTCTGACCTAGCATCACCCCCTCCCCCCCCCCCCCACCCGTTATACCACATTGTACCATTATTTAAAGGTGAAATTCAAAGAAAATCCCAAAAATTTCAACTAATGTATCACTAGAAACTGGTAAGCTAACAGATGGCCATTGTACAAGTTTTAGGTCAACTACATATCGGGTGATTTATAAAAATACAAATACAACCACCTCCATAGCAGCTGGGATATACAAGAGATTCGCCGAGAAAATAACGATGTTTTAATGACGTCACTATATGGACCAATACTGCCCAAGCAGACGACATCCCATAAAGAATGAACATAATTGCAAAGCTATTATTTCTCAAATTATAATGAGTTTAGTGCATATAAATGTAATGGCATGTCAAACCATTCAAAAGGGGATGTGACCCGATTCTGATAAATAAAATATTTTGCTTGTAAATACCCAGAATACGGGTTAATCAACAATCAAAGAACCGCGGTGTGTGCAGCTGATTATACAATGGCGTCATATTTTGTTTACCAGCGACAGATTCCTTCATTTTTGTATCGATGCAGTTGTCATCAAAATAAAACCATGCGCGGGGTTTAGATTGAGGCAATAGATTATACATTCTGCATGACGGTAGTGAAGTAAGCAGGAAAGCAGATGAAAATGCAGGCACTGAAAATGTGTGAGATGTCATGGGACGTCGTCTGCTTGTGCAAATCATGTCCATACTGTGATCTCACTCATCTCAGCAGCATTCGAAGAGCTCTTCAGGTGCTATGGCGGGGCTGTATTTAAGCGTTTTGTAATTAATAATAGTCATGATTACTTCGTATGTTTCCAAGCATTGAATTTTGATAACCTTGTCGAATCAAAGTTTCAACTTTGCAATAATAAAAATAAAGTTAGTTTTTAAAATCAATGAATATCTACTTTAAGAATATTTATACAGGACGATGGTCCTGGATATACATGGAACATACAAAATAATGAAATGAGGCAAAAAAACAAAATAATTACAGCGATAATAAATATACCAAATCACAAAATGAGATCATCCAACGATTTGAAAAACAGTAACAAGAAATTAAACTTCACCGGAAATGTGATCAACAATTCCACCAATAGAATCAGAATGTCACTCAGCATACTCGTAGGAAACGAGACATAACATACCCATAAATCATTGACACACCTGTATTACCAGTCACAGAAGCAATATAGTGGAACCTCGGTATACAAATCCCTGATATAACAAGGTGTTTTTGCTGGCCCCAGTTCTTTTGTGTTTTTTTTTTACCTGTCAGGCCAAATATATATAAAAACATGTTTAGCGTCCTGTTTTTTTCGAAAAATAGGAAGGAGGAGGCCCCCCTTTTTTTTCTTTCAAAATGGCCGCTCGGTACATTTTCCCTCACAGTCGGGCTATTTTTCAAGATGGCCGCCGACATTTTTTCTATTTATTTTTTAAAATCAGAAATAGATCCATTTTAGCACTTTTTTTCATGTTTTTTTCTTTAAAAAAAAAAAGAAAATCTAAAAAAAAAATTCAAAAAAAAAAAAAAAAATAGGAGGCGGCCCCCAAAACGGTAGCGGGCGGGGACGCTAAACATGTATATTTGTTTACATGGCCCGATACAACAACGTAATTTCACATTCCGGTGTCGTATTATGCTTAGGACATAAAAAAATAATTTTTTATTCAAATGGGTAAAAAATATATACAACATGCACAGTCATGTATTTATACATCCATGGCGTCACTGGTTATTTAGTACATTAATGAAAATACCATTGTTTATAAAGGTGTTTAAATAAAGAAAAGACGTTGAATTCTGTGTAGTACTAATAATGAGTTCCATATAACAGCTTCTTGAATAGAACTGGTCCCTGCTTCATCAAACTTGTTATCACATTTTCATTGTCTTTATAACCTACTTGTTATTGTTAATGAAGTTATTCTAGTTGAAGATGGACTTGTTGTTGCTTTTCATGAATGTATTGTTTGTATATGCAAGTGGAAAGAAATAATGAATCTTGAATCAATAACGGCCACTTAACTATATATGACAAATTTGCTCACAGCCAATCAAATGCAAGACTTTCAGTAGCTTATAATAATAATCGTAACATGTTATTGAAAACAAGTTTCATGAAACGGGGCCCTGGTGTTCAAATTTCTAGATGTACAAACTACAAAGACTACATTTCAAATTGATTGTATGCCAGCTTCTCAAAGTTGTTATGTCTCTTGTTGTTTCCTTTCGATCTTACTCTCACTGTCTGTCCATCTGTCCCTCTGTCCTCCCATCTTTAGTATTTCCAGTGTCATCTACTGCTGCATATAATTTCTTGAATTCATGTTGAGATCAGCGATGATTTTATCTGCAGTGATAGGCAGAAGGGCTTACCTACACTTAAAGAGCAGTTTCTTCACTGACGCCATCAGTGAATGCTGTGGGCCATGCGTTACTTTAAAAACACTCTCTGCCTGAAAAACAAAATAATGAATTAGAAAATACAAACAAATAAATAACAGAGACACATTTGGTTTAAAATTAACCTCCTCCTAATCAGAAGCAGAAAAAACTAGATGGAATTCGACTGCGCGCAGTCGAAAATGATGCCTCCGTCATAGAGCAATTTTACAAACCGAAACGGAAGAAATTTTTTGAAATTGAAGTTCAATTGTAATCCATTAACATGTTCTCAGAATATCGTGATTACAAGCAATTTCTCATATACATATATGACCCTTTGATCTTTGACCTCATGACCCTAAAATCTACTCAGTTCATTGGCTCTGCAAGATTTCCTGAGTTAAATAGTAATCCATCTGTCAGTTCTAATGAGAATGCGTCCACAAGCTATTTTTGCATACATAATGAGCCCATGACCTTTGATCTTATGAACCATTCATTGGCTCTGCAAGATACATAAATGATCTAAGTTTGGCAGGAATCCATCAATCTGTTCTAATGATAATACGATCACAAGCTATTTTTGCATACATAATGAGCCGCATGACCTTGACCTTTACCTCATGACCCCAAAATCTAATCAGTTCATCAGCTCTGCAAGTAACATACATGACCTAAGTTTGGCAGGAATCCATCAATCGGTTCTTGAGATAAGGCGATCACGAGCTGTTTTTGCATACACAATGTGCGCTGTGACCTTTGACCTCGTGACCCCAAAATCTAATCAGTTCATTGGCTTTGCAAGATACATACATGACCAAAGTTTGGCAGGAATCCATCAATCGGTTCTTCAGATAACGCGATCACAAGCTGTTTTTGCATACATAATGAGCCCTGTGACCTTTGACCTTTGACCTCGTGACCCCAAAATCTAATCAGTTCATCAGCTCTGCAAGATACTTACATGACCAAAGTTTGGCAGGAATCCATCAATCGGTTGTTCAGATAACGCGATCACAAGCTGTTTTTGCATACATAATGAGCCCTGTGACCTTTGACCTTTGACCTCGTGACCCAAAATGTAATCAGATTGTTTTCCTATAGTGATACACACTATCACTAAGTTTGAAGTTTAAATCTCCAGTGGTTCTTGAGATATCATGATAACAATCTCAATGTATGGAATTTCATAAGTTGACCTCTGTGACCCTTGACCTTTGACATACGTGCTCCAAAATCTAATCAGATCGTCTTCCTATGGTGATACATACTATCCTTAAGTTTGAAGTTTAAATCTCAAATGGTTCTTGAGATATCGCGCTAACAAACTCAATACAAGGAATTTCATAAGTTGACCTCTGTGACCTGTGACCTTTGACCTACGTACTCCAAAATCTAATCAGATCGTCTTCCTATGGTGATAAATACTATTCCCGAGTCTTAAGTTTAAATCTTAAATGGTTCTTGAGATATTGTGATAACGGTCAAACGGGACGGACGGACGGACGTACGGACGGACGTACGGACGTACGGACGGACGTACGGACGTACGGACGGACAACCCGAAAACATGATGCCTCCGGCACCACCTTCGGTGGCGGAGGCATAAAAATCAGTAAAGTTCAAGGAAAGTTTAAAGAGACAAATATAGAGACCAGAGCATGAACAAGTTGATGACAAATAATTTTATAAGAGACAATTTTTTTCTTCAGACAAATGGATAGAGTTAATTGGTTCGACGGGATGAAAATAAATATTGACCTACATCATCACACATGCTCAAAACATGCTAGCACGGTCACTTCCTTAATGCAAGGATCAAAGTAGATCGAAGTGAGATTGTGAACTTTTCACCTATTGTCCTAGCTAATTTACAGTATATCAAGGTTACAGACAAATTTAAGAATCTGAACCTCAATGTCCATTAAGAAACAAACTTAGTTATGATGTACTGTGATTTAACTGTACTGTGCCCTTTTTCAGACAAAACTACCGATATAAAAGATCATTCACGGAATCGATGACTAGGTTGGACAAATGGGGTTTGGGTGCCTGAAGAAATTATTCTGGATTTCACTGTGTATCCTATAGGCCTAGAGCTAACCTCACCCACCATCCTAAAGATTGACCAATTCCTGTAATGACTTAATAACAAACATGCATGTCAATGCGAAGCGTAGCATCCCCTTGCTGGGGTACACATGGCCTATATATTTAGCAATTTTTGCATATTTAAATAGCTGTGACCTTTGAGGTACATACTCAACAACATTACTTACATTATTAAATTAGAACCACACATTCGCATGTATAATTAGGTTTTTTTCCACATATTTAGTGAGCTATGACCTTTAACCTACATACTCTAAAATTGGACTTGGGCTGTAGTTTGATACCATGTACCTTCATATCAAATATCAGTAAAATCCGTCAAACATTACTAAAGTTATCGAACGGAAACCAGATTTGTTACGAACGGACGGACAGAAGGAATTAGGACAGACGCCAACGTTACTATATCCCCTCCCACTTCGTATACAAGGGGATGATACATTAATGCACGATTCTACTCTTGTACAAAGTCAAAGGGTTGTCAAAACAGCTGAATGAAAAACCACAAAAGAAAAGTTCAATACAAATGAAAACATTAATTAGGAAATACTGTATAATATATAGTTACCTCTTTGACATATTTTCTAGCCTCTTGAAGTCTATCCAGGTTAAGCAGTACTTCACCTATCTTCAGGAGGTACATCCCTACATTGGGATCGTATGGCCCATAGTGATATCTAAATCAAATAACATACAAATTGTTCAGTCATAAAACTATGGACAATTACCCCTCAAGGACAATTACCCAACCCGGAAAATTACCCCCTTGCACAATTACAAATGCATGGCATCCAGTCATATACAGGGGCGTAGACAACGGGGGGGGGGGGGGGGGGGATGAGGGGGATGCATCCCCCCACCTCACAAGGTGGGGGGGATGGCAATGATATTTGCTTACTTAATAAGTCATAATGATGATAATAATAGTAATAATAATAATGATAACAATTATAATATTAATAATAATAATAATTATGATGATGATAATAATAATAATCCTCATCATTATTGTAATTGTGTCTATTGTTATTAGCCGCATTCACACGGTGAAAGCCAATTCAGACGGTAAAAAAAAAGAAAATCTTACAAGTATTTTGTGGTTATCTTGGGTTTGGAAACCACAAGATAACCACAAGATTAAACAGGCGCGGATCTACGGGGGGGGGGTTTAGGGGGTTTAAACCCCCCCTTGGGCGGCCCAAAAAACTAACAAAAAAAAAAGGGGAAAAAAAGAAGGAAAAAAAAAGAAAAAAAGAAAGAAAAAAGAACGCACGCTGGAGAGAAACCCTTTCAAGTGCAAATATTGTGAGAAGATATTCAACTCATCTGGTAACTTAACCAAACACATGATAACTCTGGATATAACTGTGTATTTAACTGTTACTTGATTTAAAAAGACGTTATCATGCACTGCTTTTTATGGTCTCCATTGTGTTAATAGATGCCAGGAAAACATCACTTACGGGATTCAAATAAACACCCCAAAAAAAATCGGCTCGCCGCTTCGCGGCTCGTGGACGATGCTCCGCATCGTCATTATTGGTCAACCCCCACCTTAGCAAAAAGCTAGATCCGCCCCTGAGTCATCCCCCCAGGTGTACGAACCTGTCTACGCCACTGGTCATATATCATTCCTTGGTTTTCTTGCAAGAGATAACCCCAACACGCCAAACGCCATGTGTTAATAGGGGGGGGGGGGAGATCTGCAGTGTCTGTCTGATCAGTATTTTGTAAAAGCTTAATTAATGTACCATTTACGGTCTGGTCGTAATTTAAAACCAAACAAAAAACACATCATGTATCCGAATAGCACTAATTGTTCTGTGTAATGTGTATAATGAGTATAATGAACCTAGTCTTACTTGTAAGACTCGATGTTCAGTTGTCCCATCTCAGCAGCTTTCTTCCATGCTTGTGATTGTATGCATGCAAAAAATGCCGTATCTCTGAGCATCACCAGGAGCTGATGATTTGCTGGAAGACTGCTAGAGGAGTCCATCGGCTTCAGGTAGGGTTCACACAGCTGTAGCACTTTGGCCCAATGTAAATGTCACCATTAAGAAAGAATAAACTCATGCAATGCAAACTGATCGAGATAGGGACAAAAAGTTTGGAAGAATGTATATAGAGAAAATGAGAGCACATATATAAATTATAAGGAAGAGAATTGAAATGTGATATGCTAGTACTGGAAATTAGCAAAGTGAATAGAGAAAAAGGGAGGACTAACGTAGGGTCAGTGAGTTGTCAAATGTCCTGCTTTTACGGGACAATCCCGCATTCTGGAGAAGACAAAATCCCGAAAATGCGGGATGTCCCGCATTCCGCAATTTCGGTATAAAACTTGTTTTCAACTGGTAAAAAATGGTCTATAGAATTCTTTACAAAAAAACTTCTATAAAATTCTTAAAACAAAAAAATCTATAGAATTTAAAATTCCGTCTGTCACTGTCTGCTCTTTTTGTTTTTGTTTTACTGTGATGGCGCTATTTACGGAGATAAACACGACGACGTGTACAATATTTGTAATGTTAGGCATGTCTAATTGGTGCTTCGCGGGAGTACAGACATTTGAATGGCCTTCTTGCAGTGAGTCGGAACTAAACAGCCCACAGCTTGGATATGGCAAGGTGGAAGAATATATATTTTTTTATATTGTTATCCGGTCTTACCCCTAATCATCCTATGTTTAATGTAAGTAAAAATAACATGCGAGTGTAAGAAGACAAACATAAGGCCCATTACCAACGAGTCAACGCAAAGCGTAGCATCCCCTCGCAGGGTACAAATGGCATATATACGTCAGAACAAGTTACCTCCATTAGACTATACTATTATATTACTAGGCAAGGAAGTTAACCACATGTCCGTATATATAATTAAGTATTTTCGCATATTTAATGAGCTATGACCTTTACCTTTGACCTTCATACTCCGAAATCGAACTTAGGCTGTTTTTTGATACCATGTACATTTCTTTCACATTTCATAAAAATCCGTCAAATATTACTGAAGTTATCGAACGGAAAACAGATTGGCATATTTAATGAGCTATGACCTTTGACCTACATACTCCGAAATCGAACTTATACTGTGTTTTGATATCGTTTTCACAGGCTGCCTGCCGTAGCAACAAGCAGAATTGACAAAAGGCTTAACTCCGATTCATTGACAATCAGCCATGCATGAACTCTTTCGTCTATGTCTGATCGTCAACGAAACGGAGTCAAGTCTTTTGTCAATTCCGTTTGTTGCTACGGCAGGCAGCCAGTGAAAACGAATTCGTTTCATCAAATTATGGAAATGCAAGCATCACTTTAAACAAACAGAACTTTGTTATTCCTGCTCATTTTTCCTGATTGAGGTGTCATATAAAAGAGCAGAAAATGAACTTTCTAGAAATCGCCCGCCAAATGACGATTTGGTTTCCTTCCTTCAAATTGCTTTTAATCACTCATGCGTGAAATATGCATCATATGAGCAGTACCAAATGAAAGAAAAGGATCTAAGCTTTACAAATATGTGTCATTCATTTATTATAATTGTGATTAAGTTAGGATGAAACATCGATAATTTCAGTTTCGTTTCTGGATAGCAATGTTTAGTTATTTTCTAGATAAACTTTAAATGACAACAAAGGATATCTTGTGAATTCTCGGCATCCTGTATTTGCTCCAAGGATTTCTCCAGACGTCGGAGCTCTTCACTTAAACCATCATCTGGCTCCAATGCCTGAAAAAATATAGACAAAATTTAATTAGAATGTAAGAAAGATTAGCTTAACAATAAGAACATTTTTTATTTTGTACTGAAATGCATATATTGCAAGTTATGTGAAACTATTTCTATATGGACTTTGGAAATCACTTATCTAGTGCATTACTGAGAATAGATCCATGCAGGTATATATAAACTGCCTTGGCTAATGTATACACGAGCATAGTGTACTTGAGAGTATTTGTATTTGTATTTTGTATTTATTAACATTTATTTCCTTCTCAACAGTACAATATGAAATACAATGTATATATATATATATATATATATATATATATATACATTATATATGTAACAATTATTTCAACATATAGTATACAGTGAATAATTAATGATGTAGAGATATCGACTGCTTTGAGAGGCCTGGCTGTTTTATGGGCTCAAGGGCTCAAGGGAAACGCGAGCGCATCCTGTCATGACCACGAGGCGTCAATGTTAATGCAGTCGATATGTCCTGTATATGCTGAATCGAAACAAAAATCTACCAAAAATTCTTACCTTATCCTTTTATTGAGTAAAGATTGGTTAAAACATCACGGAAAATCTAAGACCATGTCTGTTAATCTTCACTGGACAAATGACTGAAAGTTTCAAGCATTTGGGGATCGCAGACAAAAAAAAAATATGTTGTCCACGCTCGCACAAAGACAATTTTAACACGAAAACCAATGGGAATTGCAGCATGAGGGCATTTAAAAAAAAGACTATTTACCGGTATCGGCGGATACAAGGGCACTTTTCAAAAGACTATTGAATGGTAGGCGGGTATGAGGGTATGGCTAAAATCACGACTACAATGACGGCTATATTGTATTGAACATTGGAAGTTATAATGGTGCACACTCATTTTGTGAAACCGCAGACCTTATCCCGAGACCATCAATACAATTCAAGTTCAAAGATTCATAGTAGTTTAAGAGAAAACTACCTACCGGTATACAGCTGGAATTTCATTTTCAGGATCTTTTGCAACATTTGAGAAGAGTTAAACAAAGAACAAAACTGTAAAGTAAAGACTCACATTGATTTCTTCATTGCATTTCACACACTTGCAGGTGAAATGATATTTCTCTTCCAGCTCAGCCCGTCTCTCTTTAGCTGGGTGGATGACATCTACATAGCCGATTGTACACTAAACCAAACAAAAATAGGTAGTAAGGATCCTAAATTATAAGCACATGTTATTTTATAACACATGTACAAGTTAAAACCATATTTTTCAAGGTCATAGATTTGCTTAATTCTTTTTCATATGACCAGACTTACCATCAAATTTATAAACACTGGCCATTGTGATCATCCCAAATTGTGACAAATATCTAAAGAGGAACAGAAATATATATACATCAGTTCTTCACAAAAGTTGAGGTGTCCTTCACTGCAAAATGTATCTTTGGATTCCCACATAGAAACTGAACCATTTGGGTGTGCTGATTCAAATCTTATAAAGTTGGTAGATTAATCCTGACAGAATCCATACAAAGCAAAATTGCAATTAAATTTCTTTAAAAATATTTGGGGTATTTTCTCTCACTTGCAAATCCAGAACATAAAGAAAAACAAATGTGGTATTTGAGAATAAAATATGTGGTCTTACCTCTTCTCCTTCTTTGACATCTTTAACGGTCCTGAGTTGAAGTTTCCTCTCATCAAACACCACTATACAGTTATAATCACAGGAATGGTTCACCATGGATGCTCTTAAAACAGGAACAGTTAAAACAGAGACATAATAATGACACATTTATTTCCACAAACGAGAACAAAAAATGGGACTGGGGAGAGAAAAGGTACTAGTATATTAATGCTAATGGAATCATGCTTAACATACAAGTAAAATATACAATCAGTAAGTCAAACAACATTTGTATTCCTCCTTTTTAGTTTGATTTCAATAGGGTAGCCCCATCAGCAGTTAAAATACTGTTATACTTGGGGGCCCTGCATGACATAAAATACATATAAAGACGTACATATACATGAAACATCATTACATGGTGAAAAGTAAACATACCAGTAAGAATACAGATTAAATTTCAAATGCAAATTTAAACTCAGCAAGTAAACACAAAATCCAAAAAAATCAAGTCATCAAGAAAATCATACATAAACAAATTTTGAAGAAGAACAAATATTATATTGTAGAGACAGTATGTCTAAAAATAATTATTTGTAGTTTGTAGATTATTTGTGAGAAATACAGTGATCTGCAATTGGTAATTACTAAACATTCAAGTTTGCGATAGAGGCTACTTATTTGCGTGTATATGTTTTGGGTTATATTTACATTTTTCTCAAATAACTTGTGCAAAAGAACTGCTTGTTCTACAGTTCTAAATTGCAATGAAAGAGTTTGCTGAAAAGTGGAACTTTATTTCCCTTTGGAATTTTAAAATTGACATATCATTTTTGTCCAGATAATTCTTTCAGAACCTTATCATTGAAACTGATCCTTTCAGGAAATGCACCTGATTACTTGTCATGCACCGATTAATAAATCAAAATAGGCGCTACGGCTCAGTGATAGAGCAGTGGTCTAGTAACCAGGAGGTACCAGGTTCAAAACCAGGTCAATCCTCATTACCAAGTCTCTTGGAGAGGACGGAGAGGACTTAAAGCTGTCGGTCCCCTGGTTTATTAGAGTCAGGTAAAACAAACATCAATCATAGTAAAAGAAATCACCTCAAGTATATCCCATCTGAAATAGCAATCAAATCGTTATCAAATATTCCAAAGCTGTTGCAGTTAGTCGCCCCATACATCTTCAACAAGCTTCTTGGATCAGTTGGGACATCCTCCTCTTCAATGCAATGCTTCAACTTGTGCAAGGCAGACACCGAGCTCTCAATGCTCAGCTTCTCGTGATGGGATTCCAACTGGTCTACGGTTGTTGGAAAACAATCCTCATCATCCTGAGAGCATGGAGCAGACTTTCTTCGCTTTCGGATGATTTGAGACAGAAGCTGAGCTAAATCTGAAGGTACCCTGGGATGTATTTTCTTCAGTGTTTTGCAGTCTTGTTTGTGACATCTTGCCCAGTCTTTTTTCTGCACGGGGTACAAACATAAAAATAAGAATGTTAGCCGTACCAAACGACAATCTAAGTGAGCCTACCAACAGCCACTAAAAACACTCAACATCTTTAATATCTATTAAATCATAAAGATGTGTAAAATTCACTTCATTTAACTGCTCATATAACTTTAGGCACATTAGGATTGATTATTTATGTCGATTATTTCTGCATAGTTCCTGCAATGACCACTAAATTCAAACAACCCTTCCACTAATAGCCAACTATACTTTAATATAACATAGCCCCGAAGTCCATATAAGCTTGTCATAATGCTTTGCAACTGAATACAACATTTTTAATATTTTCCCTGAGATGGAGATATTTTACTCAAATATCTTCATCTCAGGGAAAATATTAAGATTTTTTAAAAATTTGTTGAGTTATTTTATTACTGGGACAATGACTGCTTGAATTATCTTATTCCATAGACTTAATTCAGGAATCATTCATCTCCAATATATGCAATGGGTTTATGTGTTGGAGGAAACCAAAACAAAAGATTTGTTTTTACCTGACATGATTTATTGCAGTAGCTTACATAATTGCAACTGGAACACTTCTTTAGAGTTGAACTGAAATCAAGATGAAAATTAGAGTCGACTTGATCCTTTATATTTTTTTTCAAAACAGTGTCAAACCTACATGAACGTCATTAAAAATAAAACTGTATGTACATACCACTAGTACCTTAAATGTGAATGCAGGCCGGATTAGACCTATTAACTTTACTAAATCTTATATAAAACTAATAAACGTTGACCGCTTTTGGGTTTTGTGCAAAATGATTGCTTACTTTTTTTTCAAAAGTTTTCATTATTTCATTATTAGACTTCTAAGTTCTACAATTAGTGTTAGACCTAGATCTAGGCTACTAGATCTATATTGTTATTATGGTTATTCATAATTACAATGTTTGATTCAATCATAGACATAGCATTTAATAAATACTCAGTATTCTTATTATCATATCATTCAAGTGAAATAAAGAATGATATTATATATTCTCAGCGGAAATACCCTAATTGGCCAAGAAAAAAAGAAAAAAAAAAAAAAAAAAAAAAAATCATCGATAATTCTCGGTTTTCATTTTTTCAGGGACGCACTGTGTTGTCTAGATCTAGGAAAGCACATGAATTCCAATATGTAGGACCCCTATTACTTTAGAGTTTAGACTAAAGCCAAAGGCCCTTGCCTAGCTAGCTTAGGCTATCACATTTTAACAAAAATTAAAAGTCGATACCATTTTTTGAGGCAGAAATCGCAGAAGAGTCCTCTTTTGTTGTCGTGCAGTGTATATGCATATGGCAATTCTTCAAGGATACACTGTCCCCTCGCAAATTTTGAAGTGAAGACCAAACTTCGCCCACACGTGGCTGATTTAACCACACGCACAGATTCCATTGCAGGCTCCGCCATTTAATATCACTCGCGAAAGGGCCGCCTTTGGCCGCTTTTCGCACGCTTAGCGTGAGCAGAGAGGTAAAAGAAAGGAGTGGAATTAATCAAGCCGCTTTCATTTGACGCCATGCTCCAAGCTGCCGAAAATTTATGCGCTTATCTGCATCTGCAAATGCGTTAAACTGCCCTCCACACCCCAGCTAGGTAATTTGCATGAAAGTTTCTTCTTCTCGTTTCTTTCTTCCTTTCTCTTCACCCTTCTTTCAAAGTCGCCGTTGCGTAATAGCTATTTTATACTCAGATAATTTATTGTCTCAATTATCTCCATCCAGGCATTTCTATGCCAGCTCTTCTCATATTGATTACAGTGTCCGTGTTGTGTAGGTCGTGTACGATTATATTATGCGTGTGTATAGGGGTGTGTCACGTGTATTTTTGTATGTGTATTGATGCGTGATAGCTGGAAAAGTGTTCTGGCGTGGAAGTGCATGATGGACAAAGCTCAATAACAAAACAAAACAAACTTTTTAACTGCACTGCCTTTTCCTTAGTATCTCATCTTATTCTTTTAATGCAACCTTCTTAAAATTGTGATGATTGTTAAATGTTATGTTGAAATGTAATTATTTTGTCTGTATTTATATATTTATGCACATGTATAGCACCTTTGAATGTCCAAAGACAAATTTTATTTATTTTTTACATGACAATAAATTATCTTGAATCTTGAAACTTGAATCTGTTGACCAGGTGGTAAGATAAAAGAGCGCATGAAATTTCAGGATTTAGAACTCCTACATCATAAAATGGTATCCCAGGAACTGTTCGCTGTCCCTTTCAATGATTTCTCATCAGTTGTTGAATGTGTAATGAGTAGAACAAGCGAACACAAACTTGTGTAATTTCATCCCTTTTTCCAACTGCAAAAATTTAAAAAATACGCGAAAACACGCATTTATAGCAAACGTAAAGTTATCGAAGATTGTAGATCATGGATTGAATAACGGGACATTAAAACATGCAAAAATTAGCGCATTATCCTAAAATATTGAGTTTAAGTAAGGATCTAATTTTTCTTTTACCAACTGTAGCACACAAATTATAGAAAGGGCGGAGTACTAAATTGGAGAAATTGTTTGATGCACTATTCCCAATACAATCCCCATATAAAGTTTATAATTTACACTGACATTTTGCCGGTAATTTAATATTTTGTAATGTGAAACTGGTGCCTGGCCTCCGAAGTGGAAGAGCGGCTCGAAGTATATGGAACTTCATAGCCAAGTGGAATGTTACGCATCGTATTGTTACGCTTTAGAACTCACGCATGCGTTTGAATAAATTGCAATAGTGTCCACCCATTCTCTATCACCTCCCTGGTTTAAATTACTGGTGTGTCTATCAACTTTCATCGTCACTCTGTTTCTTTCATTTCCATTTCACTGTACATGAGTGTCTTTACTCTTCCTTTGCCAGTCTCCACTTACTATAATTCTCCATCTGTAATTCCTCTCTTGTCTGACATTGTGTATTTCTCTGATAGCAAAATTGCATCTGAATATCTCTTTCTCTCAATTTCCGATCTGTTAATACACGTTTTTGACTTCAATATACACATCTTTCTTTCTCCCTCACCCTCTCTTTCTTCTCCTTTTGCTATCTCTCATTCCGGGAAATTATAAATGTACTATGAAAGAAAAATAACACATCAAAGTTCAAGTTGGCTGTTTCTTTATTTAAGCATGAGAATCCCAGCATGTCTGTGTACAAGTAAATTTTTCTCCCCATCAAAGACATTAAGTGGAATCTTGATTATTGTATAATTATAATTCTTTTCTGTTTTCCATAGGTTTCCAACTCGAGCCGCATAACAGTTTATTTTAAGATACACCTGTAAACTGAGTACAAATACATGTCCAATGTATTTCGATTTCCTTTGAATGACGTCAGAATTTGGACCAATCATCTCTTCAGTTAGTACATGTATTTTTTCTTCGACTTGTCGACAAAATATTTCTGACCTAGCATCACCCCCCTCCCTCCCCCCCCCCGATTTAAAATGCTCTAGCAACAGTAGCCATTATACCACTACTCAAACTTATTTATTTAATTATTTACACAGGATGACAATGTTGGCCAAAGCTGTTTTTCACATTTAGTCCTTTATAAACATGGTAACGTACAAAATATCAACGAAATGAGGCAAACATACCAATATATTACAGGGATATTATACTAGTGTACATTATATGAAATAACCAGCGACTAGAGACAATGCATAGATTTACCCAGAAACGCAAAATGAGATTAACCAACGATTTGAAAAACGGCAAAAAGAAATTAGACTTCATCTCACCCAGCAAACTGGTAGGAAACAAGACACGACACACCCATAACTCGTCAACACACCTAAACTACCAGTCACCGAAACACTCAAAAACATCAACAACAGTGGGACGTATTATGCGATTCAAAAGTAATTGTTATTCAAATGGTAAAAAAAATATATAAACAACTCATGTATATATATCCATGGACCTACTACAAATGGACACTGATCGGTACCATAATACATCCATGCACCTGACTCTGTCAAAAGTATCATAATGACATTCCAAACATGCTTCCAAGTTTTGATCTCATCACGATCGCCCCCAGTCAGCCATAAAAAACCCAAACTGTGCCTTGAAGTATCAACAAAATGAAACTGAATCGCTTAAAATCATGGAAATGCATGTGCAGATGTGGCGTACATATGAATATTGACGTGTATGATATTTTCTATAGGGAATTAGAAGCAGTTTACAAGCGATACCTGTAAATATGGCTGTAATTCAATGATGTTAAACTTCATTAAAAAACTTATCCTATCCATTTCCGAGAAATAGAAGGTAATAGGACAGTAAAGTATAGGTATTTTTCAAAGTTTGGCAAGTCCAAATGTATTTTCACCAGTGTCCACTTCTTTAATAATCAATCTAATATCACACAAATTTTCCTAATTTGGGGTTCATTGCTCCTCTAACTAGTCTTAAATCACAATACTTTTCCTGAAACTACACTCTTGGCCCTGGCCCAGCGAATGAAGAATCTGAAGAAATGTAAAATGTTCTTTTGTCTGTGATGATGCGGGATTACATAATCATCATTGTCGCGTCAAATGAATGTCCTCATCAACATACACATTATCAGGTGGCGGTGTTCATGATGTGATCAAATAAATTAAGACTCTCATTATTAGTCCATCTGTTGTAGGTTCCATGATATATCCATGGCATCACTGGTTATTTAGTACATTAAAGAAAATACAATTGTTGATAAAGGTGTTTAAATAAAGATTGGATTATTACTAAGTAATAAGTTTCATAAAACACCTCTTCGAATAGAACTACATTGGCCCTGTTTCATCAAACTTGTTATCAATTAAACCAAAAAAAAAATGCCACAAATCTATGATAAATCTGCTCACAGGCATTCAAACGCAAGGATTTCCGTAGGGTATAACCCGGGACTTGATAGAGAAGGACCGGAATCAAGCCGGCGAAACTCTTATAATTTATTCAACGCATTCGTGAGTTCTAAAGAGTAACAATGGGATGTGTAACATTTCACTTGGCTTTGAAGTTTCATGCTCCGAACCGCCCTTCCACTGCGGGGACTTTCGGCCCCACTTTCGGAAGCCAGGCACCAGTTTTACATTTATTACAAAATTTTAAATTACCGGCAAAATTTCGGTGTAAAAAAAAAACTTTAAATCGAGATTGTATTGGGAAGAGTGCATCAACACATTTCCAAATTTAGAACTCCGTCCTTCCTATAATTTGTGTGCCAGAGTTGGTAAAAGAAAAATTACATCCTGACAAAAACTCAATAGTTTAGGATAATGCGCTAATTTGTGCATGTTTTAATGTCCCGTTATTTGATCCATGATTTACAATCTTCAATAACATTAAGTTTGCTAATGCGTGTTTTTGCGTGTTTTTTGTATTTTTGAAGTTAAAAAAAAGGGATGAAATTACACAAGTTTGAGTTCGCTTGTTCTACTCTTTACACATTCAACAATGGATGAGAAATCATTGAAAGGGACAGTGAACAGTTGCTGTGATACCGTTTTCTGATGTAGGAATTCTTAATCCTGAAATTCTTGTGCTCGTTTATCTCACCACTTGGTCAGCAGTTGCAGATTAGCGCATAACTTTTCGGTGGCTTGGAGCATGGGGTCAAAGGAAAGCGGTTTGATTCCAGTTCTTCTCTATCATGTCCCTGGTATAATGATCGGAACATGTTTTATGTATTATGAAACAGGGCCCTGGTGTTCTAGATTGGACGTACAAACTACAAAGACTACATTTAGAATTGATTGCACACCAGCTTCTCAAACTGTTATGTTTCTAGTTGTTTCCTTTCGATCTCACTCTCACTGTCACTCTGTCCTCCCATCTTTACTTTTTCCAGTGACATCTATACTACTGCTACAGAGAAATTCTTGAATTATTCAGCCATATGGGGTGACCTTCGGGAAACCTACATCTAAGGAGCAGTTCTTGCATTGACTCTGTCTTCATCAGCGAATGATGTGGGCCATGCGTTACCTCCAAAACACTCAATGCCTGAAAAAAACAAAGCAATGAATAAAAAATAAACAAATAAATAACAGAGACACCTTCGGCACAAATTAATCTTCATCTAATTCAGAAGCAGAAAAAGTAAGGAAAAGTTGAAGAACAGTTTAAAGAGAGAAAGAGAAAATATTGATCTACATCATCATACATGGTCCAAACATGCTAGCAAGGTCACTTTCTGTGTCTGTAAGAGCATTGATTACAGTAGATCGAAATACTTTCTTATTGATTGAGCGCTTGTTCATCTATCATCCTAGCTAACTCATAATCAAGGCAACTGACACAGTTTAAAATTCTCAATAAGAATGTTCAGCAAGCAACCAACTTTGTTTTAAGATGTATTGTGATTTGATGTGCCCTTTTTCAGACAAAACTACCTGTATAAAGATTGTTCATGGAATCAGACCAACAGTGTGTACAGATGGGGTTCGGGAACCTGAAATTATTCTGGATTTCACTGTGTATCCTATAGAGCACCATCATATTCCCCACCCCCGCCATCCTAAAGATTAATCAATTCCTGCAATTACTTTAATAATAACAAACATTAATACATGCACTATTCTACTCTTCTAAAAGTCAAAAGTTGTCAAAACGGCTGAATGAAAAAACAAAACAAAAGAAAAGTTCGGTAGAAATGAAAAAGGTCACTATTGTAGTCTACATTCAAATAGAATCCAATCAATTAGGAAACACTGTATAGTTAGTTACCTCTGTGAGATATTTTCTAGCCTCCGGAATCCTCTTTAGGCTAAGCAGTAGTTTACCTATCCTCAGGAGGTAAAGCCCTAGACCCGGACTATATGGTCCATAGTGAAATCTAAATCAAATAACATACAAATTCAGTCATAAAACTGGTTTTGCTAAATGTACGGTGGGTTCTAGGATACCCATCCCCTTGACAATCACCCCAAGGACAATTACCACCCCCCGAAAAACTACCCCCTAGCACAATAACAATTGCATGGTATCCACCGTCCGTATCTTATTCCTTAGTATTCTTGCAACATTACTCCAAACGCAAAGCGCCATGTGTTAACAAGCCATATTAGGGGGAAGATCTCCTGAAATATCACACTTCCTCTGTCTGATCAGTATTTATAAAGGCTTAAAGGCCAAGTCCACTCCAAAAAGAACTTACTTTCAATAGAAGCAGAACAATCAGACAAACAAAATCGAATAACTAATAAGTTATAATTTTTGAAAAAGTATGTAAAACTATGGAACAATGGAAATCACTACACAAATTGCTTATTTGGTTATCAGTGTGTGACGTCATGTCCTCACTATTTATCAATTGCTTTATACAGTTTAATCCCATTAATTTCCCTTTTTATCCCCAAAACTTGATTACCCCATGCCTTTGCCCAGGTTATTTGATAGTTTCATATTGCGTGCATGACATTTCACAAAATCTTTTATGAACTTTGAAGAATTGATTCTATTTTCTAAATATAGTATTCATGATTATTGACTTTTATATATACAGATAGTTTATCAAAATTCACATTTTGATTAATTTAACTTAAAATATTATTTTATATTAGTGCATTCACACAAAAGCATATTAGGCCTACTTTCAATATAACTTGGATGCTGGTGTTAGGAAATAAGATTTTTAGGTGGAAAATTCGAGATGTATATTATCAATAAAAAGAAAACAATTAGTGGATAGTGAGGCAATGACGTCACAGTGAGCACATTTTTTTTTTTTTTTTGGTCCTCGAAAATTTAAAATTTGCACCCCTCACCCCTTGAGCGCCAGGGGGGGGGGGGTAACCCCCCCCCCCCCAAAAAAAAGGTATTTGTCTTGTGATTTTCAAGGATTTTCATGTCATTAAAACTTCATAACTTTCTTATTAGTTATCCAATTTTTGATTGGTATGTCTGATTTTTCTGCTTCTATTGAAAGTAAGTTATTTTTAGAGTGGACTTGCCCTTTAACTAATGAACCATTTACGGTCTGTTCATAAATTTAAAATATATATATATATATATATCATCTATCTGAATAGCACTATTGTTCTTTGTAATAAATATAATGAACCTATAGTCTTACCTGTAAGGCTCTGTGTTCAGCTTTCCAATCTCAGCAGCTTTGTCAAATTCTTGTGAGAGCATGTATACACCAAATGCTCTGAATCTGACCTTCATCAAGAGATGGTGATTGGCTGGAATACTGCTAGAGAGGTCCATCGGCTTCAGGTAGGGTTTACACAGCTCTAACACTTTGGCCAAATGTAAATCTCACCATTAAGGATGAATTAACCCATGCAATGAAAACTAATCGAGATGGGGACAAAAAGCTTGGAAGAATGCATACAGAGAAAATGAGAGCACACATATACGGGAGAGAACTACAATTTGATAGTACTGGAAATTAGCAAAATGAAAAAACAAAATTGGAGGACTAACGTGGGCTCAGTGAGTTGGGTGTATAGAGAAAAATATATTTCAATGAAAGGTATTTGTAGAATGTAAATAGTGCAAATTAAAAAAGCGATCTGATATCGGCAGATGATACAAACACAAAAGGAAAAAATGGTCGTTGACTTCATTACTGGTATTTCGACTTATTGACAGGTTTTATGGTAATATAACTATAGTCATTTTCTAGATAAACTTTAAATGACAACAAAGGATATCTTGTGAATTCTCTGCAGCCTGCATTTTCTCCAAGGATTTCTTCAGACCTCGGAGCTCTAATTCACCTAAACCATCACCTGGCCCCAATGCCTGGAAAAATACAGAAAACATTATTTTAATTATAATGTAAAAAAGATAACATATTAAAGCTTGACAATAAAAACGTTTTTATTTTGCACTGAAATGCATATTATTGCAAGTTATGTGAAATAATTTATATATGGACTTTGGAAATTACTTTTTATGTAGTGCATTCCTAAGAATAGATCCATGAAGATATTAACTGCCTTGGCTAATGTATGCATGGGCATAGGGTACTTGAGAGTGATATCGTTATTTCAAATTTGAGTAACAATAGAAAATAAAGCAGTACGTGGATCTTATTATTGCCCGATATATTGCTTCTCTACTTTGAACATTGGAAGTTGCAATGGTGCACACTCATTTATGAATCCGCAGACATTATCCCGAGACCATTAATATCATTCAAGTTTAAAGGTTTCTAGTTAACAGAAAACTACCCGTCGGTTACCCGTCGGTATACAGCTAGAATTTTAACTTTGGGGAATCGGGATCTTTTGCAGCATTTGAGTAAAATGAAACTGTAAAGTCAAGATTTACATTGATTTCTTCAACGCATTTCACGCACTCGCAGGTGAAGTGATACTCCTCTTCCAGCTCAGCCTGTCTCTCTTTAGCTGGCTCCATGACACTCAAATAGCCGATTGTACACTAAAAGAAAACAACAATATTATTGCAAGGATTTTTAAATAAGCACATGTTATTCGTATAAAATATGTACAATTAAGACCCTTCATGTTTTTCAACATATAAGTTCTGCTTGATTCTCTTTCATATGACCAGACTTAATTAGCAGCAAATTTATGGACGCTGAACATTGTGATCTTCCAAAATTGTGATAAGTATCTAAAGAGGAACAGGAATATACATCAGTTCTTCATTAAAGTTGAAGTGTCTTTTAATGTAAAATCTAAAACTGATATATATTGTATCTTTCGATTCCCACATATCAACTGAAATGTTTGGGTGTGCTGATTCAAATCTTATAAACACTGGTAGATCAGACTAATCCTGATTTTTTTTATGGTGAAATGAGTCAGTAATTACCCTGACAGAATCCATATAAGGCAACAGTCAATTAATAAATTTCTTTAAAAATATTTAGGGTATTTTCTCTCACTTGCATATCCAGAACATAAGGAACGACATAAATGTGGTATTTAAGAATAAAATATGTGGTCTTACCTCTTCTCCTTCTTTGACATCTTTTATGGTCCTGAGTTGAAGTTTCCTCTCATCATACACCACTACACAGTTATAATCACAGGAATGGTTCGCCATAGATGCTCTTAAAAATCAGGAAAAGATAAAACAGAGACAAAAAAATGAAACATTTATTTACACAAGCAAGAAAATAAAGGAAAATTCAGACTATATGGGATTGGGTAGAGAAAAGGTAGTAGTATATATATAATGCTAATGTAATCATTCTTAACATACAATTAAACCATACAATCAGTAAGTCAAACTAAAACTGTATTCCTACAGTTCTAAATTTTTGTGAAAAAGCTTGCTGAAACGTGGAACATTTAAACCAATTGGATTCTAAAATAGACACATCAATTTCTTTTACAGACATTTATTTTAGCATTGTATAGCACGTATCAGAAGGTGCATGACGGCTCAGTGGTAGAGCAGTGGCGTTGTTACCGGGAGGTCCCAGGTTCAAAACCAGGTCAATGTGCTTGCATATCTGCCCTTTGATAAGGCATTAATCCTCAATACCAAGTCTCTTGGAGAAGACTTAAAGCAAGCTGTCGGTCCCTTGGTTGTTTACTTACAAGCATATACATTCTTTCTTTCTTAGAGTCAGGTAAAACAATCATTAATCATAGTTACAGAAATCACCTCAAGTAAATCCCAATTGCAACGAAATTCAGATCATTATCACATAATGTGAAGTTGTTGCAGTTAGCCGCCCCAAATATCTTCAACAAGCTGCTCGGCTCAGCGAAGACATCAGGTTCGATGAACTGCTTCAATGGAAACAACAAGTTCTCAAATTCATTCCTTCTTGTATCGGTCAGTTTCTCATGATGGGATTCCAACTGGTCTACGGTGGTTGGAAAATAATCCTCATCATCCGTAGTGCACGGAGCAGACTTTCTTTGCTTCCGGATGACTTGAGACAGAAGCTGAACTAAGTCTCCAGGTACTTTGGGATGTATTCTCTTCAGGGCTTTGCAGTCTTGCTTGTGACATCTTGTCCAGTCTTCTTTCTGCACAAGGTACAAATATAAAAATAAGAATGTTAGCCATAATTACCACATAATTATTCTAAATGAGTCTACCCAGTTACAACAACCATTCAAGACAAGATATGTAACACCTTTTAAATCAAAATTATGTGTAATAATCTATTAATAGAAGTTTAGGCACCTCACGATTGACTGATTATTTCTGATGATTATGTTTGCATAGTTCCTGCAATGACCACTAATTTCAAATAACCATTCTACCACTAATGGCCAACTATACTTAATATAACAAAGCCCCTAACTCCATAAACTTTGTCATAATGCTTAGCAACTTACAAAAAACAAAATTAGAGTAATTTTGACTCTCTTACTGCTTGAATTCTCTTATTTCCACCGAATTAATTCAGGGATAATTCATTATCAATATCGGCAATGGGTTTATATTGGAGGGAACCAAAGCAAAAGATGTGTTTTTACCTGACAAGATTTATTGCAGTAGCTTACACACTTGCAACTCAAACACTTCTTTAGAGTTGAACTGAAAGTAAGATGAAAATTGTAGTTGACTTGATTCTAGATATATATTTAAAACAGTGTCAAACTTAAATGAATTTCATTAAAATGTAACAAATGTAGTACGTAACTGTACTAGATTTAAACAATACATTATGCAAATATGAGAGTAGAAACACTCACTAAAAATTAAAAAATTTAACCAATAAATTCATGATGGCCCGGCCCTTTTGCGTTTTGTGCAAATTGATGAAGTAATATTGATGCTTACTTTTAAATTCAAAAGTTATCATATCTTATTGTAATTATTATTACTTAGACTTCTAGATTTATATTTCCTAAGCTATCATGTCCATAATTACGATGGTTAATTCAATCATAGACATATCATTGAATGAATATTTTTGTTCTTATAAATAGTAGCATTCAAGTGAAATAAATGCATATTCTACTCTCAGTGGAATAAACAACCTAATTGGCCGAGAAAAAAATATAGATCTAAAAAGAGAAGCATGGATTTCAATATGTAAAAGGCCCAACTATCACATTTGAAAGAAGAAAATAAAAGTCAATACCATTGTTTGAGGCAAAAGTCACAGTAGAGTCCCCGTGTGTTGTCGCACAAAGTATATGCATATGGCAATTCTTCAAGGATACATTGTCCAGGCGCAAATCTTGAAGTGGCGACCAACTTCCGCCCACAAGTAGCTGATTTTACAACACGCACAGATTGCATAGGCATAGACGCCGCCATTATAAGTGTAATCACATAAAATTACTCCTCTCAGCTCAAACATGCACGGGCGACAATCCTGCTGAATAAGAGATGTATGATAATATTTCATTCAGCTATGCAGTTGTATATGAGTATGCTTTTTATATCGAGTGGGAATTCCCACTGACGTCCATAACAAAAGGGAAGTACTATTATGTTTGACCGACCTGTTACCCCACGCACAGCAATCCCTCTCGTTATAAGAGGTAATTAAGTATGAATTTTTTCCTTAGGGGTGGGAATTCCCACTCATAGATATTTCTTGTGTAACATTACACTGATGCTATTTGTTGCTTGTACTGTTTGGTACTCAGTTATGCATACTTAATATCTGTAATTCATTGTAGGATGATGCACATTTGAACTCTACTTGGTGAAATATCAGAAGTACATTAATGTAAGGAAGGTGATAATGCTGTATTACGCATACCTTGCTACTTTCATCTCACCCCTTCCCCCTTCCTCCATCTCTTTTTCTTCCATTATGATCTCTTTCATCCTAATGTTTTTCTTGTACGTACATGCTTGTTTCTCCTCTCTAGCTATACCATCTCTCCCTCCATCTCTTTTTCTTCCATTCTGATCTCTCACATCCTAATCTTTCTCTTGTAAGTACAAGCTTGTTTCTCCTCTCTACCACCTCTCCCTCCATCTCTTTTTCTTCCATTCTGATCTCTCACATCCTAATCTTTCTCTTGTAAGTACATGCTTCTGTCTCCTCTCTACCACCTCTCCCTATAACTCCCTCACGTTTCACCCTTTACCTCAACTCTGTTCATTTCTTGCTCCATTCGACTTTCTCTCATGGTCACTACAATTGTTTACTTTGTTCTGTTTTCTCCGCTCCTATTACCATTGCTTCTCTCTATTTCTAGCTAACTGCTGATTTCTGGTTTCCCTGTTCATGTAATGTATTCTACAAATAGGCGTTGTTGTCTCTACTCAGATGCGGCGTGTTTCCTGTTCCCTTTGTAATGCATACTGATATGTGTATTGCTATCTTATTGTATGTATATTTTGTACGTTGCCATTCTCTTTTCTGATTCCATGTTAATATATGCTAATATGAAACTTGATATTTTTAAGGAAACAGCCAGAGAATGATTTTTGTATGCCAAATGTACTTTTGTTAATTGTGCGTGCATGAATAATAAATCAAACTGAAATTGAAAATGATGATCGAGGAATGTGAATGCATTGTTTTATTGTTTGTTCAGAAAACTCCTTCTCTCTGTTAGCTCTGTGTGCACCCAATAGTCTGATATTATCGAAGGTATCCCCCGCCTTCATAAAAAAAAGTTCTGGAAAGTTATTTTAATACTTAGGAAGCTTCATTTCATCCTTTATCTCTCGTATTTTCGATATACAATCCTTCCCTCTCCTCGGTGTAAAATTGTCAGAGGTTAAAAGTGTCAGAGGAAAAAATGTCAGAGGTAAAAATGCCAGAGGTATAAAATGTCAGAGGTACAAGAGAAATATCCTAAGTTAATATCGTGGAAATAAGTGCACTAAAGAGATGGGAGTTTTTATTCATTTCAAGTTTTAATAAGGCAGCCCAGATTAGTTAACCTTTCATATTTTCTGTTTCTGTATATTTAACAATTCTTCCAGCTTAGTATTATTTTCTGTGCTAACACATTCATAGCTTAAAAAATTATCTTAGTAACGACTTGAATTTAAAAAAATAAAGTGTGTGGGTAGTAAACAGAACCATTAACAATCTTCTTAATGTAACATTTATAAATTGCATATTGCGCATAATTTAAAATAATATTCAGGTGTGAATATTTCTTGTTTCCAATGTCCTTACCTACAACTATTATCTTTTGGTCAATTTGTATTTCCTTTTTGGAATAGGTTAAATATCAAATTACATATTTTTTTCCAAAACGAAGTCACATCCTCGCAATATTATAACATAAAATGAAAAGTTGAATTAACTTGTCCACAAGAGTTGCATTAATTATTATTCACAAATTACCATTTATATGAGTTTTCTTTTGAGGCAATAAACCTATGAATCATCTTGAAATTAAATTGTTTAACTTTATTTTTACGAATTTGCTTTAATTTAAATAAAAAATACATCCTTCCAAACAAAGTCATTATCTAAACTTAAAAAGGAATTCCAAAGGTAAATGACATTTGATTCAATTGACTTTTTACGTATTAACAAACGATAGTAATCTGTCACTTTCATCATAAAAACATTCACTTTTAAAGTGAATGTTTTTATTATGAAAGTGAAAGATTATTACCTGTTCCTATTTCTATAAGTTTTGAAATATCACATTCGAGTTCAAAATCATTAACATATCTTAATCTGTCTAACAAAAATTGCGGAAAATGCTTTCTTTAATTTTGTATATTTAAAATCAAATAAGAGCTGCAGTGCTTTCACTTTTGTATTTATTAATGTAGAGTCATTCCAAATACCGTTTGTAATCAAATTAAGAATTTTCAATAAACCGGCATCTTGCCATTTTCGATAAAACAATTATTTGTTCTTAAACGTAATGTTACTTGTCGGGTAGATAGGCTACTTAATAAGTCCATGTACAGCAAAATTTGATTTTAGGGTTCTACATTATGTTTGATGATTAATCATAATTTCATCTTCAATAAAAACAACTCTTTAGGATGTTTTTAGCGGGTAGATACTTAATAACTACAACAAAATATGATTTTCTGGGTCTACATTATGTCATAAGTGTATTGAATGATTGTTATGGAGCTGTTACAAGAACACGATGATCCTAGTTTATCCTCTTGAACTCTCTATCTGAAAGCACATCAGTGCATGGATGAGATTCTTTAAACTGATACTTGTAACAAATCCATTAATTACTGTCTGGAACAGTATCTACAGATAACGACAAAAACTCAATATTGTAGGATAACAGTCCTGCTATTATCCTACAATAATGAGTTTTTGTCAGGATATAATTTTACTTATGCCAACACTGGCACACAAGTAATAGGAAGGGCGGAGTACTACATTTGAAAATTTGTTTGATGCACTTTTCCCAATTCAATCCCCTAATAAAGTTTATAATTTACACTTAAATTTTGCCGGTAATTTAACAAATGTGAAACTGGTGCCTGGCTTCTGAAATTCCCGCTGTTGAAGAGCGGCTCGGAGCATGGAACTTCAAACCCAAGTGGAATGTTACGCATCGCATTGTTACGCTTTAGAACTCACGCATGCGTTTGAATAAATTATAATAGTTTTCACTCCTTCTCTATCACATCCCTGGTTTAAATCACTGGTGTGTCTATCAACTTTCATCGTCACTCAGTTTCTTTCATGTCCCTTTCACTGTACATGAGTGTCTTTACTCTTCCTTTGCCAGTCTCCACTCACTATATTTCTCCATCTGTAATTCCTTTGTCTAAATATCTCTTGTTCTCAAGTTCTGATTTGTTAATACATGTTTTTGTCTTCAATACACGCCTCTCTCTTTCTCCCTCCCCCTCTCTTTCCGGGAAATTATAAATGTACTATATAAAGAAATAACATATCAAAGTTCAAATTGGCTGTTTCTTTATTAAAGCATAGAATACAGCATGTCTGTGTACAAGTAAATTATTCTTCACTTAAAAGACATTTGGTGGAATCTTGATTATTGTATAATTATAACCAAGTGCTATATAATTCTTTTCTGTTTTTCATAGGTTTCCAGCTCGAGCCGCATAACAATTTATTTTAAAATACACCTGTAAAAAGAATACAAATACATACGTAAAATATATTCCAATTTGAATGACGTCAGACTTTGGAAGTACCAAATATCAAGTATTAAGTAAGAGGAAAGCATGCACTTTCTCTTCGACTTGTTGACAAAATATATTTCTGACCTAACATCACCCCCCCCCCCCCATTAAAAATGCTCTAACGACACAATGAATCGTATACCTCTAGCCATTATACTATTTCTCAAACTTATTTATTTATTATTTATTGACAAATATTTATTCAGGATATGACAATATGTCGGCCAAGGCTGTTTCACACATTGTACCTGTATATACATGGTAACATACAAAAAAAAAATCAATGAAATAAGGCAAAACATGAAAATATATTAAAGTGATATGAAATAATATGACATATAAAATAACCAGCGACTAAAAACATGAATATAAATTTATAGATTTACCCAGATTCACAAAGTGAGATTATCCAACAATTTGAAAAACGGTAAAAAGAAATTTAAACTTAATTAATAGAATCAGAATCTCACCCAGCACACTCGAAGGAAATAAGACACAACACACCCATAAATCATCAACACACCTGAACTACCAGTCACAGAAGCAATAAAAGCACTCATAAACAATTCCCACAGCAATATGATTAATTAATAACACTCACATTTTTAATATATTTCCGGTGACGTATAATGCTTAAATTTATATTCAAATGGGTAAAAAGTATATACAACATATGCATATCCATGGCTTCACTGGTAGTTTAGTACATTCATGAAAATGCAATTGTTTATGAAGGTGTTTAAATGAAGAAATAGATGTTGAATTCTGCAAAGTACTATAGTAATTAGTAAGGATATATTGACTGCTTTGAGAGGCATAGTGGTTTCTATAGGGTCAAGGGAAACTCACAACCTGCTATGATCCCAAGGCGCTTGCGCCGCGGGGTCATAGCAGGTTGTGAGTTTCCCGAGACACTATAGAAACAACTATGCCTCGAATATTAAAAGCAGTCAATATATATTTTATATACCGAAAAAAAGGAAAATGTTGACTCACAAAAAACCCCAGTATTTTGCGATCGAGACTAGTACACAAAATGGCGATCGGTCGTCTGCGCTGCGTGGATTGGTAGATTCGTCGCCTGAATGCAGCGACCAAAATCGAATTGCACTCAAACACCGTTAACGGTATTGCGCATCGGTCATCGCACAAAAGAAACTTATACGGTAACACGTAAACCAAAATGGGGATCGCAGCAAAATGACGTCACGTTTCACAGCCATGGAAAAAGTGCTATGAAAAATAGATATAAACCGGTAGAGCCGGGAAAAATGACTATGAATTTCAATTAGCGGGCATGGTTAAGAACATGACTGCATTTTCAACCAATCAGAAGACAGGATTAGTAAAGAATCTTAAAATGAGGTATATAATTCCACATATAACACCTCCTTAAATAAAACTGGGCCCTGTTTCATCAAACTTGTTAACAATAGCAACTACCACATATCTTTGACAAATCTGCTCACAGCCAATCAAATGCAAGGATTTCAGTAGCTTATAACAATGATCGTAACATGTTATTGAAAACTCTCTGTTGCTCTTTCCTTCCATCTGTAGTATTTCCAGTGTCATCTACTGCTACAGAAAAAGTCTTGTATTGATGTTGACATCAGTGACGGATGCTAGACATGTGTTATCTGCAGTATCAGACAGAAGGGGCGACCTTAAGGAAAGTCGTTAGCCATGTATTACCTAAATCTACAGAGCAGTTTTTGCACTGACGTTGACTTCAACAGTGAATGCTGTGGTCCATGCGTTACCTCCAAAACACTCTTTGCCTGAAAAACAAAATAATGAATTAGAAAATAAACAAATGAATAACAGAGACACTTTGGGCACCAAATTAATTTCCTCCCCAATCAGACGCAGAAAAGTAGGGACAAATTTAAAGGAATAGTCGAGAATTGATATAGAGGGCGCTACACAAAATAATTATTATGTGAGATAGTGATACATTTGAAAGAGCGTACAATTTGTTTGACAAAATCATCTTTGTTTGATCAAAATATCCGATAACGTTTTATTCCAGCCAATGTTGGCTTTTGTTGGCTTTTTCGTGCTGTTTATATTACACACAACTAGCCGGCCTGTGTATTTTTTTATCATTAATTTATCAGTCAATTAACGGTCACCATATTTTTTTTGAAACTGGAGCTGAATTGGTATGATCGGATTTAATATAAATTTGACATGAACTCAACTGTCCCTTTAAAGAAAGAACGATAAAGCAAATGGATGACATAAAGGGATATATTATTGCAAGGATTAAAGTAGATCAAATCCCTTCCTTATTGATTTAGCACTTTTTCATCTATTGTCCTAATAGCTAATTTATATCATGGCTACTGACACAGTTTAGATTCTCAATAAGCATATCTAGAAAGCAACGAACTCGGTTATGATGTACTGTGATTTTATGTGCCATTTTTCAGACAAAACTACTACCGGTATGAAGCTTGTTCATGGAATCAGACGCCAAAAAGGATGAAAAATGGGGTTCGGGTATCTGAAATTATTCCGGATTATTTCATTGTGTATCCTAGAGAACACCATCATCTACCCTAACCCCGAACCCCACCCACCATCATGAAGATGAACCTATTCCTGTAATTGCTTAATAGCAAACATTAATAAATGCATGAATCTACTTATCTACTCCACTACAAATAACATTTGTCAAAACAGCTGAATGAAGGGCCCCAATAGAAAAGATCAGTACAAATGAAGAAAAAAAAACATCGTAGTCTTCAGACAGTCCCACCAATCTATAGGAAGAATAGTTAGTTACCTCTGTGAGATACTTTCTGGCCTCCTGAAATCTCTTCAGGTTTAGCAGTGCTTGGCCCATCTTTAGGAGGTGAATCCCCAGACTTGGATGGTATGGTCCATAGTGGTCTCTATAAAAATCAATACAGGTATCATACAAATACATAGTCACAAACAAATATGGTTTCGATAAATTTACAATATAATGTGAAGCCTTTACAGCAAATTTATTGCTCATAATTATATATAACAGTTCAATAAACGAAATGGGTAAATTTTCTGCTCTGAGGGGAAGATCTGCATAATATATCGATCATTCTCAGTCTGATGAGTGTTTAGAAAAGTTCAACTAATGCACTATTGCTCCTGTTCAAGAACAGATATTTAGTCAGTTAATCCGTTGTGAATTAAAAGTGTATTGTTTTTCAATCACACGAATGATCGATATGATTGTACTCTCACCTATATGGTTTTGTGATCAGTTGTCCCATCTGAGCAGCTTTTCCCCATGATTCTATCGTACAGCATATTCCAAATGCTAGATCTCTGACCTCCACCAGAAGATAATGATGAGCTGGAAGAGAGCTTCTCAAGTAGGTCTCGAATTTCTGTAACACTTTGGTCCAATGTAAAAATTACATCATTAAGGAGTATAACTTCTGAGAATTAACAAATGATTAGGATTGTTTTGACAAATTCACAGCGTGAAGGCAAAGAAAAATGAGAAAGAAAAATAGCAATGTCACGAGAGCAAATGGAATGACTGAAATGATGTCAGTAAGTTGATAATATAGAGGAGTGTGCAAAATAGAGAGAGACAGAGAGACAGACAGACAGGCACACAAAAACAGACTTAGGCAAGCAGAAAGAAAGAAGAGCGAGAAAAAGACAAAATGGAAGAGAGAAATTAGAATTTAATGAAACAGATATGGCACGTTTACTGTGCAAATACCAAAATTGACTATTATTTCAGGTGTTACAAAAATTAAAAACAAAATTAAAAAGGTACTAAAAAAGGGGGAATCATTTAATTCATAAATGGGATCACATAGTTGTGGTAATTGTGCTTTCTAGATGTACTCCTATTGGGAACAAAGGATATCTTTTGTTATCAATGCAAACTGTATTTGCATCTCGATTTCCTCCTTGGATTTCTCTAGACCTCGGATCTCTTCAGCTAAACCAGCATCCGGTTCCAATCCCTGAAGTGAAAAGAAAACGTTTTAATAATCGGAATGTAAAACAAAAATTGCTTCACCATAAGACAATTTAGATTTTGCACAGAAATGCATAGTTCAAGACTTATGTAACACTTTCTTTATGGACTTTGCAAATCACTTATCTAGTGCATTTACTAAGAAAAAATCCATGCAGGTATCAACTGCCTTGGCTTATGTATGCATGAGCATAATTATAGGGTACGTGAGAGTGATATAATTCAAACTGAATAATAATACAAAGTAAAGCAGTGCGTGGATCTTATTATTGGCCAATATAGTGTTTTCCTACCTTGAACATTGGAAGCCACGGTGCACACTCATTGATGAAACCACAGCCCTTATCCCTAGACCATCAATACAATTCAAGTTCACAGATTGATAGTAATTCAGAATAAATCTACCTATGCAGCTGTAATCTTTTTAATTGAATATTTGAATAGCGTTAAACAAAGAATGAAACTTTAAGAAGTAAAACTCACATTGATTTCTTCGATGCATTTCACACACTTGCATGTGAAGTAATGTACGTGGTCTAGAAAAGCCTGTCTCTCTTTAGTTGGGTAATTGACGGCAGTAAAATAGCTGATTGTACACTAAAATAAAACAAAAATAGTTTGTAAGGATCTTAAATTTTAAACACATGTAATTTCTATAGTAAACTGTCATGTTTTTCAAGGTCATAGAGTTGCTAAATTCCTTTTCATATGACCAGACTTATCAACAATTTTGTTAACACTGACCACTGTGATCTTCAAATATTATGACGATGAAAAACTTGTTCTTATTCTTCGATTCACCAATGTAAAGATAATTTAAATTTGTTGACTTACATGATATGATGAAATTTCCGTATGTATTTACAAATTTGTTAACGCCCATGATATATAATTACTAAATGGTTTTGAAACACAATCAAATGTCACATAAGCGTTTTGTCTATGGAATTTAAATCGAATATTACCCACTTCAAAAAGGTTTGTTTTATGGTTATGTTGGATTCCTAAATGTACACTGAACCATGTAGGTGTGCTGATTAAAATTTTATAAGCACCGGTATACTATAATCCTGAATTGTTTACGGTGAAGTTTAAGGTGGTGATAACCCCGATAGAGGCGATGTACAGTGCGTCCCCAAAAAACGAAACTGAGCATTATCGATGTTTTCTCATAACTTAATCACAATTATAATTAACAAATGACATTATTTGGAAAGCTTAGATCCTCCTCTTTCATTTGATGCAACTCGTATGATTCATATTTCACGCATGAGTGATTAAAAGCAATTTGAAGAGAGGAAACCAAAAAGTCATTTGGCGGGCGGTATCTGAATTCCAAGGAAAAAATCACATTTCTAGAAAGTTCAATTTCTGCTTTTTCATATGACACCTCAATCAGGAAAAATGAGCCAGGAATAACAAAGTTATGTTTGTTTAAAGTAATGCTTGCATTTCCATAATTTGATCACAAAACGAGCTCGTTCTCGCCGGCTACCTGCCGTACCAACAAACAGAGTTGACAAAAGACTTAACTCCGTTTCGTTGAAGATCAGCCATGAATCAGGTCTTTCGTCTTCTGCGTGCACAGATATGAATCGTACGAGTTGCATCAAATGAAAGAGGAGGATCTAAGCTTTCCAAATATGCGTCATTTGTTAACTATAATTGTGATTAAGTTATGATAAAACATCGATACTGCTCGGTTTCGTTTTTCTGGGACGCACTGTTAGCAACAGTCAGTGAACTTTCTTTTAAATCTTCGGGCATTTTTTTTTATCTTGTGTGCAAATCCGGAAAAATAATCATGCGGTCTTACCTCTTCTCCTTCTTTGACATCTTTAACAGTCCTGACTTGAAGTTTCCTCCCATCAAACACCAGTGCACAGTTAGGATCACAGGAATGGTTCACCATAGATGCTCTAAAAACAGGTACATAATATAAGAGTTAAAATAGACACGATTGACACATTTATTTATACAAACAAAACAAATAAAGGAAATTCAATCTTTATGGGATTGGGGAGAGACAAGGTACTAGTAAATTATGCTAATGGAATCATGCTTAACATACAAGTACAACATACAATCAGTAAGTGGTAGAGCAGTGGTCTCGTACCCGGAAGTCCCAGGTTCAAAACCAAGTCAATGTGCTGGTGCCCTTTGGTGAGGCATTAATCCTCATTACCAAGTCTCTTGGAGAGGACTTAAAGCAATCGGTCCCCTTGTTGTTTACTTACAAGCATATACATTCTTTCTTAGAGTCAGGTAAAACAAACATCAATCATAGTAACTGAAATTACCTCAAGTATACCCCATTTGCAATGTCAATCAGACCATAAAGTCCATAATCCATTATTGAAAAGCCGTTACAGAGAGTCGCCCCATACATCTTCAACCAGCTGCTTGGCTCAGCTAAGACGTCCTCTTCAAGGAACTGCTTCAATACACACAACAAGCTCTCAAAATGATTCCTTTTCGTATCACTCAGCTTTTCATGATTGGATTCCAACTGGTCTACGGTGGTTGGGAAACAATCCTCATCCTCCTGAGTGCATGGAGCAGACTTGCTTTGCTTCCGGATGAGTTGAGACAGAAGCTGAGCTACGTGTAAGTCTGGAGGCCTGGGATGTATTTTCTTGAGTGTTTTGCACTCTTGCTTGTGACATCTTGCCCAGTCTCCTATCTGCACGGGACACAAACATCAAAATAAGAATGTAAGCAATACCAAAGGACATAATTATTCTAAAGGAGTCTACCAATTACAGCCATTAAAGACACTCGATATCCTTAACACTTTTAAAATCAAAATAATGTATACATATCTTTTCACTTAAATGTTCATAGAAGTTTAGGTACATTGGGGTTGATTATTTCTGCATAGTTCATGCAATGACCACTAATTTCAAACAACCATTCTGTCACTAATAAAGTAATGGCCAATTATACATAATATAACATAGCCCCTTACTCCATAAAATGTCATATTGCTCACAACAAATGTCTTTATATTTACCTAGAGATGGAGATATCTTACTAAAATATGTCAATCTCAGGGAAATTATTAAGAAATTTTTGATTTTTTAAAAGTTATTTTAACTCACTGAGACACTGACTGCTCGATTTTTCTTATTTCCATAGAGCCAGACTTAATTCGGGAATCATTCATTTCTGATATAGGCAATGGGTTTGTGTTGGAGGGAACCAAAACAAAAGATTTGTTTTTACCTGACATGATTTATTGCAGTAGCTTACACAATTGCACCTGGTGCACTTCTTAAGAGTTGAACTGAAAGTAAGATGAAAATTGGAGTTGAAAACACCCGTTTTTATTAATATTATTATAATTATAATTATTATAATTATTATTATTATTATTATTGTTATTGTTACTCTTATTGTTATCAAATCATTATATTATTATTATTATAATTATTCTTGAATATTCAAAACAGTTTCAAACCTAAACGAATGTCTTTAAAATTTAACATAATGTAGTACTGTACTAGATCCAAACAAATCCCTTAAAGGTACCATGTCCCATTTGCAGGCCAAACAAATAACAACGTTAAATACCAACGGCATGTAAAAGATAATACTAAATCAGAGCTTCCCTAAAAAAAAAAGGGGGGGGGGGGGCTTGAAAATGTTTCTAAGTGGAAAAACAACGACTATTAGTTGTCGAATCGACTTAGGAGCTATAGAGCCAGTAAGTAACAGTCTGATTTTCAGACCATTGTACTAAATGGTCATACGTTTTATGCTGCGCAAAGATTCAATCTGTTTAATTTGGGCCAACACAAGAAGTGGGTTATTGATGTAGACAAATGCTCATGTACCCTTTACAACTCATTTTATGTACCTTATTATCAAAGAAGAACAAAAGCCAGTCAGTCACTCAATAGTGTCTGACAGTGAAGTTTAGCAACTAAACGGGTTTCCTTGCATAATTTGAAAATTAGGACACTGCTAACGTTTACATTTCACATATAGGACATACACGACATATTCATAATTTCTGCAAAGTTCTACAGAATTTGAGGTTGGCTGCAAAAGGGACATAGTACCTTTAAATGAAAATACAAGAGTAGACACTTTACTAAAAGTTACAAACTTATGTTGACCTCTTTTGAGTTTTGTTTAATTTGATGAAATAATGCTTGCTTTTATTTCAAAAGTTAGCATAATAATCATTGATTTACTCATTATTAGACTTCTATATATTAGATCATTATTATCATGATCATAAGTACGATGTTCAAGTCAGTCATACACATAGCATTTAATAAATATAATTTATCCTCATCATCATATTGTCATTCAAGTGAAATGAATGATATTCTTCGCTCAGTGGAAGTGACGTGATTGGCCAAGAAAAAAAATATATAGTTAAAGCACAACTTACTATC